CATGACCGATGATGTCTGCGATATAAGACGCCGCAGCATCACAGCTTTTCTGACGGCGTCTTTATGCTTATCCAGCATGAGAAATGCCCACCCCACGTAGCAAAAAATAAAATTCTCTTGCCGCTCATGCAATTTGCCTTGCATAACAAATACAGGACCGCGTCGCCTGAGAGGAAAATAAGTGTGGTTTTCTATATCATTTCAATCCACCAATAAAACAAATCCAATCATATTGATAAATCATATTCTTCTCGTCACACATACGCTTCGATCATTACATCATCACGACCTACAAAAAATGTAAACCGAAGGCGATGATGTAGCACTCACCTTTGAACACCATGTCCGCGTTAACTTGGCGCATGGTCGACTGCACGTGGTTATCAAATGCAAAAATGTCTGGGTCTGGAAGATTTCGAGATTTGTCATGCATATTTTCCATGAGCCATCATGTCTGTGATGCATGCCGTAGCATCACAGATTTTTAGAGGGCCTTGTGATACCTCTACCGCATGAGAAATGCCCTCTCCGCGTAGCACAACATGGAGTCCTCTTGCTGATCATGCAATACAATTTTTTTTAGAATCCAGAGACAGCATCACAAGTTTAGAATGTTCCAGACCCAGACATTTTTGCATTTGATAGTGGTCCTGTAAGGCCTGGAGCGACTCTATGGTCAAGACGCGTTCATCGCCGCTGTAGGATCTAGTTTCGAAATGGAGAGGTTAATTTTTCAGACGCGTACACACCGAAGTCTTACTTGAACACCATCTAAAACTCCTCCAAATTCCACAAATACGCATTACAGATTCAATATCCCCAATCTAGTTGTCTCAGTTTCTAATGCTATTTCGCGTCTTTTCATATTTCTAATCGTGCCCGTAGCCTTGACTCAGCTCCTTGAAAGTAGTGAAAAGGCAGTTTGTAATGCGAACTCAGCGTAAATCAGACCTAATTTCTTTGCTTTTCTTCTCTTCTCTTTTCCTTTTCCTTTTTCTGTCGATCGTGGCAAGAATTTGCTTGCTTTTCCTTGGTATTTCGTTCCTTTTCTTGCTCGATCGATTTCTTGCCTTGTCCTTATCATCCTGTTCATTTTCTTTATTTTGATCTATGAGAAACAACGTTCAAAACTAGTTTTCAAATACACACCGCTCGGTCTTGAGTGGTCTGTATAATTTTCATTGCACTTATCGGAGCTGCAAAGGGATTTTTGTTCTCCACGGTAAACAAGAGAAATCCGGGGTTATCTTGCCGGGGATCTTCACGAAGAAAAGATTAGTGCGTCCAGTTCGCATTCAGTAAAGACTTTTACCAGAAATTGCTTCTGTCGATAAGAAGTATCACACGCAAATGTATCTGGGGCTAGAAGAATGCTGGTTGTGATGGCATCACAGTGATGCTGCATTTGGATGCTAAAAAAAATTTGTATTGCATGAGGAGCAAGAGGAGTTAAACTTGGCTACGGGAAGAAGGCACTTGTCATGCGGGGAGCGCCTCGACAACTAAGCGAGAGCGCTCAAAAATCTGTGATGCTAGGGCATGCATCACAGTCATTCATCATGAAGCATGGAAAATGTGCATGACAAACTGCCATCTTCTACTAGACCCAGAAACATAATTTGCAGTTGATATGAAGATCTAAAGCAACATATTTGCTTTCGCAATCACCTTTACCTGCAGTAGGAGCTCCCGCCACTGCGGTCGGTACGCCAGCAGATTCCACGTCGATACAGTGCTATGAAATGTCAACAACATGTCTTGAAGGGGACGACGGAAGATCTGGGGGTGTAAAAGCCGAGGCCGTGTAGCGGCATGACAAAATATCTGAGGTCTACTTCGCCATTTATCGAGGACGTGGCTGCGCTGCACAATGACAATCATGACAAAGCCGAATTTGGGAGCAGCTGCTTTCCTATCGACATGCTCTTCTGCAGCATACATCGAGGAGCCGCTGCAGGTTTTCATCCCACTGGTTCTCCAAGTCGGTCACATCCCTCAGGGATGCCGCAGCCTTAGCTCCCGACTGACCGCCGTGCCGGATCTGCTGCATGTAGTTCCGTAGCTGCGTGTATTCGTCTCGGACTCGCGACACCAGAGCGCATCTTTTTCTCGAAAACTCTGCGAGCAGCAGTGGAGAGGCAGCAGTCGCCGTGGCCTCTTTCAGCAGACGATCCTGTAAATTGCGAACCCGCACCGACGACGCTGCATTTATTCGGTTTTGGTACTGGTGCTCGTTGACGTCGGGTCTCTTCCTCGACCCCGTGCTCCCGGCGGAGGAATTACTCGTCTCGCGTGCCCGTAAACCGGGACCCGTTCTGGGAGTCGAAGATCCGGCTCGCGTACCCCGAAACAGGGACCGTTGTTGTCCGTCTTCCTCGCGTGAGAGTGCTCTACGCGGTACGTGATATCTCAAAATGAAAAACGATGCCACCCGACCTGCACACCGAAGGTGTCAGCGTCTTCTGCCCATTTAAGAGGGAAGAAGGCTGAGCATTTTCGGTGTGCGACGCGGGCGGAAACGTTGTCGACTGGATATGCTTATGCACTGGAAATATGTCTGGGTCTAGAACCCTGGTGCAACCTGTCATGCAGATTTTACATGACCCGTGATGTGTGGTACACTTTCTCAAGCATCACATTTTTTCTAGGCGCTTCTTGATGCCTATTTCGCATGAGGAATGCCCTGTCCACGTAACAAAAAATCAGACCTCTAGTATCGCTGGCTGCTCAAGCAATACAGATTTGTTTGGAATTCAAAAGCAGCATCACAAGTTCCACCTCTTTAGACTCAGACACGTTTGCATTTGATAATGCTCCGGTTGATACTTCGCCATGCCGACGAGGAAGACTGGTATGAGTAAAGTAGGTATCGAATGCAAAAATGTCTGGGTCTGGAAACTTGTGATGCTGTGTGGCGTATCATGAGGAGGCCACAATTGCTGGCTCAGCATGACAAGCTTCTGAGCTTCTAGGTGTTGCCTATTCTCCATGACAAACTACGTTTCTGCATGACAGAAAAGTGGGGCTCTTTGGTAATGTGCATGACAGATTTAAGAGTCATGCCAGACGAGCATGACAAATTTGCATTCTTCCAGACCCAGACATTTTTACACTTGATAGTAGGATTCGGTCGTGGAGGTGCGCGTGTGGGAGAGGTGGCTGCAGGATAAACGACGGCACAGAGAACCTAATAGCAAAAGACTCGCATCTTTTTCAAAAGTAGCTTTGCCTCTGCCTGTAGTAGCGAGTGGAAGAACACGTTATTCTGCCTGAATTTACACGAGAAAGTAACGGAAGATATAGGTGGACACAAGGATTCAGATCCTCTCTGCGTTCAGCCACATCGACGTCTAATCACCTCCACCGATTCGAACAACGAATCGATAACGAAAACGGAAGAACAACAGGTTTTGGTGGATCTTCAATTTGGGCAACTTACCTGCCTCATAGTTTTGCACTACTGAACAATATGTTGAAAACCTCGGCTTCATCTCACAAAAAAAAAAACGCACTGCAGCGGGTCATTATTGAAAAACAGCAAGGAGCGCAAGAGACGCCTTCGAAATGCGTGATCCATTCAAGAGCTGCTTGAGGGTGAACACCAGCGTAGAGCCAGCAGACAAAGTATGCTACACTTAGCAAGCTCGCGGCGCAAATTTGCTTGAATATATTTCTTTGTGTTTTATGGAATCCCATATTCGTCGTCAGAAGGCAAAATTCAAGATTCTAATACGGACGATTAAATCATTCCAGCTGCAGCTCTAGCTCTTGTTGATTCTTCTTACAATCGCCACCAGCTCCAAGACCGGGAGCTTGTCTTATTTACTGATCCTACTTTTTTACTACATTATGCAATGGAGGAGCTCGACTGAAGCAAAATCTACCTTGGATGGTTTTCTGTAGAAATATTGTCCAACTACTTGTTTTAATCTGAAGTGTGATATCGATGAGTTTTGCGAACATAAAAAAGTTTTTAGTTTTGCAGTCAACATCAAACGTCTATTGCGCACCAGTCCGTGGTTCTTGCTGCTACTGGAGCGTGGGTGTTTTTCGCGGCGTCCCGATCCCCCCCGTTTCGACCCTGCTTTCCTTGTGTTCCAACGGCGAGGCATTGGGCACGTTCTTCTCTTGCATCGGCGTCGGGGGCAGTTGTACCGTCTCTTGCGGTCGTATGCATTACAAAGATGTCCGGGTCCTCTCGAAGATTGCGAGGCTTGTCATGCTAGTCTGAGAAGCCTCGGAAAAAAGTAATGTGAGGCCACGAACGCGAGCTCCTCTTTTCTGTCATGCAAAAACAAAGCTCCTTCTGCGGAATATTTACACAATGTAGAGACAGCACAAAGCAATTTGTCATGCTTGACGGCGCATCACAGTTCGTGTGTGTGTGTGTGCTCATTATTCACTCACATGCATCACAGATTTCCAGACCGAGACATGTTTGCAGAATGCATATGCTTTTCCGTTGGTGGCGACATAAACACCGTTCCCTTGCTGCCCGAGGATGACGAGGTTGGGGACGCGGCGGGGTGTCCGCCTCCTGTGCTCTGGCTGTGGTCCAACTCCAGTTTCAACTCCTGGTTCTGGCGTAGCAAACCGTGCAGTTGGGATCGCAACATGTTCATCTCCTGTTCGTACTCGGCCGTCATTTTAATCTGCTTCGCGTGGTATCAAGTGCAAAAATGTCTGGGTCTGGAAAAGTGTAGACTTGTCCTGCAGATTTTCCATGACCCGTGAGGTCTGGCATGCGGGACTTAGCATGACAGACTCTGCGAGGTCTCTGCCATGCCTATCCTGCATGAGAAACTACCTTCCAACTTGGGCAAAAGTTTACAGCTTTTGGCACTCATGCAACACAGATTTTTGCATGTATCAGATTTACCATGACAAGTTGCAATCTCCCAGACCCAAACATTTTTGCAATTCATACGTTGAGTTCTTCGATCGTGCTGCTCAGCGACGCGACTTTCGGGTCTATGGTACTGAAAACGCGCAGTTCCTGAGAAACACACAAGCATGTTGCAACTGCGTCGAGTACAGCTTTGTATTGAATTTATTGGTTCATCACACAATGGAGCGAAGCTATGATCTTCTTCGCACTGGATGGTGTAGCCGTCATGTCATGTCTATTTCTACTTACCTTGAAAAATGCACATCATATGATTATACGCCACATGACAACTAGAAATTGCTGGAGACCAGCATCGAAAGACTCTGACGCAACTCGTCTTGTTTTACAGGAATGTTGCGCTTTTCAAGATGATATCCGCCATATCTAGGTTGGTCGCCTCCGACTTGGTATCAAATGTAAAAGTGTCCGGGTCTGGAAGAATGCAACTTGTCATGCTAAATTCGAAGCGTGCAAAAATCTGTGTTGCATGATTACCAAAAGTCGTCCAGTTTTGACCAAGCCGGGAGGGAGTGTCTCATGCAGGATAGGCATGAGATTGAGAGAGACCGCACAGAATCTGTCATGCTAGGTCCTGCATTCCAGGCTTCATGGGTCATGGAAAAGCTGCATGACAAATCGCGCATTCTTCCAGACCCAGACATTTTTACATTTGATACTTTGACAGCTCGCTTCGTAGATCGGCAGTTTCTTCTCGGACCAACTTCATTCCAGCTATTTTTTTTTGTTGATGTGGTTGAGGAAGCGCGTGTACAGTACGTAGGAGACAAACTTTATTTCCACACAAAACCTCGGAAAAGTTAATATTAATTGCATACACATTCAAAAACAGAAAAGACTGTATCATCTGTACTCTTGAGCAACAAGTTCGAGTCCGGTATCTTCGCGAAATGTGCAATCTGAAGTACAAATATGTCTGGAGGGTCTGGAAGGATGTGACTTGTCATGCTGCACTGGGATTCTTAAAAAAACCTGTATTGCATGAGCCGCAAGACAAGTAGTCAAAGTTGTGCTACTTACGCGGAGACGGCATGTTTCATGCGAAGTAGGCATCACGAAGCCAACAAAAGCTTTGTGACGAAATCAGGCAAGATTCCAGACCCAGACATATTTGCAATCCATAGGCAATTCCTATTTCGCCCGGCTTGACCGCAGATCCTTTCAGGGAGCCGTCTTCATCTGCGGTTTTTTGACAAATTTGAATCTATATTTTTGTTCTTGCAGTACACCAAAACGTAGTTGATTTTGCGCGCATGATATAAATACTTTACAACGTTCTTCTTCCTTCTAACATGCACAGTTAGCACCGAGAAAAATATAGTATATAAACCTCTGTACCCAAAGTGTGATTGAACCCGTATTGTGCGATGGTGGTCGACGTGATCTTGAAAAAGCTTTCAGTCCAAACAACCAAATATTGCACTACATCGCATTTCATCTAGCAGCACAAGTATCTGTTAACATGAGGAATTTTTTCTTGCTGCATTGTGCTGAGAGACTGGAAGATTTTTGCCAGCGTACCACTTTGTTCCGTCGGCGGAGACGATACCTCGTCGATAAAAGTCCGCATCAAGCCGGTATACGCTGGGAACCTACCTACCAGGCCTCGGCTGTGTACTTATCTATGCCTTCTAGCAACACCATAGTTTCTTGCTTTGTGTTCGCAATTCGGCATCACAATTTCCCTCCTTGACAATTGATTTTTTTCAGAATACACATTTGCACAGCGCTACCTGCGGTGAGGGCACATGAATTCCATTTGATAAGTTCCCGTTTTTATTCTGCAGCAAAGCATATCCATACCTTCAAAGAAAAAGAGTGTGCGTTTTTAGTTGTTTTTTTTGTTTGTTCTGCATGACAAGCTTTACTCTTGTAATTTATCTCTTTTATCATTGCTATTAGCGATGATAAACTGCGTTCTGCATGATACTGCCTCATCACCATCCTCTCCGCATTACAGATTTTTGTTACCCAGAGTGACTAAAGCGGAGCTGCGCACAACTTCATATTCTTTCGTCGTGTGGGTAAACTTTTCGGTAGCGTATTTAGCAACTTCTCCTTTGCGTCGTTCAGTTGCTCTTTCAGCATCTCTATCAACGGCAAATATGTCTGGGGCTTGAAGATTGCCAGGTTTGTCATGCATATTTCGCATGGCCTTGGCCCATGATGCCCGTAATTCATGGCATAGCATCACAGATTTGCTGATGCTTGAGTATTCCGGATGACGAGAACTGTCCTCTCCCCACAGCAAAAACTTCGTTCTTGTTGCTACTAATGCAATACAGATTTTTGTACAACCCAGAGACGGCATCACAAGTCGCACCTTTCAGACCCCGACATATTTGAGGTTGATACTCTCCTTTTCCTTTTTAATTCGAGATCCGATGTCCAACGGCGCTATGCAAATGAAAAATCGCCCACTGCAAAATGGCAAGGGTGTGTATGGCGTTCTCAAACGTTACATTCTCAACTGTTACATGAATTTGCAATGCAAGACTAGCACAGGTGGGAGGGAGAACCTTGCGCGTCTTGCATTAAGGTTTGGTGCGGATTATAGTGCTGTTTAGCCCTCTCAGAATTTGTCATGCGCAGTGGTAATTTTGCATGACAAATCATGTAAGAGTTGAGAATGTAACGTTCGAGAATCCCATAGTGTGGCACCGCAGATTTGTGTACACAATCCAATTTGCATTGCAGCCCGACGGCAGATGGGTTTATTTGATGCAAGTGCTCCGCTTGTCTGGACCTGGAATAGAATTCAAACCTATTCGGCATGACAGACGCCCCTGTTGTAGCTACCCGCACAGCTCCAAAAGTCAGATACGCAAAGCAAGAATGTGACTGAAAGTCCATCTGGTGCTCGATTCATGCGACACAAGTTGACTTCTGTACCCAAAACGCGCACCACAAATAACTACCCTTTCAAGTTGCATGGAGTTGGAGTAGAGTTTTGCTGACAATAGTGCACATCTCGTCTTCTGCTCCGCGAGAAGGCCGTCTTATTGGGTTCGTAGCTGCGAGGGGGTTGTAAAACTGCGTGTAGATCCAGTTCCCGATTGCTATCTCGGTGTCCAGAACGAGCTTGTTAATGTAGAGGACAAGATACGACACTGGGTCACCTGTGTTGGGGTGAGGAAATCTCATTTGTTTCGTCCAGTTAAACCACACGAAAATCGGTGTGGTATCGTCGCTGAGAAAGAAAATATTTGTTTCTTATCATTGGAGAAAAAAATAGAATATCGTTCTGGTGCGGATCGTCATTCAACAAGATAAGTACACAGTTTCCTTACCCAGCATCGGCCAGTCCTATCAGATGCAAACATGTCTGGGCCTGGAAGGGAGTAGCACTTGTCGTCCAGATTTTCCATGGCCCATGCGGTCTGGAATACAGCAGGTAGCATGACAGATCCTGTGAGCTCTCTATTATACTCATCCTGCATGAGAAACGGCCCCCTCGCAAGTTGGGAAAGAGTGGACATCAACTTTTGGTAAGCATGCAACACAGATTTCTGCATGATCCAAACCTAGCATGACAAGTTGGAGCTCTTCCAGACCCAGAGATATGTGCAATGAATACAGGGAAGAAATCGCCGGGCTGTGGAAGCGCGAATTTTTATGCAACGCAAAGCAACCTGCCAGCCCAAGACATGGTGATACAGCTTTGGGAAAGAAGAGCATCGCGGCTGGTGGTGCTTTAACCTAATCACAAAGTCGCGATGGGCTACATCTTGCACACTTGTCAACCAGTTTCGCTCTGACGATCGCATGACAATCTCCAGAAGAATAAACATGTGTTCTCTACTAACAGGTCTTGGGGCAGTACAGGAGGTTTGCCATGGATTAATTCAACCTGCTCCTGCAGTTTTCGCTCGGCGGAAAGCGGAGTGTCGAGGGTGAGGTTGTCGTCGAAGTAATATCCTTTTTCTTCTGCAACTGCAGCTCCTGTGTGCTCGGTCTCGGTGCAGCAGGGTGTACCTGTGCGTTATATTGTCTTTGCGATGATCTACCACTACTTCGTTACACTTCATGCGTTTATAAATTGTCGACTGGGAGGATACAACGCAAGTAGAAAGAGATCATGGGGCAGCTAAAAATGACAAACAGAAAAAAGCTAGCCCCTCATTCAATGTTAGATCCAAACAAAACCATCAGTGGAGGATTGACTTTTACCTTGTCTGAATGCATCAGTGATCCGTTCCGTCTCGTGTAGCCATAGTGTCTCGAGGTGCCTGACGATCTGTATCTTGGCGTCCAGGTCCGCTAGAGGGTATTCTTCTTTGTACGGAACGTCATCCAAGATGTCCCTATGCATTGCAAATATGTCTGGTTCTAGAAGTATGCAGGAATGCACATGACACAGTCTGGAATGCACACAAAAGCATCAGAGATTTAGCGAGACCTCCTGGCAGGAGCTGGGCAACTTTTGGCGCACATGCAATACACGATGTTTTTGTGATTGAGACTTAGCATGACTACGATAAGGTTGCATCCTTCCAGAGGACCCAGACATATTTGCATTTGATATTTCCTCAGCTGCAGCAATTGCTTTCGTAAGTATCGCATGGCAAATCACTGTCTAAAAGGGCGACTTGTAATGCATGAGCACGCACCGCGGAAAAATCAAAATCACATTCGCAGCGTATGAAAGCAAAGCACGCAGTGGTCCGACCGCAGTTGCTTCGCATGATTCGCAGGAAAGATACATAAATGCGCCGCTTGCGTGTATCTAATGGGTTTGTGACACTGATTTGACATGAGATATGCACCGACAGGGTTTCGCGAAGAAAAACGTCCGACTGCGCTGCCTGGCATGCTTCCAACGAACAATCCCGGTGCGGATTTGCGCATGGAAAAACGAAATTTATCAGCACGGAAAGGGGCGGGAAATCTTCAAAAAACTCTGATACAAACACTCCGAGGCAGTCATGCAGCGGTTCGTTTGTACCGGCCCCGCTCGTGGCAAACACAAAGGCATGACAGACAGAGCGCAGGCAAAAACATCCATCGTCGTAAGTAGCATGTTGTGATATCGGCCTGCTTATGAATTGCAAAAATGTCTGGGTCTGGAAGATTGCAACTTGTAATGCTAATTCTGGATCGTGCAAAAATCTGTGTTGCATGAATGCCAAAAGCTGTCCACTTTTGACCAAGTTGAGAGGAAGTTTCTAATGCAGGATAGGCATGACACGGATCATCTCACAGAATCTGTCATGCTAGGTCTCGCATTCTAGACCTCATGGCTCATGCAGAATGTGCATGACCAGTCTCAGAATCTTCCAGACCCAGACATTTTTACACTTGATAGTGCTTGGTCCCATGCGAGCAGCGTGGCGAGTTCGTATTCCTGGACGTCGACATTCGCGTACAAGTAGTGCAGTGACGGGAGCACAACTCGCGCATCGACTGCAGTAGCAGCACCACTTCCACCGCCGTGGCTTCTATCTCGGATCCCTGGGCCGCTGTTGGATCTGCTCTTGGCCACCATCTGCTGTTGTCGTTATCAAAATGAAAAATCCCCCCACTCCATACTCAAACTAGAAATTTGTGATGCAGATTTGTGGTCACAAATCAGCTTTGTCATGCTAGAAGGGGAAAGATGCGGACTGTAGTGCTGGTTGGCGTCGGAAAGCCTTGCATCTTCAGCATGACAGGGGGCAGCTGGAAGTGGGAAACAGCATGACAAATTGCCTGCAAACGAGGCTACAGCTGCGTCTCTTGGCCTTCTAGCATTACAACTCGATTTGTGTACTCAAATACAGCATCACAAATCTCGTTTTCGATATGGGGAGGGGGGATTTTTCCATTTGATAGTCGTTCCCTGGTTAAGGAGCGCGGTCCGCCCTCTTCCCGCCCACGCTGTTCACGCGGACGTGTCTGAGTAGCAGGGCCCATAGACGGCCCTCTTGGGGCGTTCTGCTTATTGTACGACATATTCACTCCTGGAGCGTGAAAAAAGGAAACAACAAAGGAAGTGGGTCGTTCACTCGCTGCAGATTAGGACTTACCACAAAAAATAAATATCCACGGTACAACTGCTGGGGGTGATCGTCAGTAATGTTGTTCACCAAATTCGTACGTGGTGCTGCGTTAAAGGATAGCATGTAGACTTACACAAGCCAGGAAATTAAGAACGACGGAACGAGGAAACAAGGATCTTTGATAACCCATTAAGAGCCACAAAAACACACAGAGTGAAGAAAAAAAAGAACATCGGGACTTCTTTTAAAGTCCTACACCTCCTGTTGGCGCTGGAAACTGAAAACAACCAACGCTCCAACGAGGCAACACACATACTTCGCTAGATCATTTTGGATACGAGAAGATGATGATGTTTTTCATGTGCCGCGGAGATGCGTTTTAGCCCCAAAAGACGTTTTCTTTGAGCATGAACTCCGTGCCAATATATCAACATTTCCCTACGCATTTTTTCTTCTAATTCTGCCGACGCACGAAGGGTGTACAACAATACAGCCTCGTGCGCATCATAGGAGTAGATTATGCCATGGCTGTTTTATTTTTCTCAAGAGAATAACAATAACTGGTGCGACTCCATATCGGATCTACTACATGAGCTACTTACTTTCCCTTTTACGTTTCACAAACGAATTGCCTTGATACGATTTGCAAACAATATCCGATATCTATACCAAAACTAGGCCTACAAAACGAGCGCGTAGAAGCTGCGGATTTTTAGTGTCTGTGCTTGCATTCGCGATGGCGAGAACGCGTCCTGCAGGCGGCGCTGAGACTATAGTTGTGGGAGACAACAAATCTTCGTTGAGGGGATGGTTCTACGATAGAGAAACTTTTGCAAAGCCGTGGCTAGGAGTACTTATCGATGAAGACCGAGGATGCAACTGACATGGTTGTTGCACTGGCTTTCACAGGTACAACCCATAGACAAGATGGCTTCTGTGCCGCCCTTGCAGCATCTATTTTTTTTAATCAGCCACCTAGTGAAGGTCGTGGTGTTCGCCACAACAATTATTCGTAGGAAGCACATGATACTGATATGCAAAGCGGCACTCGACTCCCCGTATTTTCCTGTAGATGCGCGAGAAAGAAAGGTCAAATTCGAGCTTCGCAATTGAAAGGTGAATCAACGGTGCCCAACAAACGCGACTGGATGCTTTGATCCTTGCACGAGAGGGGGGCACGTCGTGTGGTGTAGACACGACTTTCGAACTACTAGTCGAAACAAGTAAAAGCGAAAAAAGTGTTTATTATTTTTGGATTTTGTCGTCGCACTACAGGTGTGTATAAAAAAATACACCGTCGACCTCAGTAGGAGGACGACGGTAGTGTGCTTACTGACGGTTGAATGAAGCTGAATTCAAATTCTTCACGTGCACTCTATTTTTGTTTGTTCATGCTCGGTGTAAGCAACGTAAAAGTGTAAAATTTTTGTACCTTTATTTTTCGAAACCTGAGTGATGTTGGTGAAGGTTTTGCATCACAAATCCCCGTATCTGTCGTCACAGTAAAGACTTTGTGCTGTACTATATATTATCTTGCACTGGTTGATTATTTTTTGTTGGTGAAAAGACAAACGACAACCACTGGTGTTGAAGGGCGGGCTCCATGAAAACCAGCTGTATCAAAAAATAATGTTCGCCTCGTGAATCAAATTCATAAATGAAGTTTTCGCCTAATCTACATCCGTGAGTCCAGTTGCACGGATTCGGAAAGGTTGAAAAGTTTTCTGATTTGTAAATATCGTCATTTCGCACCGGATCGTCCTTGACTCGAAGTCACTTTACTAGTGTTGCGGTGGCCATCGCCATTGTTTCAATAAAAAAACGTGTAAAAAAATCTAACAAGACAGTACAACCGTAAAGAAGAATTTTAAAACTACTGAACATGTAGCCAAGACACTGGATTATTTACTTTTTGTTTCTTGATTCTTGTCCCGTCTTTAGTACTCGTGATTTCTTATACCATTGATCAGCTCAACGACTTTGTTTTGCGCAACCACAAAACCGCCAAATATGAAAAGAAACTTGGAAAAGGATTCAGTAGTAAAGCATTTTGACTTCTTCATCATCTTCGACCATTAGCGAGCACGAAGCTTCCTGCTCTGCCGGCTGCAGACTCACATTTAAGCGAGCTACAGAGCACAAGTTCGGCTTTCACGGCCTGCTCGTACACAGCATGAAGCACCTGGATTTGAAAGAGTCGTCACCTACGAGAAGCGAAGACAGGTTTGAGTAGCACCAGAGTGTGGACTATGCATTGCAGATATGTCTGAGCAGTCATCTGAAGTCGTAAGGATGCAATGTTTGTCATGCAGGTTCCGCACAGCTCTGGCCCACGAGGTCTGGAATGGGAGGTGTAACGTTTATTTCACAGCTTCTGCGAGGGCTTCGTAACACCCATCTTGCATGAGAAATGCCATCCTCCTTCATGAGAAATAACATCGTCCTGCACATTTGCGTCACCGCTCCGACTTAGCATGGCAAACTCGACCTCTTTCCGGCCCAGACATTTTTGCAATGCATATGGACGGCGGAGCTGCTTGACCTCCAGATGACTAGCGACGAATCGACGACGACGCGCCACCTAAGAACCTGATGATTTTTATTTTTCGTTCTGTTAGAACAAATCCTTCGTAAATTATTCATGCCATGCGATTTCGGTGAAGTAAAAGTATCCATGCCATTGCGTGCATGAGAACTGTTTCGCTTGAAACAAAAAAGAATATATAATCATCTTACCACGTCTTCACCACATCTGGTTTGGACAGCGGTATCACGCCGCTCGGTGCACTCCTATTGTGTTTGACGCTTGTGCCCGACGAACTTGTTCAGACCGTGTTGTACACGAGCTGTTGCTATCAAATGTAAAAATGTCTAGGTCTGGAAGATTCTGAGATTTGTCATGCAGTTTTTCCAAGCTCCGCCAAGTCTGGAATGCAGGGCCTAGCATCACAGGTTCTGCAGCCCCTTGGTGATGCCTATTTTGCATGAGAAATGCCCCCTCGGCATGGCTAGAAATGGGAACCTTCTGCAAGTCCTGCAACACAGATTTTTGTATGTTGATCCGCGACACGCATCACAAGTTCGCATCCTTCCAGACCCAGATATTTTTGCATTTGATAGTTGCGGCTTACTGCTTCTCCGGAACCCGGAACCGCGAACGGATGATGATGGGCATTACAAAGTTTACTTTTCGTTCACTTATTCCGCAACTCGTCATGTTGGCACAGAAGACGCTTGAAATGAAGTAGATTCGATGGTTGAAAGGGAAGATGTTGATGTTGAAGATTTGTTGCTACAATTACTGTGTGTATTATTTTCCTGTTGGTACTGATGTGAAGGTTACGATCGATCCGCCTCTACTGTGGGTGCTTCACTGTAGTTGGTATCCATAGCAAATAGGTCTGGATCTGGAATATTGGGGAAGTTTGTCATGCGTAATTGTACATGAACCGCGTTGCCCGTAATGCGTGCTCTAGCGTCTTCACGCCGCTCGCCAAGGCTTGCTCATTCTATCCTGCATGACAAATACCCCCTTCGGGTTTGCGCTATTTGATGCTCATGCAATACAGGCTTTTGTATTTCTTGTACTAGCATGAAAAAATTAGTATGACAAATCCCATCCTTTCCAGATCCAGACATATTTGCAATGCATAGTTTGGAGATCCTTCTCGTACCTCCACCTGTCGCCCCCCCTCGGACAAAAAAACTCCAGTATCAAAGAGAAAGGCACATCTATTTCATGCAATTGGTCAAAATCTCTCGCTGCAGAAGTTCAAGTTGTGCTTAGTGTCACAAGGGAGCAGCGCTTTTTGGCCGAAAGGCGCGACAGATTTGTCAGATATCTTTCGTAAGTGCTTATCCGCAGTACAAAGAGCGTATGCTTTCACATGACGCAAAATTGCTGAAGTTTTGTGACTATGGTAAAGCCACAAAACAGAAAATGCCTTGTTGTATTCAGAAGTAGATGGGCACTTCTATTTGATAAGTTTTTCGCAGACGGTTGCTGTGAGGCCGTTGGGGGTGGGCAACACGTATCACACCGAAAAGTACAGGCTTTCGATATTCGAATTCGCATATCTACAAACTTGTCATGCGCTTTCTCTGTTTTCGGTGATCGAAACGTCACGTCATCTCTTTTTTGATGGGAAGGGGATGATTTGTCAGGTCAAGCTAAAGGCTGCCGACAAATTTTTCCAAATAATGCCTGAGTGTACTTTTCTGTGGGATAGTCCCATAATCATCCGAAAGATCATTTGGGGTTTATCAAAGTGAAAAAAACCATCTGCTTCACGATGAAAATGCGGGGTGCATTGGTGCAACAAACTGGTTTACCGTTGGCAGATACGTCTTTCCGTTTCTCAAATGCAGATGCTTGAACAAACATGGAGCTTGTTTGTTTCGTGGAATGGCTGCAAGAAAGTAGAATTTCAATCCTTCTTCCACTAATGAAAAAGCCGGCTCTTTGTTGCATCAAAGCGATGCTGTTGTGGGTTGTCCTTGTCGCTAAGGACAAAACGCCGTGCAAAATTCTACGATTGCGCATGATGTTGAAGCAGCTTTTTTTTCACATGATACTATTTTTCGCTATCACCTCCCGACACCGTGAAAAAAACGCTTCGGGTCTTTCTCCCAGCGGCTTGCAATTTTGTATCATCGTGGAAAGTATCCCTGGGTCTTACTTCGAAATAGCTTTTGTGGTTGTCGTGTGAAAACACTTTATTTTTTTATTCCACGCCGCGTTCGTTCATGGCAAGGCACGCACTTCGAAATTGTAAGACTGGGAGAACCTTCCACGTTGATACTTGGCGTCCGGGATCGGAAACCAAACCTTGTTATCGATAAGGTTTTTCACCATATCCAGATCTTCCGATATGCCCTGCAAATGTGTCTGGATTTGGGAGGTTGCTTAGATTTGTCATGCACCTGGTGCAACACACAAATGTAAAATGATCTAGACGAAATGCAACCGGAAGCTGCATCACATTCTCGATTTGTGCAACAGCTCTTTGATACCTATTCCACGTGAAAAACTCGCCCTTTGCGCGGCAGAGAGTGAATAGCGCTTGCGGCCGTGCATGCAACATAGCATCAGCATGACACGTTGCAGTCTTCTAGACCCAGACACATTTGTCTTGCATAAGCGAAGACATTTTGCACGTACGGTATCCTTTGCGGGCCAGGTCTTCAAATTCTCGCTGGTACCTGTAGTGATGTATTCATGATCAGAGAAATAAAAAAAATAGATCGCGGCAACAAAACCTGCAATGAAGTGCGAACACGTAATTTTGCTTTTTCAGTGCTTGACATGGGTAGAATAAGAACAAAACATCAAAGTTCTTATACTCAACAGACCCGCCTTTTATCGGTGCGATCGCGGTCGCGCACTCCGTCGTCGGCGCATCGATATCAAGCAGAAAAGTAAACACCTGGGCCGCATTCCGCGGTGGGCATGCAGAAAATGCGTTTTTGCTGTCGCGAAACGCAAAATGAGCTCTGCAACTGCAGATGGGGAAAAAAACTGGCGCAAAAATTTGTGACGATGGATGCCGCATCGAAGCGGACTTCTGCTCTAGTGGTGTATACAAACTGCGGCAAAGATGAAAACTGGCGGTGCTGTACTTTTCAGTTTGATAATTCCGGGCGAAAGCCACCAGAAACGAGTCCCCAAACCCTCCATGACCCACTACCAGACATATCCAGGGCACATGTGTCTGGGTCTGGAAACCGGCAACGTTTGTCATGCTTGTCTGCCCTGACTGCAGAGTTAGTGATGCGTGTCCAAGAAGAGATCCTGGCGCCTGTCATGCAAAAACGCAGTTTGTCGTGCGGAAAGCCCAATTATATTTCTCGTCATACTTGGCTGTGCGTGTGCATTACAAAGAGCTCACCAATCGTATTCACATCCCAGCATTGCAAGTTCCCAGACCCAGACATATTGCAATGCATAATCCAGTAGAAATCAGCCGCCGGATAATCCCGCGCCATCGCGTCGATATAGTATTTCTGTTCCGTCGACATTGGGGCAACTTTCTCGAACCTCTTGTTATTTATTCCCAGGAAGAACAGGCTCTCGGTCTCGGGGTTTTCCGGATGCCGAAAAATTTGCTGCAGCGTTATCCAAGTGAAAAAAGCCCCCACCCCATATTTGGAAGACAATTTGCGTTGATGCTGGATTTGTGTACACCAATGAGCTCTGTATTGCGGCAAGAGCTTGTCAGCATATTCTAAGCCCCCCCGGGTACACATCCGGCTAGCAGCTGAGCATGCGAAACAAGTCTGACATAGGCGAAACCGCATGACAGACTCGCTGCATAATGCGCCACATGGCCGCCGATCGCCTTGTACGCAAGACAAAGCTGATTCGTGGTCACAAAGCAGCATCACAAATTTTCTTTTCGATATGGGGAGGCGGGATTTTTCCTTCTGATAAGGGTCTGCGGTGCTGCTCCAGGCATGTTCTGTGGCTGGACAAGGTAGCCGTCGTTGTCCCAGATGTAGTTGTAAAGCCAAGCTGGTTCATCACAGCGAAAAGCTGCACACCGCTCATACACAAATACAAGGATTAGCTTTGGTTGCAGTTATGTTCACCACTACTAAACCTGTGCATTGCATATCGTGCAAGACAAACTTTTTCGGAGTTTGTTTTCTCCTAAGTATCTGTCAACCGAAATACAGCGTTGCTTTTGAGCGAACTGAAAATACTGGCAACAGAAACTTTTTTCTTTGGGTGTGATTGTACTTTTCAGCAGGATAAGGTCCGTCAACTGGTGGAGACGAGCCGGTGTACTTCCGCCACACGTGCGCCTTCGAGTCGCTTCCACGGTATCGCAGAAAAAAGTAGACCCAATCACAGAAGAAAAGGCCTGCAACTGCCTTTCGTTTCGCTACAAGTGTGTCGTCAAAAAACTCGGCAATGCCAAGACATTTTGTTGCCATGGAAAGCGTAGAATGTCTGCTGCTGGGCAGACGACATGTTCTCTTTTTTCTTGTGATCCCTAACTATAGCATGGCAAATCATGGTCCTGTCACTGGGTACTGGAGTGGTGTTCTTTTTTCTACGATAAAGGGCACAGATGATCGCACACGAACCACTCGTCGAGACTCGCCGCACCGTTTCCGTCGTGTTTTTTCGCCGCGTCGTATTCCGCTCGCGAAATTTGTCCGTATCGTTTTTCTATCGAATGTAAAAATGTCTGGGTCTGGAAGATTAGAACTTGTCATGTCAAAATACTATCTATTATATTCATGCGAAAAAAGAGGTCTACAGAGGATAGAAGAGAGGTGGCCGAGAGGTCAAAAAGAGGTGAAAAGAGATCAAAAAGAGGTCCGCAGAGGTGGAGAGGTGGCGCGGGAGGTCATTCGGGAGGGTGGCCGAGAGGTGGCGCGAGTATAGCCAGCCGAACCGGTCGCCCTACAACCGCGCCTAAGGGGGACGGAGGTGGCCGAGAGGGTCGGGAGAGGGTAAGCGAGAGGGGGACAGAGGTGCCGAGAGGTTGCGCGAATAAGGGCGAACCTCTCGCGCACCCTCTGGGCCACCTCTCGGCCACCTCTGTAGACCTCTACCGGCGAGTATAGCCGGACTATTAGGCGCGCCCCTCGGCAGAGGTGAAAAAGAGGGTCTGCGAGGCGGTTAAGAAAACCCGAATCCGCCCGGCACAGGGTCGATTTTTTGGGCCTTTTTCGTCACGTAGGCTCGCGCCCTCTCGCGCCAACCTCTCACGCACCCTCTCGCGCCACCCTGTCGCGCCACCCTCTCTGGCCACCCTCTCGCGTGTGATCACAAAAGGGCATCGCGGCCCCCGTTCTGCCTCGACAGGCACCTACGCCGAGGCGGCTTCGCTTCGCCCCCAAGCTTCGCTGCAACTGCTGCCTGCGCATAGCGCCTGAACAATGCGCGGGAAGCGCGCAGGAGGCCTAGCGGGTTGAAATGGCGCAAACCGGCGCCAGTACTTCCTTCGACCTATCACGCCGGGCGCAAAGCTTTGGCACTGTGGCCCGATCCGCAAATCGTCCTGCCCCACCACAACAGCCGCTCCACCCGGCGTGAGCCGGGGCATGGCTGGTCTGAATGATGCAAAAATCTGTGTTGCGTGGGTGCCAAAAGCTGTCTGCTTTTGACCAAGTTGAGAGGGAGTTTCTCATGCAGGAAAGGCATGATAGAGACCTCCATGAATCTGTCATGCTGGGTTTCGCATTCCAGACCTCAAGGATCATGGAAAACCTGCATCGCAAATCTTGTATTCTTCCAGACCCAGACATTTTTACATTTGATATTTTCTTCGAGAGGACAGTTGACGGATACGCTTATCATTTGTAAAAACGTACCCACTCCAGGTTTGTCATGCAAATCTGCCATGTGCATGAGGTTTCTCAGTCGGCTTTTCATCACACGCATTTTGTATATGGCTTGTCGAAACTCTATCAAATTTGTAATGCTGAAATCGAAGTGGTGCCATGGGACTTTCAGCTAGATTGATTCCTCATGCGTGGCCTTGCGAGATGCTTGGCTTGTATACACTATGGGGGGGGAGTACGATTTCTCAGCGCTTAGTGACGAAGTCATACTTCGGGTCCGGCTGCTGCACGAGATAGGGGTACTACAATGAAAAATGCCCCCACCCCCGAACTTGGGGGCATTTGTATTGCAAACCTATCAGAGTGATACACTCCCCCTCTTGCATCTATCAGCATCACAGATTTATTCCAATCGTGAATAGCGAAAATTTGTATTGCAAAAGATCCCAGCAAGAGCGTCATGCAATCAATGCTATATACGCCTAGACTCTGCATCACAAAGAATCACACTCCTTTCATGCATGACAAAGGCCGTTCATTTGGAAACTTCGCATCACAAATTATTACAACTTCGGGGGTGGGGGGCATTTTTCACTGTAATAAGTAGAGCGAGTCCATATACTCGTACTCGCAATCCTTGACCGGAACCCACTTCTTGTCGCAGATGTGGTTCGTCAAGTCCCGCTGTTCCATCTCGCTTACCGGACTATTTCGCTTGCACCTGCTGTACATACAGTATCCTACGGATTGGCCTTCATCCCACCCATCTACCCACCCGTCAGCTGGTGGGCTATTTGTAGTTATTGTTCCGCTGCTGTTGTTCTTGTTGATCTTTGCATTCCGTTTCCTCTGTTCCTGCCGCTGCTGGTGCAACTGTTTGCTCCATTGCTTTCTAAACGTGCATCTCTGCAACGCAAACATGTCTCAATTGGCAATGGTTGTAGGCGCGCTACACTACGGAGCCAAGCATGACACCTTCCTGAGTTCCTACGCGTTGCGTTTTCTGCATTGCAAGTTGCGTTTTTGCATGACAGCTAAGGCTCTTTTTCTCCTTATGCGTCAGAGGGTTAAGGAGATGTAGAAGCTCAGGCAAAACAAGCATGACAGCCTTGCATTCTTCCAGACCCAGACATATTTGCAGTGGATAGCACCCGTAGAGGGACAACCGTTCGCGGTCCTTGGTTTCGTAATCGATACGGTGTAGCCCCGGGATGCCCTTGAGCACGACGAAGAACCCCTTGGATTTGCCAAGCCCATTGATCTTGAAAGTCCAAAATCTATTAAGTATTCATCGGGAATATGTCTGGGTCTGGAAAAGTGCATTTGCGATGCTCCCTGTAGGTGGAAGATTCTTCATGTGTATTGAAGGCAGCTGCACATTTTTTTGGCGCACAGTTCCACTTCGCCTATGTTTTCGCAAATTTGCAATGGCATTCGGAGCCCGTGGTTTTTTGCAAGTTTGTAATCCTCGGCCATAATGCATTCGACAATGAATCAGAATCCGTGGGGCAAAGGAAAAAATTGGCATGGCAAACACGAGTACTGTTCCAGAACCAGAGGTAGTTGCACGTGATAGTGTCGATCAGACGGCGCACATGTGCAGTGCAAAAGCGCAAGACACGCTCTACCTTATAAAAGCATTACATTTTTTTTTTTTGAGTTTCTGCAGAAAGAAAAATGAAATCTGTAATGCTTATCCCGGTATAGAAAAAGTTTCTTCCAGCATGCTACAAAGCGAAGACAAGCATGAGTGCGATACTTTTGCACGGCATAGCATGCGGACAATCTTCAATTCCTCCGCGGTTGGTATGTGGCCAGGGTTATCAAATGCAAATATGTCTGGGTCGGGAAGATCTTTAGCTTTGTCATGGATGTCTGGCATGACTCTGGCCTCTGTGTTACGTGGCTACAAAAAGTTCCTCTTGACTGTCATGCAAAAACGCAGTTTCTCATGCAGATCACGCAACACATACACAGCGCGATGAAAAAGCCTGTCTTTGTACTAGGCGGTGCATTACAGAGAGCTTCATATTCACTAACTCGCATCACAAGTTTCCAGACCCTGTAGACATACTTATTTCCAACGCGTACCCGCCTTGCTGTCGTGTTTCACCTGATTTTGACAGTTGTATCAAAGAGAAAAATCCCCCCTCCCCATATCAAAGCGGAAATCTGTGATGCAGATTTGTGGTCACACATCGGCTCTTTTTTCGTAAGAACAAAGCAGAGGCGCATTACGTCTGTTTAGGCCTCTAAAAGTGTAGGTTTTCTGCATGATACACGCTGCTGCTGTAGACTAAAACGCATCACAGATGGCCTGCTCAGTGCGCCGTTTCGCTCTGCTTGCTTCTCAAGTATGCAATACAGAGGCTTTTGCCTACACAAATACGCAACACAAATTTCCTCGTGATGCTCTTTCGAAAGGGGGAGGGTGCTTTTTTCACTTTCATAAATTGCACTGTTTTACACGAAGGTATTCTACTAAGACAACCTTTAAATAGACGGAAACCACGACACGAAAAGCAGCAAAATCGAAGAAGTACCTATGTTGTCAGGAGAACTGCCACCCCCGCTCGCGTACGTTGGAGTGCCGAGCACCGACGTCGGCATTTCGTCGACGTCCATTGGAATGGTGCTTGGAGGAACGGTCGTAGAACTTCTGCTGATTTCGCCCTTATCTGTTATCGAACGTATCCTGCAGAAAAACTAACCCACTTCGGTATCTTCACAAGTTTGCAATCTTCTTGCAGCCGCATGACAAATAAAGTTTCGCTACTCTGATCAAACTATGGCAAAGTGATGACGTGGAGCACCAGTACAAAATGGTGCCCTCCGTGGAGAACCGCATGACACTTTTTCTGCGCATGGGCAAGATCATCTGTCACAGCTCTGGGGTGGGTAGAATTTTTCATAGGGTAGGATACTATACACTGCAAACATGTCTGGGTCTGGAAGAATGCAGTTGTTCGCTACGGTTCTTTTGGAGGAGCACTCCAATGGTACCTAACGCTCGCAAAAGCCCTACATTTTTTGTGCACGCCTCTAGACGCCTGTTCCACATACTATAGAAGCTCGTTACTTTTTTTTTATGCGTTGCAAGAAATGAAAGCAGCTTTATTTGCTGCTCATGCAACACACATGTTTGTAGGTTCCAGAGTTTGCTGCATCACAAATTGCAACTCTTCCAGGCCCAGACATATTTACAATGCGTAGATAGTTTACGTCATGCAGCAGTTCCTTGGTGATGTTGATGCCCGAATTCTGGATGTATTCCTTTTCGTTTATCATCCGGAAAAGAGAGGCCGGATAATCTTCAAAATACCGCATCTAAATCTAAATTGTTTGTTTGCCACTTACATGATATTGTTTGTTTCGTGCCAGCTACTGATGCGCGACTCCTGAAACTTTTGCATGACACGAAATGCGGGCAACAGCGTTCGCACTCTGGAACCCATGGCGCACTCTGGCGCCCCCTTTTCGTTGTGCACACGAGTTGTATGCACGAAAAATTGCCAACTTCCTACACATATCAAATGCAAAAATGTCTGGGTCTGGAAGAATGCTACTTGTCATGCTAAATCTGAATCAAGCAAAAAACTGTGTTGCATGATTGCCAAAAGTTGCGCACTTTTGAACTAGTCGAGAGGAAGTTTCTCATGCAGGATAGGCATGATAGGGATCTCACAGAATCTGTCATGCTAGGCCCTGCATTCCAGACAACATGGATCATGGAAAATCTGCATGACACGTCTCGGAATCTTCCAGACCCAGACATTTTTGCATTTGATAACACAGCAGGGGTGACAAAGTATCCTCGTTCTTTCTTTTCCTCTCTGATACGCTCCGTCAGTTCGCTATTCTGAGTAAAAACGTCCCCACCCCAGAGTTGTCATGCAAATCCGCATGCCAGAAAAGTTCCTCATGCGGAGCCCCATGCGAAGCATTTTTTGTCGTGTTTTGGAGTTTGTGATACTTCAATCAGCATGACATGCTAGGTCTGTGAAATTGCTGCTGAGCAAGCTAAACAGGAGTACACTACGCGAACAAACTTGTCATGCGAAACAACCAAAGCTGCTTGACTTGTCTAGCTGGTTTTCCGACTTGAATATGGGGCAGAGACGTTTTTATTCAGGATACGAGGTAGGCGCCTTCACGATTACCGGTTCGTCTTCGTAATAGTGGATCGTTTGTGTGTCCTATGCGAGAAAAAAGATGTGTAAGCTGAAGTCTGTAATGCAAAGCACACCATACTACAGTTACGCTTGTCATGCTGGCCATCCACAATGCCCTCTTTTCATACGTGTTTTCACTTCCTAGCTGTGCGTGACAGATTTTTCTGTCATGCAGAACAATAAATTTCTCATGCTGTCACCCGAAGACACCTCCACTAACACAGTTTTTTTCTTGGATATGTCCAGGTTTTGAAACGCAGGACGCACGACCTTTTGTTGTGAACCGAAATATCCTATGTAAAAACGTCCCCACCTGCCCAGATTTAGGACGAAGATGTTGCAAGAACAAACCAAGAACTTTTGGGAGTCACGCCTAGCAAGTGTTTCTCTGCATTGTGAAGATGCTGCGTGCTGCTAGCGAGAAGAAGGACAACCGCATATCCGAATCCTTCAGCTTTTTAGTACCTGTCTACAGCATTACAAATTCCAAAACTCGACGAAAAATCATGTCTGTCATTGGAATGCGCATCACAAATGTTCCTGTCATTTTTGCAAACCCGCATGACAGTCTAGGGATGGGCACGTTCTTCAACAGGGTGCGAAAAACTGAAGGAGATGTGGCGTCCATGGCGAGGATTCCGGCATGAAAACTTCCTCGTTGTAATATCGAGAAGAAAATAAATCCCCCCTCCCAATGTCAAAGTGGAAATTTGTGATGCTGATTTGTGGTCCAAAATCTCGTTTGTCTTGCGTATAGGTTACTGGGATCCATGTGGCGCATGCCACAGTGAGTCTGTCATGCGCTTTCGACACGATCTGACTTCTGCCGCCCAGCACCTTCTGCACGACAAGTCTGATTTGTGTACGCAAATCCAGCATCAGAAGCCTCCCTTTCATGTGGGGAGGGGGTTTTTTTCCTCGCGATATGTACACGTAGCCGAGTACGCCTCTGGCTGTCGGTAGGTATCAACTGTAAAAATGTCTTTGTCTGGAAGAATGCAAGATTTGTGATGCAGGTTTTCCATGACGCATGAGGTGTGGAATGCGAGACCCAGCATGACAGATTCTTTGAGGTCTCTATCATGCCTTTCCTGCATGAGAAACTCCCTCTCAACTTGGTCAAAGGCGGACAGCTTTGGGCACTCACGCAACACAGATTTTTGCATCATTCAGATTTAGCATGACAAGTTTTTAATCTTCCAGACCCAGACACTTTTACATTTGATAGTATGGCGACGCAAACTATTTCAATTCAAAACTGTTCCAAAGTTCGCTACCCCAGTGTTAACTACGTCTATATGAAATAAGCTATTGTTTGGAAACTGCCTGAAATAGCAATTGTTTGGAAATACCTACTTGAGTTTGTGAAACGAAATTTGAAATATTAGATTTGAGCTGAAATAGTTTGCGTCGCCATAGTCGGTGCGATGGACGAGTCGTACATTAACGTGTCGCGCTGTTGTTTTTATGCATTGCAAGTATCGATCTGGGCTTGAAAGGATGCCAGGTTTGTCATGCATCCCGTCGCGGAGCACAAAAACGAACAATCGTCTGGAATGCACCCAGAAGCATTACAGATTGCGCGGCAAGATCTTCTTAATGCCTACTCCCGATGGGAACTTCGCTCTTTGCGTCGCAGTAACCGGGTATACATTTGCTATTTATGCAAAGTCGGACTCAGCAGGACAAGTTTGCACGTACCAGACCCAGACGCATTTGCAATGGATAGTTGCAGGTCGTGTATCATCATGTTGATTTCCTTCTCCTTGTCCTGCAGAATTTTATCACGTTTTGCTTCGCGCACCTGCACTTCCCTGTCGTGTTCCTTCCTTATGCATGACAAGCAGAGAAATCCAACTTGTAGCACCGAGTACGCCTGTTGAAACACTGGTGTTTCTGCTTCTGCAAAGATCACAACACAGCTGTCCTCTAAAAATGACTCTGCATGATGTGGTGTGTAAGCGATGCTACTGTCTTGACAGTCACATTTGCATAATAGTCTTCTTGTCTATTTCGACATCTATTTCCCTAGTCGATGCCAGGATGTTGTCTTGCTGTGGATCCTGTGGAAAAACGTCCCTGTGCTACGCTTGTCATCACTGGCACAGGAACAACGCTTCCCGTGCGCAACATCAGGAGGGCTAGCCTATATGTAGCAAGGCCGCAGAACGCCTTCGCCTGGCAGTTTTCTTGACAATAACCGCCAAAAACGGCCGGCGGTTTTCAAGTCTGTAGCGAGTTTTTTTGCGTGAAAAGAACCAAAGCGCGCCAGCCTGTTTCGCTTTTCTGGCAACGAATTGCCGGCGGACTATATCGGTCGCCGCTTGATAAAACGACGCAGGGGAGCCAGCAGGAGGGGGGCCCTTCTTAGCCACCCGCCCCGTGGTGTTCTGGCGATTTCGGGTGCCCAAAAGGGCGCCCAAAAAAAACGCGCCCAAAGCCAAAACAACGAAGCCGCCTGGCACGCCCTCGAACTCAGAGCATTTTGGGCGGCCGCGAAGGTGGCCGTCTTTTCGGCGGTTTCTAAGCGGCGGAAGCTTTGCGAAAGGCGCAGGCGCAAAAAAAAAGAAATGCAATGTGGCCGGCTTTTCTTCGCTTTTTAGCCGCCCCCCGCGGCGCCCGGATCGGCAGAAAAGCCCCGGGGCTGGCTTGCCGAGAGGCATTTTGCAAATGTGCCAAAATGTGACGCTTTTCACGTGGCCGCAATTCCGTGCGGCGTAACGTTGCTTACAGCGGTTCGACGAGCGAGCCCAAAAAAAGCAGGCTCACTATCGGGCCGCAGCCAGGGCGGTGGGAAAAGCGCCACCGACCTCACTAGCCCCGCCACGGCGACTATACTTGGTATTGGTGGTTTGGAACTTGTCATGCTGGAACCAGGATCAGCAGGCCAGGTGGGCAATTTTTGTAGTGCTGCACCTGCTGAGCACGACTACCCTGCGAAGCCAAGTCTGTCCTGCGTGGCGCGCGAAGTCTGGGGGCCTGCGTGGCATTTCTATGGTCGTTTTTTTGTGGTGGTGACGGAGGTGGCCGCGAAATTTGGAGACTTGTATAGCAAAATACCCAGCATAGCATCTTTTTGGTTTTTTTGGAGTGCTTTGATTGTGTACTGGGAATAACCAAATGCAAATGAAAATTTTTGTAAACTGGCGCAGAAAAGCTTCAAACTTTTCAAAATCAAAGGAACACGAAACGACGATGAAGGCGGGAGAGAAGTATGTAATGCATTTATATCCTACGTGGCCACGTTTTGTGTGTAGTTGGGGACGTTTTTCCTTAGGATACTGCTTCAAAGAATCCAACGCTTTTTCGGTATGCGCCGACGCTTTTTCGGTATGCGCCACCGCATCTTTCTTCCTTTGTGCCAGCGCTTCTGTGTCGGTATTCTACGGAAAAATGTACCCAAACCAGAATGAAAACAAATTTGTGTTGCGGGGGGATGTACTGCCGGAAAAAACGTAACCGAAAATGCATGACAATCCCTCTTGGTGGGCCTCGGGTGCCGAAAACGAATTGCGAACTGCGTTGTGCTGTGTGAAAGGGAATTGCTTTTCTCGTTGTTGACGCGTGACAAATTTATTTTTTTCTTAGATGGGTGTGCTTTTTTGTACGAATATTTGGATCACACTGAAAATTGTCCATACGACCTGGTGTTGTAGTCAGTGCCTAGCAGCGAATGTCGTGGCCTCACAACGAAGTGGCAGAAAACAACCAATTTCCAAACGTATGTGTTTCGGTAGATGCAAAATTGAGACAAATTTCTTTCTTTTCGCACGAGGATAACGCCGAGTACGTGTTTTTCTGCAATCTCGGTCTTCGCAGTCAAAAGTTGCCAAGAAGTGATTCACTCCTCGCGCCTCACGATGAGGCGTTTTATCGCATTGAAGTAATGCAGCTGCCTGGGTCTGGAAAGTTGCGATGCCGACGTGTACAGCCACTTCCGGATAGATACAGCCAAGCATCATGAAAGGTACGTAGATGGCCCTGACCTCCGGGAGCCGGACTATAATTGGCAATTTACCTACGTAAACTAGGCTAGCTGTTTTAGGGGGGGTGCGCATCATGCTCTGCCGATGCAAAGGGGTAAACCCAACGGTGCTGTTTTTGCGGCAATGGAAGACCAGCATTACAAATTCTCCACTTCAAGACCCGGACTACTACATATTTGCAATCCATACGTTTTGGGCTCCGACACTCTTATCGCAGCGACGAAGCGGTAGGGACCGTTTTCAGTAAGATACTGCCTGGCGACGCTCGTCGTACAGTTTCTGCAGTTCTGCTTCGATCCTCCGCTCTTCTGCACTTGGCTGCAGTTCGTCGACGTATACATTGCAAATATGTCTGGGTCCGGAAGGATGGAACCTGTGATCATGCGTCTTGTGGATCACAAAAAATGTGTCTTGCGCAATCACCGAAGGTTCTTGTGCTTTTTTCAACCAACATGAGTATGAGATGGTCTCAACGATTATGATTTCAATAATTCAAAAAAATCTTTTTTAAGACAGCAAATAGGCACATATCCATCCTGAATCGACTCCGTTTTGGTGCTCCGTTGTCCACAGCTTCCGCGCGTCGCCACTTGGCAGATTATGAATGTGATAAATAAGTAGTTCTAAATGTTGAGATCCCAATTTGAACTAGCTAATATGCATCTTAGAAAGTAGCTATTTGAAGATTTGCATTGAGGTGCCGCCAGCTCTCTCCTCTCCTGCGATCCGAAGCTGCCGACTACCTTGGATGCTCCACCGGAATGTTGCTCGGAGCCCCGGACGGGGCCCCAGACGAAGTTCGGGCCCGTCAACCTTGGAAGCCGTGTCGATCTGGCCGGCCAAACACCTTAGCTGAGTGGGTTCAAGCTGCTCATGGCAATGAGAATGTCTATTACCTAAACTAGCTAGTTCAAATTGGGATCTCATTTAGAACTACTTATTTAACAACCTCATACGACGGCTTGTGAAGACGGCGGCAAACGACGTCACAAACGGCGCGAAAACAGCGGCGGCTTCGGCGGCTAATTGTTGCTATTTGCTTTCTTAATAAAGATTTTTTTGAATTTTTAAAAGCATAATCGTTGAGACCATCTCATAATGAGAGAAAGTGCAGGATAGGCATGATAGGGTTTAGAGACCTCGCAGAACCTGCCATGCTAGGTGCTGCATTCCAGACCGCGGGAGGCATGGAAATTCTGCATGACAAGTATTGCTTTCTTGCAGGCCCAGACATATTTGCATTTGATACGATCATCAGCCGGATGCGCATGGGACACGATTGCTTTCGCGCTCGACGTTGCTGTTCTGCGACTGCTAGTTGCTGTTCTCGCGGCTATTCTGTGAGAAGGGGCCCCCTGCCCATACTCGAAAGGGAAATTTGTGATGCTGATTTGTGACCACAAATAATTGATTGTCGCGTCCTGCAAGAAGAAAAGTTCAGAGGATGTCGCCCGATTGTGGAACCAAGGCAGAGCTTATTCGTGTACGCAAATCCAGCATCAGAAGCTTCCTTGCGAAAATGGGGAGGGGGGGATTTTTCACTTTGATATTGCCCGGCCTCGGCCTTCGAAGTTATGCATTGCAAATATGTCTGGGTCTGGAAGGATGCGAGATTTCTCATGCATCTCACGTCGGACCACACACGCACCCGCAGCCTGGCATGCACAGAAAAGCATCACATAGTTAGCGACGCCTGTGACATGTCTATTCCACATGACAACAAGAACCGGGCAACTCCCGGCGTTCGTGCAACACAGATTTTTCCGCGATTGAGCCTTAGCATGACAAGCTTTCATTCCTCCAGACCTGTCATATTTGCATTTGATAGATCTGGTCGTCGTCGTCGTGGTAGGCCTGGTGTAGTTGCTGTCGATCATGATCCTGCATCCAGTGCAAGTATGTCTGGGTTCGTTTGGAGAGCGCAAAATTTGTCTTGCATCTCGTGCAACACAGAGACCAAGATGGTCCTCTGGAATGCATCCAGAAGCATCACAGAGTGCGCAGAAGCTGGTTAATGCCTATTCCGCATGAGAAATGGGAACTTTGCGCGGGGCGAGGTGGATGTAAAATTAGCCGCGCACGCAACACAGATTTTTGCCAGATTCAACTGCAGCATGACAAGTTGCACCGTTCCAGACCCGGACATATTTGCATTGCATAACACGATCGTTACGCTTACGCGGGATCTCTTGGGGCTGTATGTTGCGGGGTACCGGCCTGGCGTTTAAGTCGGCCATTGTCTGGACGTTGTCATACCCGTTTCGGCGATTTATCTGCTGGAGGCGATTATAGCGAACAAAAAAACTGCACTTCGACCACGAACCAGTGGCGTGGCTTCGTAGTGTCAGCTCCGAAGCCACAGTCTGTTCGGTGTTCGATAGTAACTTCTGCGCCACGGTATTTTACTCCACCAGCCACCCCCCGGCGGCGGCCGCCGGGGGGTGGGCTGCTTGGTGGAGGATTCCGGTGGGGAAAGCGGCACCACCGACCGACTCGCTACGTCGAATCCCCGGCGCAGCAAAAGAAGAAATTCTTCTTTGCTGCGCCCTTCGCCCGGATGGCGCGCGCAGATGCACAGCCGCCGCACCGGCCTTCTTCTCCATGAAAGGGGGCCCCGGACAATTAGCTTGGCCGCCGGCCTGGTGCCGCGAAGGGAAGGGTGCCCTGTAGTGCGGCCCCGCCATCACGCCAAAGGAAGGAGGCTGCTTTTTGCAGATGCACGAACAAGAATGCGCACCCAAGAAGAGCAAGGGCCATGGTGTCGCTTCTTGGGGGGGGCCCACCAGAATGTGGACGCAGGTTTGGCCGTGTTCCTTTTAAAGAAACGTCCCCGCCCCTGTTGCCCGCGCGTGCGCGGGCGTTGTTGGAAGTTGAGCGCGGCACCCTCAAGCGGCCGCCCACTGTAAGGCACTGCGCCGCACCCACCCCCTCCGCGGGGCGCAGAACGGCGCGGCCACTTTGGGCAGCCAAATTGACCCGAAGTTGAATTTTTTTCAGAACTGCCGACCCCCGTTGAAGCAAGACCGCCCGCCAGCAGACAGGCGCCGCTCCGGGAGGGGCTCCAGGAGGGGGTCTGGGAGACGGTCCGGGACAGGGCCCGGAGAGGATCCGAAAGAGGGCCGGGGGGGGGCAGGAGAAGTCATGGGAGGGTCCTCCGAGAAACCACATAGAGCTTCCCGGAGAGGGTCGCGACAGATGGTCCCACAGAGGGCCCAGCTATACTGTGGACCCCCTCGGACCCTCTGCACCCTCTCCCCGGACCCACTAAGTACGTGGCTGGCGCCTTCTTTGCCTCTACCCTCCTTCTGCGCCCGTTTAGCGCCGCTGCACGCGCGGATAAAACTAAAAGCTCGCCGTAAGCTGCTTATGCGCCCTACGATAATAGGCCCAAGTGCTTTTTTTATTCACTACTTCGCGCCCAGCTGTCGCGGATGCCTGACGTGTTCATGCCCCGCTCTAATATTCGCGTCTCTGGTGTGCTGCATGTGCACCCCCTGCTCAATCTGGTGTGCATCTACACGGTGTTGTTGTGCTTATGAGCTGCTCAGCGGTCGCGCCCTCAACCTTTTCATGCTTTTGCACTGCAGTGTTTTTTATTCACCCAAACTCTCCTGTGACGTCATGACATTTAGGTCTGCATGAGCATAGACGCTTCTCGAAGCTCGAGCGAGCAAGAATATAGATTTCTGAGACTGAAAACTCATCCTCTTGTAGCCTTTGGCGTGCTAAGGCTCTATTTCGCCGGACCTCGATTTTTATTTTTCCCGCCTCTGCACCGTTGCATGGCAAAAATCATGCGAATTCCTTGAAGATGCAGAGCGGATTTTTATGCAAAAGATGAGGGCGCGACCCGTGACCAGGCCATATCATCACTGCTCCAGTCGGCCGCGGCGCATTGTTGGGCGGTAGTGCTGCGCCGACCGATCGCCCTCGCAGCGGCGGGTTAAAATTCCGCTGCATGTTTGCAGCCGAGATCGGCGTTGCACTTGCAGTTGCACTAGACTCACAGCACGACAATTTCAATAACGAGCCTCAACTACTAATCTAGCCAGAACGCATCACGCTTTGTGCTTGCAGGCTACGGACACGAAAAGAAAACCAAAACGACGAGGGATCCACACAAGGACAACGCCACCCGGTTTAGTGTCTTGAGGTGATCCGGAGACGATAAGATTTGCGACCACGCACAGTGGACAAAGAAAAAGGGCTAAGAAGACGAAGCGTCCAAATAAAAGGAACCACTTGATGAGGCGTGATTCATTGCTCAGGTGAACACTAGTAGAAGACTGTCGCAGTTGTGGCCTTGGCCGAGCACATTTATCCCGGCAAGCTTTTTCTATCCACTTGTTGTGGCAGTGTACTACGACAGCAACGGAATTTTTTGCAACTTCAGGAGCCGTATGAGAAAGCCCGGCGAAGTTCAATGCGTTGTCTCGTAGATTTTCCGACACGGCAAAAAGGCGCAAGCGTAAGTCAATTGCCTTTATTTCATCTGCTTATCTTCATCGTCGTGCCGATCGTTGTGTTTGAATTCTAATTCCTCGCGCTGATCATCGTCGTGTTCGTCGTGTTCTAATTCTAATTCCTTGACCCGTCAAGAGAAAGCAGCTCCAGGATGTAGCGTTCATTTCTCTAAAGTCTTACACTGGTTCCAGCATGTAGTCTACCACATTTAGTTTCATGACTCTTTTTTTACAACGGCCGGCAACACACGTGGCGGCGTGCCAGCACTGGTACCAAAACTGGCGCGGGGCATACCCGTTTATCCAGTCGTCGCGAAAGGCGCCCTGCGGTAGCTCTCTCGCCCGCTTCTTGGCCTCGGCGGCCTTGGTTTTTGCCCTAGTCTTCTGCTCCCGCTGTTCCTCCTTTTCCAGCTGGTGCCGCTCGGCCGCTTGTGCCCTTGCCACCCTGGCGTAGTACTTGCCTAGGGCGACACAAACTCCGAGCTGGGTGCGGTTCGTTGTAGTGATGTTCCCCCACCTATCAAATGCAAAAGTGTCTGGGTCTGAAAGAATGCAAGTTTGTCATGCTTGTCTGGCATGAGTCGAGAATCTGTGTTGCATAGGCACGGAAAGGCCCTCTTACCTGTCATGCAAAAACGCAGTTTGCCATGCGGAATACGTAAGGCATGGCAGCCAAAAAATTTGTTATGCATAGCTGCGTATTGCAGTAGGTCCATCATTCACTTTTAGCATTACAAGTTTCCAGACCCAGACATTTTTACACTTGATACCACCGCACAAAGCTTTCCACGGTATCGGCGCGCTTCGGCATATCGACGCCTTCGGTGCCGATCTCGTCGCCCAGGTCGATGTCCTCGTCGTTTATCAAATGCAAATATGTCATGGCCTTGGAGATTCTGAGACTTGTCATGCACGTTCTGCATGAGCCATGACGTCTGTGTGGAGCGCCACAGAGTTTTTGAGGATCGATTTCTTGATGCCTATTCCGCATAAAAAATGCCCCGTCCGCGTAGCAAAAGTCACGCTCCCTTTGCTTCTCACGCAATACAGATTTCTTTGGAATCCAAATACAGCATCGCAAGTTTTTCCAGGCCCAGACATATTTGCACTTGATAGCATTTGCCGGCTCGCAAAACCAATCCTCGTCATCATTGAGGAGAAGGTCATCAGGTTCCTGCAACATCACCGCCTCAATTTTGCCGTCGAGGTTGGGCGGGTGCTGCAGCTTCGGCTTTCGCTGCGGCGGCCCCTGGGGACAACATTCGGGGTTGTCGCACGACATCAACACGAAGCAGCCCGGTATGCTCGTGCCGTGCGTGAGGGCCTTCTTGACCAGCCGGAACACGCGCGAATTTGGGTCACGCGTTTTTGCCTTGGTCAGGAACTGAACGATTTCAGCCTCGGTGATGGGCCCGTCCTGCTTCGTCGCTTTATCCTCGCCGGGGCCCGGCGCCTGCGCCCCTGAATCCTCCGCCCCGGCGCGCTGCTCCTCCGCAGGGACGTCGGCCTTCGCTTCGCTGATCGGCTGGAAGGGGAATCCGCCGCAACAATATCGTCTCCGTTGGAAGTTTATCGACTGCAAATATGTCTGGGTCTGGACGAGAGCGTAGTTTGTCATGCATCTCGTGCATCACACAAGGTACGTGGCCGTAAGTGAGGCCAGAGGCATCACACATTTCGCAAGAGCATGCTCTTCAAGGCTAATACTCCGCATGACAAACCTACTTGTCCGTGCTTTGCAAGACGTGAGGAAATTTTGCGGGTCGCGCAAGACAGATTTGCATTTTTGCGCATTCCAGATTTAGCATGACAAGTTCGGATCCTTCCGGACGCAGACATATTTGCACCAGATAAAGCTCCAGGAATGGAAAGCGTGGGGTGTGGAATTGGGTCCATGGAAATGCTCCCCTCGACTGTTTTCCCGTTTGCCCCGTAGCCCGTCGCCCTCCACTTGACCTGCCCCCCGCACATTGTATTCATGACCTCGATAACGATATCCAATGCAAATAAATGTCTGGGTCTGGTGGAAGATTGCAATTTGTGACACTAGTTTTGCACTCTACATAAAAAACTGCACTGCATGAACAGCAAAAGAAGTCCATTTTCTGCTACGCTGAAAGAGAATTTCTCATGCGGCACGAGCATCAGAAAGCCCTCGCAGAATCTGCGACGGCACACAGACATCATGGGTCCCCGAAAATATGCATGACAAACCTGGCACTTTTCCAGATCCAGACACATTTGCATTTGATACTCGACTAGCTGGTGCATGGCGATCGAGGTTTTCTTCTGGCAAAGGGTTTCGTTGGCGTGAGGCGGAAGGTCGGAAAACTTAACCTCCCCAAGCGCCACGCCGTTAATCGGCGCCCACAGAGCGGCCCAGAGCATCTCGACAGGACTTCGTCGACTATCATTGGCCGCGAACTTGCAGCCGAAAACGAAATGCGCCACCAAGCGGACCATCACGTCGCACAGCTGTACAAAGCGAACCGGGAAAAGACCCCAGCCAGGGCCATCGTCGGAAATTTCCAAGACCGTAATCTGTTCGCCTTCCTCAGGCGCACGGTAGTTCTTTTTGGTGTCCTCGATATACATTACAGATTCGTCTGGGCCTGGAAACTTTTTTATGCTAGTTTGTAAATAGTGGGCGGGAGCAATGCGCAGCCACGCCTGACAGGTTTCTGTGCGGGAAGCTTCGTTTTTGCATGACAGAAAGGAGACTTTATTACTCCTGCTCACGCATTACAGATTTCACATGGATGCCACGTCCACGTGAGACACGCATGACAAACTTGTATCCTTCCTCTTCCAGACCCAGAGGGCATATTTGCATATGCATAATCGACCGCCTGCAACAAAAGCTCGTGCCGGTGGTCCTTGTCGGACGGGAAATACCTGGAGCTGCGAACGCCGCAACTCATCCCTAGTCTCTTCCACCCTTGAAATATCCGCTTGCGCTTCGGGATGGCTTCGGGGTCCGTTTTTGCTGTGTTGCCATCACTACCACCGGCCTTCGATGGCCCCTTGTTTTCCGCGCCGTCGGTGCGGGCCGAGATGTTCTGCTCAACGTCCTGGCCATCCTCATCCACTTCCACTTCGCAGCCCCCCATCTCCACGTCCTGCGCTTCCCCTCCGTGGGCTTTCTCCCGGAGGAAGTTTTGGTCCATCCGGCCTGCAAAGCATTCTTGGTCCTCTTCTTCTTCCTCCGGTATTGGCGGAAGCATGTCAACTCCAGGATTCCACCTGGCACTGCTGGTTTTTCTGATTGATGCGGAAGAAGATGCGGAAGCAGCTTGAAGTGCCGGCCGGTAATTGATATTCTGCTTGTGTTTGGCGAGCGAGGTGAGGCTTGCCGCGGACGATGAAGAAGAGGCAGAGCTACTGAGTGAAGGTTTTGCAACCTCTGTTTCCAGACCCGATTCGACGCCCTCCATGATTTTTCAGGAGGACGTCGACAGCAACAGAATATTTTGCAATTTCAGGAACCGTATGAGAGAGTTCGGGGAAGTTCAATGCGTTGCTCCGTAGATTTTCCAACACGGCGAAAGCGCGCAAGTGTATACTATAATCTGCTTGCATCTACAGCATTTAGTAGTAGTAGTATTACCCAACAAAACGGGGCAAAACGATTTAAATTTCGTTTATTTCACGTGCTTATCTTCGTCGTTGTGCTGATCGTCGTATTTGAATTCTAATTCCTCGCACTGATCATCGTCGTGTTCGTGTTGCAATTCTGATTCTCCGCCCCCGTCAAAGGTACCAGAGCTGGTACCAGATTTGGCACCGCTGGCACCAGAACTGGCACCAGATTTGGTGCCGCTGGTACCAGAACTGGCACCAGAACTGGCACCAGAACTAATACCAGATCTGATACCAAAACTGGCACCGCTGGCACCAGAACTGCTACCAGATTTTGCACCAGAAGTGGCCCCGCTGGTACCAGAACTGGCCCCAAAACTGGCGCCAGATTGGGCACCAAAACTGGCACCAGAACTGGCACCAAAACTCGCACCGCTGGCGCCAGATTTGGCAACAAAACCGGCGCCGCTTTTGCATGCGCGGCACCCCCCGAGCAGAAAAATCCACGCCCCTCCCGGACTTCTCCCATGCCTGTCGTGCTGATTCCCAAAAAAATCCGGGCAACCGCTTCCAGCCTTGTAGGCACCACGCACCCAGAAGCACGGAAGCCAACCGGGCGGGGCTGCCCCGAGTAGAACAACCCGCGCCCCCCCGAATCTTATCCATGCTTGCCATGCTGATTCCCAAAAAAATCCTGGCAACCGTTTCCGGCCTTATGGGCTCCACCCAGAAGCACGGAAGCCCACCGGGCGGGGCTGCCCCGAATAAAAAAGCCCAAGCCCCCCCCGAATTTCATCCCTGCTGGCCACGCTGGCGCCCAAAAAAATCCGCGCAACCGTTTACAGGCTTGCAGGCGCCACCCATAAGCACGGAAGCCCACCGGGCGGGGCTGCCCCGAGTAGAAAAATCCAAGCCCCTCCCCGATTTCGTCCATGCTTGTCATGCTGATTCCCAAAAAAATCCGGGCAACCGTTTCCAGCCTTGTAGGCACCGCCCAGAAGCACGGGGGCCCAACGGGCGGGGCTGCCCCGAGTAGAAAAGCCCGAGCCCCTCCCGGATTTCGTCCGTGCCTATCGTGCTGATTCCCAAAAACATCCGGGAGACCGTTTCCAGCCTTGTAGGCACCACCCAGAAGGACGGAGGCCCATCGGGCGGGGCTGCCCCGGGTAGAAATATCCAAGCCCCTCCCGGATTTCGTCCATGCTTGTCATGCTGATGCCCCAAAGAATCCGCGCAACCGTTGCCAGCCTTGTAGGCACCACCCAGAAGCAGAAGCACGGAAACCCACGCGCCGGGGCTGCCCCCAATAGAAAAACCCAAGCCCCTCCCGGGTTTCGTCCATGCCTGTCATACTGATTCCCAAAAAAATCCGGGCAACGGTTTCGAGCCTTGTAGGCACCATCCAGAAGAACGGACCTTTTTGGGGCCAAGAAGACCGAAGTGGCAAACCTGTGGTGCAAATTCTGGCGAACCAGAATCAGCCGGCATTTGGATCAGGGAGCCCCTCCCAACAAAATTTTACAGCGTGCCCAGTTCTACGTGGGAGCGTCGCCAATTTTGGGGCCAAGAAGAGGTGGCAAATCTGTGATGCAATTCTGGCGAGCCACGGTCTATCTCTCTCAGAATTTGCATCATAAAGCGCCACCGTCCAAAATTTTACAGCACGCCCATTTCTACGTGGGAGCGTTGCCAAGTTTGAGGCCAAGGAGAAGTGGCAGAGCTGTGATGCTAACGTCCCATCTTTCAAAATCTTACAGCGCACCCATTTCTACGTGGAAGCGCTGCAAGTTTTTAGCCAAGAAGAAGTGGTAAGCCTGTGGCGCAAATTCTGGCGAACCAGAATCAGCAAGAATTTGCATCACAAAGTCCCACCCCCCAAAGTTTTACAGTTTTGCAAGGAGGCCACTAGAATTCCGTCGTGGATGCGTCACTTTCTGCGTCACCTTCTGGGAAAGTGATGCAAGAAGTGATGCACGGCCAACAGAATTCCGTCGTGGATGCATCACTTTTTGCATCACTTTTCCGGCCGGTGCAAAAAGTGATGCACGGACACCAGAATTCCGTCGCGGATGCATCACTTTTTGCATCACTTTTCCGGCCGGTGCAAAAAGTGATGCACGGCCACCAGAATTCCGTCGCGGATGCATCACTTTCTGCATCACTTTCTGGGAAAGTGATGCAAAAAGTGATGCACGGCCACCAGAATTTTGTCGTGAGTACATCACTTTTTGCATCACTTTCTGGGAAAGTGATGCAAGAAGTGATGCACGGCCAACAGAATTCCGTCGCGGATGCATCACTTTTTGCATCACTTTTCCGGCCTGTGCAAAAAGTGATGCACGGCCACCAGAATTCCGTCGCGGATGCATCACTTTTTGCATCACTTTCTGGGAAAGTGATGCAAAAAGTGATGCACGGCCACCAGAATTTTGTCGTGAGTACATCACTTTTTGCATCACTTTCTGGGAAAGTGATGCAAGAAGTGATGCACGGCCAACAGAATTCCGTCGCGGATGCATCACTTTTTGCATCACTTTTCCGGCCTGTGCAAAAAGTGATGCACGGCCACCAGAATTCCGTCGCGGATGCATCACTTTCTGCATCACTTTCTGGGAAAGTGATGCAAAAAGTGATGCACGGCCACCAGAATTTTGTCGTGAGTACATCACTTTTTGCATCACTTTCTGGGAAAGTGATGCAAGAAGTGATGCACGGCCAACAGAATTCCGTCGCGGATGCATCACTTTTTGCATCACTTTTCCGGCCTGTGCAAAAAGTGATGCACGGCCACCAGAATTCCGTCGCGGATGCATCACTTTTTGCATCACTTTCTGGGAAAGTGATGCAAAAAGTGATGCACGGCCACCAGAATTTTGTCGTGAGTACATCACTTTTTGCATCACTTTCTGGGAAAGTGATGCAAGAAGTGATGCACGGCCAACAGAATTCCGTCGCGGATGCATCACTTTTTGCATCACTTTTCCGGCCTGTGCAAAAAGTGATGCACGGCCACCAGAATTCCGTCGCGGATGCATCACTTTCTGCATCACTTTCTGGGAAAGTGATGCAAAAAGTGATGCACGGCCACCAGAATTTTGTCGTGAGTACATCACTTTTTGCATCACTTTCTGGGAAAGTGATGCAAGAAGTGATGCACGGCCAACAGAATTCCGTCGTGGATGCATCACTTTTTGCATCACTTTTCCGGCCTGTGCAAAAAGTGATGCACGGCCACCAGAATTCCGTCGCGGATGCATCACTTTCTGCATCACTTTCTGGGAAAGTGATGCAAAAAGTGATGCACGGCCACCAGAATTTTGTCGGGAGTACATCACTTTTTGCACCACTTTCTGGGAAAGTGATGCAAGAAGTGATGCACGGCCACCAGAATTTTGTCGGGAGTACATCACTTTTTGCATCACTTTCTGGGAAACTGATGCAAAATGTGATGCACGGCCACCAGAACTTCATCGCGATGGGCTGATGAAAAACGTGCTGCACCCTGATAGCCCAAAGGCCGGGAAGGCACACAATGTGCACATAGCCCGGAAGGCACACAATGTGCAAAAACCTGGAACGCCAAAAAGCCCGCTTTCTCCTCTTCAGACGATCCTCTAGATTGTGTGCGCGCTATGGAGAAAAAACCCGTACCGACTGACTTCGACCGAAAGGGCTAATACCGTGGTGGACCGACACGGGGGAGGTCTTTTCGACTGATGGAGACAGACAGAGAGGTGGGCACACGGGGGAGATTAATTCGACTCGTATTGACAGCAATAAAAGTCGTCTTGTGACCGAAACGACGAGTTTTCCCTCCCCTTCGCAGTACTGTTACATCAGGCCGCTAGTACCGAAACGCGAGCCAGGTACTGATGTATTCTGAAAACTAATCAAGGAAAACGGGACTTTGCGGAAACGTTACCGAAATGAGTTCAGAGGCGTTTGCGACGCATCTATAAGTGCGGTCCCTGGTTTGTTTGGGTGGCCACGAGTCGTGGCGTCTTACCTGCGTCACGGGAGGTGGGTGACGACATGGAGAACAAGTAAATTTGCAGCACAGAGCCACGGTAAATCGGAGGACGATCGTGACGACGAGGACCGCTTTTCTTCAGCCTCATTTCAAAAAACCCAAATTAAGTCTACCATCAACTACGTCTTACTTCATCTTGCGAGCAGTATATTTGCGACTGTGCGAACCATCTCAAAGCTGAACGCGTATTCTATCAAAGAATAGGGCACATTTTGCTTCGTTGTCCTTCCAGCGGACAAGATCTTTAGCTCTGTGCTCACTTACATTCAAGCCGAACAGCAAAGCCTTTTGCAAAATCTCGGTTTGTCATCGATGGCGCCGTTAATTCTACTTCCGCGAAGCTGTCTCTCAATTCTACGTAGGAATAACATACAAGAAACCCTTTACATTAGAAAAGTAGAAGACAACAAATTCGGTGCATCTTCGCATGCTCGGATGCGGCCGCTAAGATCGTGGCGCCGGGACTCATTGGTTGTTAGGGTTTTCTGTAAATCGTAGGCTGTCACCAGTTTTAAAAAATAAATACAATTTACGTAAAACCAACACTAAAATGTAAATGGCGCTAGCATCTTGATCTTGTGTTCTTGTTGCTGCCACTTCCTGCTGTGTCAAGGTTTGAAGTGGCGCTGTTTCTGCTACAAGCTTTTAAATAAAGACAAAGACCTACTGCATCTTGTAATGCGCCGCATGCTGGCCTCGTACATGTAATTTGGGCTGCGCGTTCTAGTTCTTTGCTATATTATAGAGACAGAACAAAAGGCCCGGTGACCAGCGACGATGCCATCATTTATCAGCTACTGACGTGAACTTCGTGGACACTTCCGGAGGCAGTTTTTTATCCAGCACAACTAGATTGGTTCGGACCCTACCAGAGAAATCATTGCCGAACGCATTTTCGAGAAATGCTTTATCTTCCAATACTTCTGATACGTCCTACAACCAACCTCCGCAGCTTAGAGTCGCGTCGGCTTGCACTGTCTTGAAGTGTCAATAAAGCAGCTTCTTTCGACTCCGACTAGGAAAAGGGGGAACAGCTTTTCCTGTGCACAGGCAAAACCATTCTTCCCGTTCGCGTGATGTGCATGCCCGACAGTGTCTGAAAAAATTTGCGCCGATAACAGCAGGACCTAACCCTTTTATAAAAAAGAAAACACAAATTGTCCTGGAGAAAAAAGAATTTCCCATCAATCTACAGAAAAAGGGGTTTTGCAGTTTGAAATCCTGCGCAGTAAGATCAAGAAGCCTACTACGTCAGATTTACACTAATGTGCCCAGTGAGTGAAAAAAAAAGTCGTTAAGAAAGAAAAAATCATACGTGTTATCAGGAACAGGAAACAATACTTAAGCAAAATCTAGCACAAGAAAAATCGGGCCTGTTGCTTTTCATCAAATGTCACCATCTATGTGTGGCACAAGCTGTGAGGTCATTAGTATGCTGAAGAAAAACGTTAACGATCCCATCCTATCGCCAGCATGGAAGTTGGGCTACACATGCAACAGCTTTTCGCTGCTACGCATGACAAATTTTAGGTTACTCTATAGTCGTCTGCGGATGCCTAGTGCAGAGAACATTTAGAAAATTCCTCTCATGCTAGGGCTGCGCATGAGGAACATTTTGTCTTCAGGCGTCAAGATTTGCATGACAGAACTTGGATGGGCACGTCATTTAACAGGATATATCTTTCTGAGTCTGCGGTCAAAAAACTGAAATTCTACTAGTAATCTTTGCAATTTCACTTTGATCGACACTCGTTACGATTCTATCATACTTTAGCTTTTCTCCGGATTCTTCGCGGCAGCATCAGCGGGACGGTAGAACGCCACGCTATCCAAGGGAAAAATACTGCTCAAATAAACGTGGTCCACTCTGCAGCAACAGCAGCGCAGCAAAGTCTGTTTACTGGGAGTCGTCGCATGGCCGCTGCTGTTGTTGCAATGCTGATTGTTATGCGCGCATGCACGTACTTTCTCCCTTGGATACTTTGCCTGTTTGCACCAGTCTTTGAAGTCCGGGTCCTCCTTCCATATCTTCACGTTTGTGTTGTTGTGTTCGTCACATTCCTTGGCGTATAGAAGTTCAGAACAATCACAACCAACACACCCGCTAAGCAGCCCTCGATTAAACCGGTGATGGGCAGTAAATGTGCACGAAAAGCTAAAAACTGTCCCTGGTTCATCACATGAAAAAAAATGAGGAATGCATAACATTCTGGCACGTGTGTAGTTGTGATTTCTTCAGAGCATAGCTCGTGCGGTTTCCCGCTGGCGTTCTGTGCGATGACGATTACCTTCCGGGCGTCGTTTTTCTTCGACCGGCGTGGGGTGGTGCCTTGGTCATCGTGGATCTCGAGTTCGTTCCGGGCCGTATCCAAAGAAGGAACCAGATTCTCGGTCTAGCTTTCCTAAAAAATGCATGTTGATGACCGAAAGTGTCCTCGTTTTCTACAGTCGGTCATATTAGTACAGATGTGTTTCGTGGTGCGATAATTTGGGTCTGCTCTTTGTACTGACCACCCTGCACAGCAATGGGCGCCAGGCGCTAAGAAAATCAAGCATTATCATGCAATACGTGGTCGCGCGACCTGGCAGTGTCCGGAACATCTGGTCCAAAGATATCACAGAAACGAATACTGATAGTGCATGCTAGCGATTTCGCTCCCGCCTGGGCAACTAGCTCGAGAACCAGGTGGTCAGTGGTACTTGGCGTAAACCTGGGCCTTCGCTTATTAAGCCGAAACGGACCAGCTTTCTCCTGCTAAGGAACGCAAAGTTGGATACGTAGAAACGGCAGGACATGGACGCGCACAACAGAAAATGATTACCGGGGAATGGTCGCCCGGTACCGTCGTGCAAAAAATGCGATCGCGTCTTTGAGGTCGTCCAGTTTTTCTGATCATGCAAACAACATGATGGTGGAAATCTCAAATCATTCGCTGCCACTTTTGCCTCTGCAAAAAAATACACATTCTGTAATGCAGGTAAAAGATGCAGGCCTTTTGCGACTTGATAAAGTCCACCGGGTGGCGTAGTCGGTAGCCTGGTATCATCTTCAAAGACAGCATCTTCCCACCTCGATATGGATTGCAAATGTGTGTGGGTCCGGAAGTTTCAATTTGTAATGCTGGGTGGCGTAGCATGACAGCGCCACAAGCGATGGCTCAGCATGACAAGTTTCTGAGGTTTTAGGTCTTGTACTTGTCTGTTCTGCATGACAAACTGCGTTTCTGCATCACAGAAAAGTGGGACTTTTCGTTAACGTGCATGACAGACTTGAGCGCCTCGCTAGTCGAACTTGACGAGAAATCTTGCACTTTTCCAGACCCAGACATATTTGCCCTTGATACTCTATGGTGCCAGGCAATGTTCGAATACTACTCGTAGAACCCACAATTAGTACTGTGCACTGGTACATCCTATACACCATTTTTTTCAACACCATGTCCACCGACAGACCAGGGTTTGCAGTTCGGCCCGAACTGCAAACCCTGGTCTGTCCCTTCGCGATAGCGACCGGTCCTCGCGAAAAACAATTCGGCACAGGCTGCTGGGGTCGTTGTCATGTCAAATTGGTGAGGTGAGAGAGAAGTGTCATGCTCATCAGGATATGTACAGGTAATCGGTCTTGGCTGGTAGACAATTTTTTTGTTATGCGGTGACTGACGAAGGGTCAGGAGACATTCATGCACGATGTGGGTGAATCTTCTCATGCTGAGCCGGCATAACTGCGTAGCGTAACGTCCTCACTGGGCGTGGGACTACCGCTATTAAAGCCGTATGTTCTCCTTGGCGTGGTGCTGTAGCTACTACCCCTAGTCATACTAGCATGCTACTTTTGAAAAGTGCTGCACAACAAGACAGAGAGCCAGAGAGCGGTGCGCTTTTACCAAAGTCCACAAAAGCAAACACTTACCGTATTTCAAAGCTGTGTATCGTGAGAAAAAAAGTGTTTCACTGTGAGGATTTTGCAAATTTTGCATTACAAATTCGTGACACCCAACAAAAAAAACTTGCCATGCGTACGTGCTAAGTAGGGAAAACACGTTGATAAACCCAAACAAATGCGTCTGTGTTGCATGCATGTGATGTAGCAAGACAAACGCGTCGCGAAAGCATTCTATGTCTATGCATCACAAGTTTACAGATACAGTGAAACAGTTTTTTCTTGCGATACTATGGAGCAGGCAAATAGTCGTGTTACTGTCGCGGAAGCCGGACAACCCTCGGAAAGTTGCTTTTGCTTTCGGATTATGCATTGCAAATATGTCTCGGTCTGGAAATTTGCACGGTGAGAGGCGCATCAACATGAGGAGTCCACAAGAGGTAGCTCAGCTTCAGCATGACAATTTCGGAACTCCTAGATGTTGCCAATTCTGCATGACAAACTGCGTTCCTGCCTGACAGAAAAATGGGCCAGTCGAGTCACGCGCATGACAGACTTGAGAATCTTGTTTGCCAAGCATGACAAACCTCACACTAATCCAGACCCAGACATATTTGAACTTGATATGGATCGATCATGCGTTGCAATCATCCGCCTAAAGCGCTGCTGTGGGAGTTGAGGCTGCCTACAGTCTTTGCCTCATTTTCCTCACGGCCGATCCAATGTAGGACAAACAAAAAGAAGATGAAAAGAGCAACTGTCCCTTCCCTGGCAGTGACACGATTGCCTTGCGTATGGGCCGCGGCATGATCATAGTCCTTCGGCGCCTTTTCCTTCTTCGGTGTCCAAGGATTGCGCTGGATGTTCTCATCGACTGGAGGAACCCCTTCGTCCGGCATGCTGATCCGCTGTAAAAGCATTGGACACGGGGGAAGGATTCTGACCCCGAACCGAAGCGCAGGTCGCGCAACACGCAAATGCAAGATGACTTGATTTCATCAAGTTGGTTGTTTCCAATGAATGCATGTCACCAGACGCTGGAGAGATAGTAGTGACTGCTGGCTAGAGATTATATACATTTTTGTTCCATAACTTACCTCCCACACCCAGTCCGAGTTAATCTGGTATGGAATGCAAATGCGGCTTGGTCTCGAAGAGTGCAATTTGTGATGCTGATATTTGATTCTTCTCAAAAAATCTGTATCGCTTGAGCAGCAAATGCAAAAGCAGCCCAATTGTAGTTGCTACGTGTCGTGGTGGAGAGGGCATTTCTCTTGCGGGATATGCATCATTAAGCACAGCTCAGAAGATCTTCTGTGATCCTGCCCTTGCATCACAGACATCATGGGTCACGTGCAATGCGCATTACAAATCTTGCAATCTTCCAGACCAAGACAGATTTGCAATGCATATCCGGATTGCGTATGCAACACTTTTACATGCGATAAGACCGTTCTTGCCGCCGCCGCTTCCGTCGTTGCCGGCCACAGGGACCACGGCATGTCCCTTCGTTTCGTCGCCCTCGATCACGCCCTTTTGATCCTGCACAGGGGCTTCCTTGTCGCCCTTGCCCTTGAAAAGATCATTTTTGTTGTTCGGCACACTTTATGCAATGCAAAGATGTTTAGGTCTGGAAAACTTGTGATGCTGGGTTTTGGACGGATGAACGAGATCTGGGTGCAACCAAGCATGACACCAAGCTTTTTCATTCCGAGTGGGCTTGACATGCTGCATTTCTGCATGACAAAGGAGGCTGTACTTATTTTGCTGGCCATGCACTACAAAGAGAAATACAAAAATGCAGCACAACAAGCATCACAGGTTCCACGTCTCCCAGACCCAGACATATTTGCGGTGCGTACACCTTCCTTGTTACTGCGACCGCTGTTATTCATGGAGGCGTTGTTGACCTGGAATACCAAATTATTATCTGCATTCGAGTTAGAAACCACAAATTCGTCGTACAGCATCAAATCAAACGTCACGAAAGTTTTGCGAAGTGGTGCAGGTAATGAACGAATGGACTCTGCACAACAGTGCATAGGATCATTTACATCCTCAAAATTGATGCACGTACACTGCCCTCCGCAGCCCCCGCAGATTTTCCCTTCGTATGCGCCTGCTCCTGCTCATCGTTCTTGGGCGCGAGTCCCGAGTCCGACTCCCACTCTTTCTGCCCCTGGATGGAACCGGCGGGGAGAGTCACTTGTTCCGCCGTGCTTATCCGGTGTAAAAGTACGGCGCACGGGATGCCGCTTTGCAGAAAAGATGGCCACGTTTTGTGTCTTCATCACTCCTAGATTTTCTGCCGCTCAATGCATACCAGCAGGCCTCATGCTCATGGCAGTGACTGCAGTTGGCCCTGGTTTTCATTTTGTGCTACATAGCCATGCCCTACTTTGCGCTCCGCGTGCGTTTCAATGGCCAGTGCAGCGCTTTTACATCCGATAAGATTGCTCTTGCCGCTATGGGACTCTCAAGCGTTACATTCTAAACTGTGACGTCATGATTTGTCATGCGCACCCGACTGCACCACATCATGATTTGTCATGCAAAATCACCATAAGCCGCCATACGACCAAGTTACCTTGCAAGACAAATCGAAGAAGGACGAAGCAGTGGCAAAACCTGTGCCAGTTTTGTGGTGCGAGAGTTGCAAGTTTCCGCCCTGTTTCACCACTGCTGATCTTGCATCACAAATTCAAATTCATGCAGCAATAGTTGAGAGTGTAGCGTTTGAGAATCCCATAGCCGGACCCGACGTTGCCGGCCACAGCTCCCTTGGCATGTCCCTTCACATCGACGCTCTTGGAGACATCATTCTCGTCCTGCGCAACTTCCTTCTTACTGCCTTTGGGAGTGATGTCCTGCTTGTTACCGTTGCTCTCCATGTTGGCGTTGTTGAGCTGGAATGAAAAGATGTATGTGCTACGAGCTACATAAAACCAAAAGTATGTTGTTCGGTAAGCGCTTCAGGAATTCGAATCAAAGTCGCTGCTCCACTATCGAACTAGAATTGAACTACACAAAAGATTCGTTCGAAAAGTGTGAAATGACTTCAATTTCGCTCCCATATCCTCAAGCAAGGTATATATTTTCAATACCTCATGATCGTCACCAAAAATACTGCCGGTGATGTTGATGGTCTTGCTGGGTCCCCTTCCGAAGAGAATCGACGGCTTGTTCACACCTATCTTCTTGTCATCCTGGCTCGGCGAGAAATCTTCGGCATATCGATGGTGAAGGATTTTTCCCTCCCCCTTCGCATCTGCAAGCGCGTGTGTCTTGCTTAGCGCCTACAACTTTTCGTCAGGGCTTCAACGGTTCGTTTGTTGCCTGACTAGCATAATTCCTATGTACATGGTAACACGGACAGCTTCTTTCGGTACAGCTGAAGACCCCATGCTGTGCTAGTCATCATGGCTTATCACGGTTCCAAAGCGTCGACAAGATGAGAATGCTGCATGTACAAGAACCATGCCTCTTCCAGTCCGATTTGGGATCAGGGGAAAGAAAATTCTGGATGATACGCCGGAAAAAATATCGCTGTGCATCACGTTTCCTTTCATGCGAGACCCGAGTTTGCCATCGGCGTCCAACTCGTTCGCCTCTTGATCCGCCAGACCTGGATTTTATTGCATCATTCTAACCACTTCATGCTTGTTGGCAGCTTTTGCGACATAAACATAATCTTATACCTCGCATCTTCACTTCTACAGTACTGGGTACTTGTTATCTCTTTTTTGCAAACAGCTACCGATGTTGACCGAACTTTTTTACCTTTTAAGCCCTTATGCATTGCAAATATGTCTGGGTCTGGAAGACTGCCAGGTTTGTCATGCATATTTTGCATGATCTATGACGCTTGTAATGCATGGCCTAGCATCACAGATTTGTGGGCAGCATCCTGATGCCTATTCCGCATGACAAATTCCCTCTCTGCGTGGCAAAAATTGCCTTCCGTTATTTGCCTCTCATGCAATACAGATTTTTTTGGATTCCAAATGCAGCATCACAAGTTTCGTTCTTCCAGACCCATACATATTTGCATTTGATAGTCCTTCGGGGGTGACCGTGACGACGCACTCGCACTCGGATCTTTGGCAAACTTCCCGGCGTCGTATTTGAAGACGTTCTTGTCCTTCCCAAGATTCTGCCTGGTGGTGGTGGAGGTGATGCATTACAAGCATGTCTGGGACTGGGAGATTGAAACGTGTGATGCTTCTTTTCGATCAGACAAAAATCTGTCATGCATGGAATGCAAAAGTCGCCAATTTCTTGTCATCAAAGAAGTCTCGCATTTCATCTATATGCGGGAGAGGCATTCTTAAGGAGCATTGAGGGAGCTCCTCGAAATCAGTGATGCGATTGCTTGCATACCGGAGCTCCTTTTGGGTCATGCAGAACAGCATGACAAAGTCCACAGTGTATTTCTCGACCCAGACATATTTGCAATGCATAGATAGCTTCGAGGCACCAAAGATCGTGGAAGGGTTTTTCATCAGATGATCTGTTTCAAATTTTTTAGGAGCGATTCTAAATGATGGCTTTCTATGGGCTAACTTTTCCTTCTCAGCGGAACATAGAAGAACAAGAATCACATACAGGGTATTTCTATTTGCAAGTAGCATCATGCAACATATGTCATCAACACAATGAATAAAAATGAATAAACAGAAGATCCCCACTCCCGTCCTAGCCAGAAGGTAGGTCTTTACTGCATCCTCGAGAGCTATTTGGGGATGCAGCCGGCTAGCAACTTAGCATGACAAACACCTTTGTCATCAGCGGAAACGCATGACGACAGATCGGCCCTAGAAGAATACACCACTACATGGCACCCGAAGTTTTTTCCCCGGTCTGCAAAACACAGCTGAGTTGCGGCCACGAATTAGCATCACAAATTTTGGTTCCAAGTAATATTGGCAGGGGGGATCAACATCCTTCCTATAAGTACCTTCCTAGATAGATAAAAAGTACCAGATGAAATCGGCAGATCCTCCTGGTCGGAATCATCGTAGTCCATGACTTTCGTGATCTCGACTACTTGGGGGAGTAACTCTTCCAGCTTGTCAAAAAAGGCTTGTGGCGCTTTGACCTGGAAAACGGGGTCGTGTAATTCCTCCCAAAATCGCACATTCATATGGACATCGATCTCTGGGCTAGAAGACGGTGGCGCAGGTGAGGTTTCCATCGGTGCACTCGAGCTGGTGGCGAGTGTGCTGTCCTGGGGGGTTTTCTTCCTGTCTCGTTTCTTCGCGCGCGGTTCTCCATCTTGTTCATCCTCATCTTCGTCGTCCACATCCTCAGCGGCGCGGGCGCCGGGATTGTGCTTCTTGTCCTCGAAGATGGGCATCATCTTGCCCGTTTTCGTGACATGGAGCTTCGGCCTGACGAAGTGCGTCGCGGTTGCGAAAGCAAGGTTCTTACTTTGGTCGGCCTCCTTCGTCTATCAAATGCAAAAATGTCTATGTCTGGAAGAGTCATGCTGTTTCTGCATGACACAGAAGGTCTGGCATGAGAGCGCTAGCATCACAGGTTTCGAGAAGCTTACGCAATGCCGAACCCGCATGACAAATCCCCCATTTTGGTGACAGAAAGTGAGCAGCTTTTGCTACCTATGCATGAGAGATTTTTGTGTGTTCTGAAATGCGCATCACAGGTTACATCCTTCCAGACCCAGACACTTTTACATTTGATATCGCCATGAGCGCCATTCCGAGCTGGGGGCCTGCGGCGCAGCTCAGCTCGTACTCTCTCCGGGCGGCCTCCAGACACGCGTCTCTGTACACCTTTCGCTCTTCGTCTATGGGGTTCTCAAACGTCACGCTCTTAACTGTATACATTAATTTGTAATGCAAGAATGGCAAAACGAAAAGTCAAAGGACATAGATTTAGATTGCGCCTCTAGCATTACAAATTGTTCGGCACATATTTCAGTACTGTTCAGCCCTTCAAAAATTTGTCATGCGCAGCAGCAGCATCGTGTGGATGTTGATGGTAATTTTGCATGACAAATCATGTATACAGTTGTAAATGTAACGTTTGAGAATGCCATATCGTCAGTCGCGGTCTGCAACTCGGGCAACAACGGCAGTGTTTTGGATAGCTCGTCACTCACCCTTAGTTATCAAATGCAAATATGTCTGGGTCAGGAAACTTGTGATGCTGAAATGTCCATGATGAAAACACTCCGAATGCAGCCCAGCATGACAACTTCCCAAAACGCTTTTTCATAGGAAATCCGCATGACAAACTGCGTCTTTGCATGACAGAAGAGGCTGCGACTTTTGTTGGTTATGCAATACAGATTTTCATTTTCCAGGAATGTAAAGCTAGCATTACAAGTTCCAACCTTCCAGACCCAGACATTTTTGCCGTGCGTATTAGTTGCCGGGCGTCGTCATCGTCACCGGTGACGACGGCGGTTTTCGCTTCCGCGTTAGCCTGGAGGTCGAGTGTGATTTTGTAGTACCGCCCAGCGGGGTCGTCGCTCTTCGGCTTCGCTCCCGCTGGTAACCCTCCGCAGAAGAAGGTCTCGCTCAGTTCGATGACGAAGGGCGTCTCTTGCCGTTTTCCATTGTACCAGACGCCGTGACCGGGCAAACTGGGCGTCACCGTGACCGCAGGAGCGCTATTTTTGCGTTTACTTGTAGTCTCCTTTATTTCGACGACCACTAGCTTCTTAGGTGCACGGTCTTCCACCACCATGGAGCAGCTGCTGTCGCTGCCGAGAGAAAATGTCCCCACTTTCGAAAACCCAAACACATCGTCGTTGACGACAAGACACAATTCCGGTTGCGCCATCTTTTCACACAAGTTTACACTAGTAGGCCAAAGATAATATATACAAGTTATCAGTGGCGGAGGGAAAGATCGAAATATTACACCAAACGGGCCACGATGTAAAAGAACAACATCACATACACATTTTCACTCAATTCCGATTTCGCCACTAAATGTTTCGACTGAATGAAAGGTACTTACTGCACAATTTATCGAATGAATGAAATCGTCGTTGCCTCTACTGGTGTGGCACGGTCAGGGCCGGGCTGCCTCATAACGCAACGAAACCGAGACGAAAACTAGTCAACCAGAATTGCTGACCAAAAATTTGCAGCTGGAAGAAAAAGAACGCGACGTTTGCATCCTGCAGTCACTTCAATTCGTGATTTGACGAGGCTGTGCTCCCCTCGCGGAGGTTTACTCACCAGCGCTGTATTTTTTCGTTGTTCCGTTCTCCTATTCCTTTTCTTGCTACTTGGAGAGAAAATAATTTTGCCGAAACCTCCTTGCGAATGCGATGTAACTCAGGGGCCCGTCACGTAGCTATGATCAACGACCTCTTCAACATTGTGTTTTCCACACCGTGCTATCGAATCATAAAAGACGGCTCTGCTGCAAACCTTCCGCCTCATCCCAGCGTTAACCGCTTCTACGGCGCGATCTTGTGTCCCCCGCCAAGTCCCAGGGTCAGGCCGTCGGCGGAGACGCACTGACCTTTGCCCGACCCGCAACGCCAGACCCGGCAGCACCTCGGTACTTCGCCATGATTTCCCGTTGTTTTTCCAGAATTGCCCTGCAGTCGCTGTTATGCATTGCAAAAGTATCGTAGTACTCGTATAAAAATAAATGCATTACAAATTTCCTCAGCATGCGAAATAAAATTTGTAATGCTGAACTACCTCAAGAAAAAGTAAAAGATTTGTAATGCATGACTGCAATACGGGTAGGAGTACGATACTTATTTTGCAGAGGATAGTCGTAGCGGCCGTGCGCGAGCAAGGTGGAAAACTCGACATCCAACATCGTCCACGCGTTCGGCTTCAGCAGCTGCAGGTGGTGCCGCCAGATGAAGAGCATGCGCCGGGCGTCGCGGGTGTTGGTCTGGGCTGATTTGTCAATGACTGGAAGCGGTTTTCCTCGAGTTCTTAGTGTTGGCGCTGTGACAGGCTCGGCACTACAGGACGAGGGCTCAGGGTAATGAATGTAGTCAGTTCCCATTCGCGATACGTTTTCGTCACCGTCGGGGGGATCGTCATTCTCGCGCGGTTGGTTCCGCTCCTTGCAGGAGTTGTACAGCGCAATGAGCTTGTGAAGCTCGTCGGGCCACGACGGCGCGAAGAAGTCACACACTTCGAATAGCACCTGCGTGTCGCCTTTCCCAGCAGAAGCTTTGACGGTGGTGTACTGCTCAAATAGCTTTTCGAAGGCATATGTTTCGCCGATTCTGCGGAGGTAGTCATCGTCATCAGCAAGTGCCGACCTGTGATGTACAGGAGCTTCGCGCCGGAGGCGGCGCACTTCTTCCGTGTACGTTTGTCCCGCTGTTCGTGGGAAGAAGACGTGGTCAAGATCTACAAGCGAATTCACGCTCACGGTGTTGAGCGAGTGCTTGTTTATCCACCGTGCTGCAGTAGATGCTAATGGCGGACGTTGGGCATGGGACTGTTGGTCCGCTGCTTTACATGGAAAAGCAATGCCGGCTTCTTCAGTCCTGCATGCGGCGTCACATCCGGGTGCGGGGGTAGTAATCAAGTCAAACAAGGCAACTAGGATTCGGTTGACGTTGATTATTTTCGGCGGACAATTATTTTCTTCTCCAGATCTTTCCGGTACCGGTTCGAAAAACACTCCGCGCTGGTACTCAGGCAGCGGCAAAATATTATCGCGGTAGGACCAATTGCGCACATTGTCATCACGTTTGTCGCTGAATGAGAATGGGTGCTCGTATTCGCTTCTCTTCGAGAAGAACCGCCAGGGCAGGAATCCCAAGATGCGAGGAACCAATCCAGCTGGAACCGCACACCCGAGAGGCACGTCCGCGTTGGTAATTCTCCCCCATGGGGCCCACTGAGGTGGTGGGAACATGGCCATTCGGAACGGGGTGGCTACCGGTGCTAGTGTCCGTGGAAAGAGGGGGAACTCCCAGTGGTGTAGTTGCAGTCTGAACGCTCGTGCTACTCGAAAAAACACCGCCCAGGGAAATGCGCAAGCAGTTCTGTCTTCTGCCTCAAAAATAAACCACCGCTGCAGAATGTACTGAGGGTCTAGGAATTCACAACTGTTGCCTGCCTGCGAAGGAAAGTAAAAGTGACGGTCTTTTGGGGTCCAAATCATCAGTCCGCGGGAAGATGCTGCTCCTTGCCCGTCTGCTGCGAAGGTCCTCTCGGTCCAACAGCGCGTAGACCGTAACACCCATCGGCCTTTTCCCACGTCGGTATCTGGTGCGTCAGCGCTGCTCTGCTCTTGATCGCTTGTCTGAACCGGAGAAGCAGGTTGGTAGTTTGGATGAAGTATCATCTAGTCAAAAGCTTTTGCGCGTAATCCCTTCAGGCTGTTTCCATGAGAACACACACCGCGCTGAAAATTCGTGGCATTAGGGGTGCAAGAAGTCAGCGGCCAACTTCCATTGTATCAAACGCAAAAATGTCTGGGTCTGGAAGATTCCGGGATTTGTCATGCTAGTCCGGCATGACTCTGAGCTCTGTATTGCGTGGCCGCGCAGGGCTTCTCTTGCCTGTCATGCAAAAACGCAGTTTCTCATGCGGAGTACGCAACTTTGAACCACGGAAAAACTTGTCATGCTTGCCAGTGCATTACAGTATGCGCATTTTTTTCCCTCACTTGCATCACAAGTTTCCAGACCCAGACATTTTTGCAGTTGATACCTTGCCAACAAATGCAAGGAACTTAATCCCCAGTTTGCCGCCTTTAATGGGAAAAAATACACAAGGTGGACAAGCAGGAGCACTGCGCGCCTGACGAAGCGGATCGCGTCTAGTGGCTTGGTTCATGTGACTGTCCGCCACGGGATGCACAAAGGTTTTTTTTCAGAAATCTGATACAGTGCCCTCCGGCAGCGAGAATCCTCTCGCATTCGTCCAGGATAGCTCTTTCCCGCTCGTCTTCGGACTGGTGGTCGTCAGCAATACGCAACATTTCGGCCAAGTCCGTTTCAAACAGGTAGTAGGTGCGATGCCACGTGTGACGATCTTCAAAATTCGGCAATATGTTCCCCAGTACTTCATCATCACGCATTGAAGCAAACCAATACAACCATGTCGGCACTGTGAATTGTGGTTACGTGCTGGTGTGTTTTCAGTGATCAATAAAACGACCCTCTCTTCTGTGTTGAGCAATGCAGCGCAGCTTTGCATCGAGACCTCTCATGGCAAAAAACGTATTGGTGTACTCTTCTATATTTGATATCCATCCGGACCGCCCAGCTGTCTCATGACTATGTCTGGTAAAGACAGGAATCGTCGTTGGTGTGCTCCTATGCCCCACCTATAAAACCCTCTGCGCCAAAAACCAGTAACAGACGGAGACAGGAGAAGCAGTTGCATCATCAACTGCCACTTTCCCTGCATTATCTGCAGTCGCTCCGGGTCAATACTGCCATCTGTGTTGTGAAAGTGTTCACACCGGCCACTCGGGCACGATCGGGCAGCTTCGTCGCGTCGTCTGGCCTCCGGGCAATGGCTGAGCACGCGCAGAACCGCTTCGGTTGCTTCGTAGATTTTCGCCCAGAGTGGCCTCCTTTCCCGATATAACTCCGGCACGAGGTCGAAGCTCTCTTCCCATGCTGTTATCCGCGCGACTGTGTATGGAATGAGCGCCTCAGCGTCAAATTTTCCTGTATTACTGTTGACACACAGAAAACCATAAGCAACCCTTCTTATGCTGCTGTCGGTGCGGTAGAGCAGGTGTTCGCGAAACTGTTCGACGTAGAGCCATTCCGGCAAGCGGGCAAGGTGGTCTTGGAACAGCAAAAGAAAATCCTCATAGGCATCTTCATCGTCGAGATCAAACTTTTCGGACATCAGGGGTAGGAAGTCACCTGGTTTCAGGTTGTAACCTGTAGCAGGAGACGCATCTGGAAAGAACCCGGGTCCGACGCTCTGCTCCACCACCCGAACCGTCGCCACCTTCGTCGTATGCAATTGCAATGTCATCGATTTGTACTTTACAGACCACTGCGAGCAGTTTTACCAGAGTCAGACAGTATATCAGGCTTTACGAAAAGGAAAAGGATCGAGTTGTATGCAAAGATATCTATGCCATACAGTCAGTGACAAGAACAAATCGATGCTGAGGCAGCTCTTGCCACCTACTCGTTCATTTTCTTAGTTATCGGTTGGCCTATCGTCGTCCTTTGTTTTTGCCGCGCCAGGTGAGACTCCCGTTGGAAAGCCGGGTGGGACCGCAGCCGCCGACGCTGGGACTAGAACTAAGTCAGCGGAGTTTTCAGCAGATTGCACCGTTGTCGCGGCCTCACTTTTCAGGGTGTTAACAGATGACTTGCTCGACGCGGGCTGTGGTACCTGCTTGTGTTCTGTTGCACTCTCGGATGAAAAACTGGCTGTCGTGGTCTTGCTGGTCTCCTGGTGCTATGCAATTGCAAAAGTATTTATAGTACTACTTGTAAATACGGCTACGGTACCAGTATGAGTCTTCGCAGGACCATAACAATGGTAAAACCGAAAAACTTGTTATGATCCTGGACGTAAAAAACGAAAAAGCGTGGTCGTGCGATAATGCTTTTGCAAGTGACGTGGCTACAATACGTTTGCGCTGGATATATCGGCGATAGCGGTGCTACACTCCGCTTCTGGTGAGGTTGCCGTAGTTCTCGCTTCTGCAGAGGCGGCAGACGGTTTCGAGCAGCTTGGAGCATGAGCTGCAGAAGCGGTAGTCGGTGTTGGAAGGAGCACAAAGTCGATCATTTCTTCGCCAGGTTTATCGCACGGAAACCTCGACTCAGTACTTATTTGTCATGCGTGAGCAGTCATATAATAATAATTTGAATTTTCGATGTTTCGAATTCAAAATAGTGGAACTGTGTTTCACTTTCTTTCTTTGCATTTTGAAGGAAAAATCAGCCCCTGATAGTACCATACTGAGATTGAAAATAGTTTCCGTCCGATACTCTTCTAGAAGTTCTTCCGAAACAACAGCTGCTGGGTATCAAAATGAAAAATCCCCCCTCCCCATATCAAATTGGAAGTCTGTGATGCAGGACTTGTGTACACAAGTCAGCATTTTCTTGCCGTAGAGGACTGCATGCAGATGCCATGCCCGGGCTGGGCCTTTTTGTTGTTGGCGCCTGGTTGCAAGGGAGACTTATCCTCTGCACGCCATACAGCATTACAAATTTCCCGCAAAACCTGGCGGAGTCTCTGGCTTTGCCTTCTCGCAATACAGAGACGATTTGCGTTCGCAAATCAGCATCACAAATCTTTAGAAGTATGTCTTTTCAGTATGGGGAGGGGAAATTTTTCATTTTGATACTGGGGTCCGCGGACTGCTGCCGAAACTCCGTGCTTGTCCGATCGTTGCGAAAATTTGTGGGTTCGTGGCCAAGCTTGTCATGCGTGTTTACAATGTAGTTACCCTAATGAATCCGACAAGACAAAAGCAAATTTGTCGTGTTGCAGCTACAACAACTCCAGTAAAAGAATCGTGTAATGCTTGGAATAAATAAGGTAAACACGACGCATGACAAACCTGCCTCGACCATCAAATTTTGTCATCGATATTCTGCGGGCTGCCACCTTGCGAACTGTGTAGCAGCGAATCTCCCTCCTCTAGCAAGCTCGACCGGTCTATTGTGAGCAAAAATCCCCCCTCCCCATATCGAAGAGGCGCGCTTTTCAAAATTTGCGATGCTGATTTGTGGCCACAAATCGAGTCTGTCTTGCAAGAGAGCGAAGCCAGAGCTTCCGCCGCATTTCGCAGGCGATTTGTAATGCTGCTGCGCCAACGGGGCAGACATCTGCCATGCTAAGTGACTACCTCAAGCCACCCCTTTGCGGGCTTTGTTTCTGCCTGCAGTGCTCTACTGCAAGACAAAGCTGATTTGTGTACGCAAATACAGCATCACAGACTTCCCTTTCGATGTGGGGAGGGGGGATTTTTCCGTCTGATACGGTCTCCGCTGCCAGAACTTGGCGAGGCTTGTGGTGGGGTCGTGGCCTCGGTGATCCGTAAGACTTGTAGCAGAGAAGCAGGTATGCAATGCAAAAGTATCGTACTAGTATTAAGCGCAGTACAAATTTCCTTAGCATAAGAAATGGAATTTGTCATGCGGATTTGCCTTAGTATAAAAGATTTGCAATGCATATGCAAGATTTGCATTTATACGAGTACGATACTTTTGCAGTCCATAGCAGGTGCGACTCGTTTCGGGAAGTGCAGCAGGAGAAGCGCTTTGAACGTGTTGACCGTCATCGATACGCTCGTTTGTCCGCCTGGAATTTGTGGTAGCCAAAAGAGAGGTTTCTCAACGCATGTCGGAGCACAACTTGCAAAAGTGCGCTTTTTCGTACAATTCAGAGCGCCAGCTGATCTTTTTTCCCAGGTACGCAACACACATGGAGCACTTGAAAATAGGATATGCAAGGACAGAGTCATGATGCAAAACAAGAATCACAAATTTTATGCAAGACAAATTGTGCTACTTTGAAAAAGAAATTTCACCTGATCCAGGATTTTGTTCGTCTTTCGTGTAGGTAACGGGCTGGAAGTCCGCTGGCAGAGGCACGTACTCCGGCTCTCCGGAAAGGCCCTTGAGAAACCGCAACATGTTTGGTCGCCGTTGGGGTCGTATCAACTGCAAAAGTATCGTATTCGTATAAATGCATTACAAATTTCCTCAGCATGAGAAATAATAATAAAATTTGTAATGCGGATTTACCTTGAGAAAAGGATTTGTAAATGCATGACTGCAATACGAGTACGAAACTTTTGCACAGGATAGGCCGTTTTTGATTTGGATGGCGTCGGGAGGATTTTAGTCCTTGGAGAACTGCCGCAGGTTCCCGTCGTACCAGCGTGAATTTCTAACGGTTTCGGCCGTTGCCGTTAATCGTTTTCGGAACCGGTGCTGGTGCTCACGACGCTTGTTTCACCATCTTGACCAGTGACGCTGCGGGCCTTGGGACAGGCATCGTGTTTGTCGTGGTTTCACAGCGAAGAACCAAGAAGGAGGTCATCTTACCTTGTCACTAAATCATTTTCGCTGGAACAATTTTCTTTGTGGTCATAGACATAACATCATGCTGTAGATGATAAAAAAGAAGAGAGTTGGAACGAGTTGGAACTTTACCAATCCACATTTACCATTTTATTTAGCAGCTTGTCTTCGTCCACAACAAACAAACAAAGCGGGGAAAAAACGGCCGGAAGGAAGCAGAATGCCCGTATGGATTGCAAATATGTTGCCTCCGACGTCTGGAAGAAAAGTGCAAACTTTTGTAGCATTCTGAAGGGCGGCGCATAAAAATCTCGTTTGTATGATTCCCAAAAGAGCAGGGGGCCCACTTCTTTTGTTAACCATGGAGAAAATCTGTCATGCTAGGTCCTTCATTTCAGACCTCAGTCTCATGGGTTGCGAACGAGCTGCATGACAAACTTCTGCACAACTCTTCCAGATGTTGACCCAGACATACTTGCAGCTGATACCAGTCTTCGTCACACACAAGTTGCAATTCGGATGAACACGACGACTCTTCTACCACCACGTATGGAACTTCCACCCACCCTCACTTCGGGGATCATGTGAATCTACCGAACTATAGAAAATTATACTTGCTGCTCTTGTCATATTAAGGATTTCGCTACGGTTACTAGGTAATAATGACGCACACGCACTTCATTTTGTTTTCGGTTCATCTCGTAATTTTCTTCAGTTTATCATTTCGGTGCCAATATCTTCGCTACTTGGAGTGTTTACACGTTCGTTGAATTGCTCTTCAGACAAGTTATTTCTTCGTTTTACATCTGTGCTTGGACAAAGACAAACGGCTACAAATATTAATCAAATGCCGATCTTGTTGAATCTATATTTAGGTTCTTATTGTTTAGCGCTTCGTTTTGTCATTGCTTCTGCAGTGATTATTTTTTCGCAGTGGTTCTTCTTCTTGCGTCCTTCCTTTATTTGGAAATGTTTGTCCAGCTGCGTCGCATCTGCAGGTCTCGTGGTATGCAATACCAATCGCATTTGCAACACGTGTACGTACTTTTCCTACTGGATCTCCACCACGCTCTCCGGCACCAGGCCCGAGGCTTTGCGACACGTCCACTGCAACACATGAATCAAAAGGAAATCGTCATCCGCTTCCATTTATCAGATGCAATTATGTCAGGTGTTCTGCAAGAATGAAGGAGTATGTCATGCAGGTTTATTTCGATGCTCCATGGAAGGAAAAGGCTGAAATGCAGGACCTAGCATCACAGGTTGATGATCTGCAAGGCCCTTGCACTGCCTATGCTGCATGAGAGTCGTTATTTTGGCTTGGCCAAGAAGTAAAATGGACAGCTTTAGCTAGTCGTGCAATACAAATTTTCGTGTGACGCACAGGGCGCATGACACATGTGCACTATTCTGATCCTTCCAGACCCCGACATATAATTTGCAACGCATACCACCCGTCGCAGCCGCTCTTCCCCAAATTGGTTTTCGTGCCAGCGTAGGACTTCTTGCATGAGAAATCGCGTCCCGTGCCCGGCGGTGAACGCGGTCTCGAATACCGGGTGTCTTAGAATCCCGATTTCCAGGGTGGAAGACGCATGGTCGGCAGGTAGAACGTCATCCGCATCAGCAGGATCTCCATCCTGGTCTCTCGAAGATCCAGCCACCGTGGTCGTCAAATCGGGAATTTTCGGGAAGGATTCAAGAAAATGCACCAACGTGGGCACGGTGACGTCGAAATGGGAGGTGGCAGTGTGGGAAAGCCCAATAGATATGCATTGCAAAAGCACCGTGCTAATGGTAATTCTTGAATAGATCGCATCACAAATAAATTTGAGGCCGGTACGCAGTGATTTTGTGAGAAATAGAAAGGAAATTTACCTTCCTAAATTCAGCTAACAAAGTGAACTTGTCATGCGTAATTGCGATTGGCACGAATCGCTACAGCTTTTGCAGTGGGTAGTGGTCTTCGCCAGATTTTTCATTTTGTACCGGCGGTAGAGTTTCGCGACCGTCTTCATCAGCTATGAGGGTGCGCAACTTCTGCCCCTCCCCCTCATTTGTATTTTTGCATAAGCAGCAATACAAACACCAACACATACGGTGCCTGTGCATGACAAATTCATGCGCCTAGTCTAAGTGGTACTGCAACTGCTTGGGCTTCCGGAATCTGTCATGCAAACAGTCCCACAGGGACAGGGAAGCGCTCGGATTTCTTGGGGGGTTGCATGACAAACGAGGGGAACAAGGGGGAGTAGTTGTTCACTGTCGTATCAGCTGCTTTTTTTCCGTGTCCGAGAAGAGGAACCTCAAGTACAAGAACAGTGCCCGGCGTCGCACACCCGCCAGTCGCAACCCCAACGCCGGTCGCCGTGAAGAGTTTCGCCTTCGTTCTTGCCACGAAGTCACAGTAGGTGAGAAAGAGAACAGCTCCGTTTCTGGAATTTTCTGCAATGCGTTTAAACTGTCTCCGCTGTCGTAACAGCCAACCAGCGCCAGCAATGCCGCGGAGTCGGTCGTAGACACGGGGAAATCGGGGGACAGCGTGGAATACTGGCCTTGTTGAGAATTTGTCGCCGCGAGAATTTGTCGCGCTGTTCTGCTACTTGTTCGCCTCGAGGATTCGACCGTTTCGTCAGTAGAGATCGCGTCTTTCCTAGCGGTATCCTGTGGAAAAGCATCGCACTCGTATAAATGCAGGTCTTGCATTACAAATCTCGTTCCCGAGGCAAATCTGCATTACAAATTTTATTTCTCATGCTGAGGAAATTTGTAATGCATTTATACGAGTACGATACTTTTGCAGATCATAAGCGGTACTGGCTGCGAGTAGAATTTCGTCGTACATCTGCACCGCCTGCTTCCACTGTTTGCTTATGGATTGCAAAAATGTCTGGGTCTGGAAGAATGCAACTGGTGATGCTGCATTTGGACTCCAAAAAAATTTGTATTGCATGAGTAGATAAAAGGAGTATAATTTTTGCTACAAGGATAGGGCATTTGTCATGCGGAATAGGCATCAAGATGCCCTCAAAAAATATGTGATGCTAGCGCGTGCATCATAGACATCATGGCTCATGCAAGACGTGCATCACAAGTTTCAGAATCTTCCAGACCCAGGCATTTTTACAGTTGATATTGCTGTATTCTTTGCAAAAGTATCGTACCGGCATGCAGGAGAAATTTCCATTTTCTATACGGGCAGTTTTTACATCCGCATTTACAAATCTTATTTTTCATTTGGGAGATAAAATTGCTCATGCAATTATGTACTTTAGTACGATACTTTTGCAATGCGTATGTCATACTCAAACGCGAACGCAAGCAGCAGTATCAAACGCAAAAGTGTCTGGGTCTGGAAGAATGCAACTTGTAATGCGTATTTCAGAACACAGAAAAGTCTCTCATGCATACGTAGTAAAAGCTCCTACTTTTTGTCAGCAAAATAGAGGACTGTCATGCCGATTCGGCATTGCGGAAGGTTCTCGAAACCTGTGACGCTAGAGCTTCCATGCCAGACCTTCTGCGTCATGCAAAAACAGCAAGACTCTTCCAGACCCAGACATATTTGCATTTCATAAGCAGGCTCGCCTGCACCACCACCGGGTCGGACCGTGCGGTCGCCGCGTGGGAACTAGATTTCGCGACTCTCGTCGCCAGACACGTTTCTGCCAACGGTATTGCGGTGTTCGGCAGCTCCAGCTTTGCTCGTTCGCACTGCAGCAACGCCAGCGTCGCCAGTTGGAAAAGCAACCGTGCCCGGATGAGGTCATCTCCGGAGCGGCCAAAGGAGCCCGCAGAACTGGCCGCACCGCCTTGCTGGTTTTGTGATACCGCCGTATGGGAGGATGTGAAAGTAGCGGAGAATGCTGATGGGCCGCAGAGGTCCAAAGCTTCCTGCAGAAAATTTTTCACTTTGAACCATTCTTTTTCGGGTACTACCATCCTTAGCGGTTGGCGCTGATAGGACTCGTTTTTTTCCGTATCAGCAGCGCTTGGCGACGAGGATGTCACGAGCTTTCGCAGTAGCCACCCAAACGCAATTCTCGCTCGGACGACCGCAACTGGTAACGCGTTTGAATTTTCCCTCCTGGAAGAACTCGCTGCGGACGTGGAGCGACTGGTAGATGAACCCGAAATCATTTTTGGTGACAATGGTCTTCTCGCTTTTGGTGAAAAGAAAGCTGGCGCGGTGCTTAGAACCTTGTCGGTCAAAAAATCCACGTGTGCTTGTGCCGCGAGTGAGCCCGTCGACATGATAGTACTTCCCGACTGCAATGACGATGATCCGTCACCAGCAGGAGGGTCTTCGGTGCCACCACCGCTGGTCTGCGAAAATACCAGGAGGAACGCCCGGCTCGCCTGAATTTCGAAGCAGGCGTTGGTGATGAGGTCGGGGACAGGAGTAGTGCGGCTCTTTCTGATACTTGTCATCCTTTTCGCTTGCCCAGCCGCTATTCCTGCTCTCGCCGCCGCCGCGGCTATCTTTCCCTGCTCGTAGTGTTCCCGCGCGGTCTGAACTCTCTGCAGCCCGTATGCATAGCAAGTATGTGGTCTGGGTCTGGATTTGTCATGCAAAATCTGAGGGACAGCGAGCTCTGTAATGCATGAATGCGATTAGAGGCAGTTTTTTTGTCGTGCTGGAAGCCATACTTTGTCATGCTTTAAACACACGTAGAACTATGCAAGGAACCGAGGAGCAGTTGTCATGCCGTTCTGCCGTACAAGGGATGCCTCTTGCATGCAAGGACCACCGTGACAAATTGTACGCATCTTTCCACCAGAGCCAGACCCAAACATATATCTGCAATTGATAAGCCGACCGCGCAGGCAATCGCGAGGACTCTTCCGGCAACTTGCTCCTCGTGTCGTTCCCGCATCTTCGCCAACAGTCCTTTCACGGCGATTTGATACCCAAACTCGTAGTTTTGCGCCAAAAACGCCAGCTGCCCCAGCTTCAACCGCCAAATCCGGGCGGCAACAACATCGCGTTTCGCTTCCGCCAGTGACAGTTCCAGGTTCAAAACGAAAAAACTCCGCTCGAAGATGCTTGTGGACGTGGCAGCGTGTAGGGCACTGAAGGCGGAAGATGTGCTCGCTGTCGTTCATGCATGGCAAAAGTGTTGTGTTAGTTCGTATTGCATTACAAGTTTACTTTATGCTGCTCAGCTTGAAAAGTTAAAGTCAAGTTTGTCATGCTGCATCACCTTGGGAAGCAGATTTGTCATGCGTATCTGCAATATTCATTTAAGTAGTACAACGCGCAATACTAGCACGGCATACGTATTTTTGCACAGGATAGCGTCGTGTCCAAATCAATTTCCTCCACCGCAGGTAGAAAAACGATATGAATTTTTGCAAAAGTAGTATCGCACTGCCAAGCGAAAACTGCATGACAAATTTTCTCAGCATGAGAAATAAAATTCATCATGGTGCTTCACCTCGGAAAAGCAATTTGTCTTGCATGACTGCAATTATCATCTACGAGTCCGATCCTTTCGCACAGGATAATCCAGCCTCCTCACATCGAGCAGCGCGGAGAAGAGCGCGGCGGCACTCTTCGCAGTGGAACTCTCCGGCGGCTGCTCGGCTGTACCGCTCCCCCCTCCGAGCGATGCCGCTGCCTCCTTTATCTGCTCCGCGAGCAGATTTCTGTAGTTTTTCAGCACCTCTGTAGCGGCCAAGTTCGCCGTTACGGTATCAAAAGGAAAAATTCCCCCTCCCCATATCAAAACGAAGTTTCTGATGCAGGATTTGCGTACACAAATCAGCCTTGTCGTGCTGGAGAGGAGTGCAGGCCCATACTAAGCCTAAGTAGAGAGGTTTTGGCCTAGGCGTCTAGCATGGGAAACGTCTGCATTGTAGGCCCATCAGCATCACAAACCGCCTGCACGATGCTGCGGAGCTTGTGGAGTTGCCTTCTTGCAAGGCAGGCGTGATTTGTGGTCTCAAATCAGCAACACAAATTTTCGAAAACATGACTCTTCGATATGGGGAGGGGGGATTTTTGCTCTCAATATACGGAACCCGCGGTCGCGACGCGGCGGTAGCGGAGACTGGAGCTGGCCGCGGTTATTGTATCAAAAGGAAAAATTCCCCCTCCCCATATCGAAAACGAAATTTGTGATGCTGTATTTCAGTACACAAATCGACTTGTAATGCTAGAAGGCCAAGAGACGCAGCGGTGGCCTCTATAGCGGCAGGCAATTTGTCATGCTGTTTCTCCCTTCCAGCTGCCCCCTGTCATGTTGAAGATGCAAGGCTTTCTCGCGCCAACCAGCACTACAGTCCGCATCTTTTCCCTTCTAGCATGACAAAGCTGATTTGTGACCACAAATCTGCATCACAAATTTCTAGTTTGAGTATGGGGTGGGGGGATTTTTCACTTTGATATATTGCTTCGAACGGCACTACGTCCTCCACGATGTCCAAGTCTTCCGGTGAAATAAAATCGTCTTGATAATGTTTTTATCAAATGCAAAAATGTCTGGGTCTAGAAGATTTCTAGATTTGTCATGCATATTTTCCATGAGCCTTTATGTCTGTAACACATGCCGTAGCATCACAGATCTTTAGAGGGCAGCTTTGTGATACCTCTACCGCATGAGAAATGCCCTCTCCGCGTGGGACAAACCCGACCCCTCTTGCTGGTCATGCAATACAAATTTTTTTAGAATCCACAGACAGCATTACAAGTTGTGGCCTTCCAGACCCAGACATTTTTGCAGTTGATAGTTTCCGCTCTGGAACAATCCGCAAAATCGCGCCGACGCCAAAATGGTACTGCAGGGCGTGCAACAGGAGGTCTTGGGGAAGCCCGTCCGGCTTCAAAAGTTGCTTCGGGATTCCGGGAAATTTTTCCAAAACTTCGCGCACGAGCATCTCCACCCAGAAACGCTGCGTTCTCTGCGACTCTATCAAATGTAAAAATGTCTGGGTCTGGAAAATTCTGAGATTTGTCATGCATATTTCGGATCACACAAGTGGCGTCTGATGCAGGCAAAAGCATCACAGGTTTTGAGCACGCCTCATGATGCCTGTCCCGCATGAGAAACTTCCTACTTGCGTGCCAAGAAATGGACAGCTTTTGGCGCTCATGCAACACAAATTTTTGTGTGTTCCAGAGTTCGCATCACAAGTTCCAACCCTTCCAGACCCAGACATTTTTACATTTGATAGACTCGCCGATGGTGTCTTGGAAAAGCTTATTCTGAGTAAAAACATCCCCACCCCAGAGTTGTCATGCAAATCTGCATGCCAAGAATGTTTCTCATGCGGAGCTCCATGAAGCATTTCCCCATTGTGTTTTGGAGTTTGTGATGCTCAAATCAGCGTGATATGCTAGATCTGTTATGCTGCTGGAGCTAGCTAAACAGGATTACACTACGGGGCCAAATTTGTCATGCGAAACGACCAAAGCTGGTTGATTTGTCTAGCAGCTCTCCCATCTTGACTCTGGTGTGGGGATGTTTTTGCACAGGATAAAGCTGGAGGATCACGTCGTAGTAGGGGGCAACAAAGTTGTCGTCGCGGAGATTTGTTCCATTGATCTGCACCGGCGCGAGTTTTATCCTGTCGCGCAGAATCTTCTTGCACGTCCTGGCCACGGCTTCTACCGTCAACAACGTCCTGCTGTTATCCTGCGCAACAGTATCCTACTCGTAGTAATTGCAACCATGCATTACAAATCTTTTTTTAAAGGTAAATCCGCATTACAAATTTCATTTCTCATGCTGAGAAGATTTGTCATCGTCATGCATTTATACGAGTACAACTACAATACTTTTGCAGTTCATAGCTGTGCTGCTCTTTGCAGACGCCACAAAGCTGCCCGATATAGCGGCAATTCACGCCCCTGGCGTGCAGAAACCTGGTCAGCGTCGCAGAGCAGGTGATCTGTAATGGTATTTTTCCAGCACCAGCACTACCATCCTCTTGCACCGCGAACTCGCCGCCGCACATTCTGTCAAGGTACTCTGCGGCTTCCGCGAGTAACCGTGTCCGGACGATGCCAGAGAGTCGCCTCGCCTCCTCATTGACCCGCACCTCGTATGGGTTCTGCAAGAACTTTATCAACTGTAAAAATGTCTGGGTCTGGAAGATTACGAGATTTGTCATGCATATTTCGGATCACGCAAATGGCGTCTGATGCAGGCAAAAGCATCACAGGTTTTGAGCACGCCTCATGATGCTTGTCCCGCGTGAGAAACTTCCTACCTGCGGACCAAGAAGTGGACAGGTTTTGGCGCTCATGCAACACAAGGTTTTGCGTGTTCCAGAGTTTGCATCACAAGTTCCAACTCTTCCAGACCCAGACACTTTTACAGTTGATAAACTTCTGCTGCGCCGTTGCGTCCTCGCCACCACTTGCCAGTGATGTTCCACCACCAGCAGTACTTGCTAAATTTCCACTATCCCACGAAAAAACTGTTTCACTGTGATGATTTTGCATGATCTGCATCACAAGTTTGTTGCACAAGACACTGAAAATTTGTCATGCGCACTTCCCAAGGAAAAACAGGCCGAAAAACCCAATGCCTTGCATGTGTAGCAAGACAAATAGTTTTGTGTTTCATTTTCTGCATCACAGGTTCACAGTGAAACAGTTTTTTCTCAGGATATCCGCCGCTCAAGAACAGCTCTGGTCGCAGACGGTCCCAAAGTGAGGCTGAACTCGCGTCACGGGGAAAGAGCATTCCGACCGTGTGAAACTGTAATGCGGAAAAAGCACCACCGGGGCCTTGCGCTTCTGCCCCGGGGCTCGAGGTATTTCTGGTACGGACCAGACAGGGTTGCCGGATCTTTTCCCCGGTTTTATTTGCCGCTGTGTTCTTACCAGTTAGGTCGGCAAGGATATCAAATGTAAAAATGTCTGGGTCTGGAAGATTAGAACTTGTCATGCTAAATCTGAATGATGCAAAAATCTGTGTTGCGTGAGTACCAAAAGCTGTCCGCTTTTGACCAAGTTGGGAGGGAGTTTCTTTCTCATGCAGGAAAGGCATGCTAGAGACCTCAAAGAATCTGTCATGCTGGGTCTCGCATTCCAGACCTCATGAAACGTGGAAAACCTGCATCACAAATCTTGCATTTTTCCAGACCCAGACATTTTTGCATTTGATAAAGGAGGCGGAAACCTTGTTCGTCGTCAGCGTCGGTAGTTTCTGCGAAAATCTTGTCTTCGATCCTTTATCGCACGAAAAAAGTGTTCCACTGTAAGGATTTTGCAAGTTTTGCATCACAAGTTTGCTCTACATCACAGAGGAAATTTGCCATGCGAGATTCCCAAGGGAAAAGACGCCGAAAAATCCACTGTCTTGCATGTGTAACAAGACCAACACTTCTCAGATACATTTTCTGCATTACAAGTCTACAGTGAAACTGTTTTTTCTTGCGATATCCTTTTCACCTCCTGCATTACAAGCTGCGCAGAACTGCCCGCATTCCGAGGGATCGGGAAGGGAACGAGTAACACTTGCGGCAACTCCGGTTTCGGGCGCACGTGGACTAGCACCTGCCCGCTCGTGTAGACGTTGCAACACAAGGTCGGAACGAGAGTTTCGCACTCACACTTTGCGATCAGCTCGTTCAGAAATTGATGGGTTTTCACTTCGTGGCCGTACCTTCTCCTCGCTTCCTGCTCCGTAATGCCCTGCTGCTTGCTGCCCTTGGAGTATGCTTTTCAAATATGCCAGGGCCGGGGGGCTTTCGACTGATACAAGGACCGCGCCGGCCATGGTTTTTTGAATGGTTGCCAGGCTGGCCGGGGCATTTGCATAACCGCTAGCGGCCTGCCCCGAACGTCGAAAACGGGCCCGCCTGGGCGAGGGCTTCGCTTGTTGCATGGCCCGCGGGGGGCGCCCTCTTCCGCGCCTCAACAATCGGCCCGGCCAAGCCCGGCAGGGGTTTTTGTGGTTGTAACTCCCGCCCCAACGCGCTCCGCGGGTAGGGGTCCTTGGTTTGGGAAATACGAACCAACGGCCACGCTTCTCCCGGCGAGGAATGAAAAGAGACGAGATAGACACAAGCAGGCGGCTCTTTGGTTTCTGGTCACTCGGCAAGAACAAACTTCGGCCGCAAGAGTAACCGCATGAGGGCGCGGGTTTTCACTTTTCAAAAGTCGACGCACGGGCACAGCGCTCCACTGTTTGTTTTTGGACGCACGTCACGCACTAAATGCGTCCTGGCTCAAATCCGGCTGGTCCGGGATGGGGGCGCCGCAGCCTGAGGAACTTCCCCGGACTGCTTTCCAGTGCCTCCCTTGGCTCCTCAGCTCTTGCGCTTCCGCATTGCTCGTTGTTCAATTGACACTGCTATGGGCCAAGGCTTACGCCACGGGAGCACAACCTTCAGAAGAAAAAAAAGAATCCGCGCTGTGTCTGTTCTTGGAAAAGGAAAGGGCGAGGATCTGAACCCGCGCCACCGCCGGGGGGATAGCTCAGAGACACACGGGAGCGAGGAGCGCCACAGATTACACAGACCGGACACCGGCGCGAAGGATGCAGTCGGCCTACGTGCCCTACCTAGGCACCAAAAATTGGCCCGGCTCGGTGCTAGCGGACGAGGTCCGCCCCCCCCCCCCCCGCGTCTCCGGCGCGGTTTATCGACATCCTCCGGCGGCCTTGCTCCATATTTTCCGGCGGAGGTTCTCGACCTCCTCCCGCGTCATGTCTCGGCCTCTTCAGGCGAGGTCTTCCGATCTCTTCCCGCGAGAGTTCTCGGGCTCCCTTGGCGAGGTTTCTCGATCTCTCCCGGCGACCTTGCTTGCTCCATATCTTCCGGCGAGAGTCCTCGAGCTCTTCCCGCGCCCTTTCTCGATCTCTTCCGGCGCTCTGCCTCCATCTCTTCCCGCGTCATGTCTCGATCTCTTCCGGCGAGATTTCTCGATCTCTTCCGGCGAGAATTCTCGATCTCTTCCCGCGTCATGTCTCGATCTCTTCCGGCGAGATTTCTCGATCTCTTCCGGCGAGAATTCTCGATCTCTTCCCGCGTCATGTCTCGATCTCTTCCGGCGAGATTTCTCGATCTCTTCCGGCGAGAATTCTCGATCTCTTCCCGCGTCATGTCTCGATCTCTTCCGGCGAGATTTCTCGATCTCTTCCGGCGAGAATTCTCGATCTCTTCCCGCGTCATGTCTCGATCTCTTCCGGCGAGATTTCTCGATCTCTTCCGGCGAGAATTCTCGATCTCTTCCCGCGTCATGTCTCGATCTCTTCCGGCGAGATTTCTCGATCTCTTCCGGCGAGAATTCTCGATCTCTTCCCGCGTCATGTCTCGATCTCTTCCGGCGAGATTTCTCGATCTCTTCCGGCGAGAATTCTCGATCTCTTCCCGCGTCATGTCTCGATCTCTTCCGGCGAGATTTCTCGATCTCTTCCGGCGAGAATTCTCGATCTCTTCCCGCGTCATGTCTCGATCTCTTCCGGCGAGATTTCTCGATCTCTTCCGGCGAGAATTCTCGATCTCTTCCCGCGTCATGTCTCGATCTCTTCCGGCGAGATTTCTCGATCTCTTCCGGCGAGAATTCTCGATCTCTTCCCGCGTCATGTCTCGATCTCTTCCGGCGAGATTTCTCGATCTCTTCCGGCGAGAATTCTCGATCTCTTCCCGCGTCATGTCTCGATCTCTTCCGGCGAGATTTCTCGATCTCTTCCGGCGAGAATTCTCGATCTCTTCCCGCGTCATGTCTCGATCTCTTCCGGCGAGATTTCTCGATCTCTTCCGGCGAGAATTCTCGATCTCTTCCCGCGTCATGTCTCGATCTCTTCCGGCGAGATTTCTCGATCTCTTCCGGCGAGAATTCTCGATCTCTTCCCGCGTCATGTCTCGATCTCTTCCGGCGAGATTTCTCGATCTCTTCCGGCGAGAATTCTCGATCTCTTCCCGCGTCATGTCTCGATCTCTTCCGGCGAGATTTCTCGATCTCTTCCGGCGAGAATTCTCGATCTCTTCCCGCGTCATGTCTCGATCTCTTCCGGCGAGATTTCTCGATCTCTTCCGGCGAGAATTCTCGATCTCTTCCCGCGTCATGTCTCGATCTCTTCCGGCGAGATTTCTCGATCTCTTCCGGCGAGAATTCTCGATCTCTTCCCGCGTCATGTCTCGATCTCTTCCGGCGAGATTTCTCGATCTCTTCCGGCGAGAATTCTCGATCTCTTCCCGCGTCATGTCTCGATCTCTTCCGGCGAGATTTCTCGATCTCTTCCGGCGAGAATTCTCGATCTCTTCCCGCGTCATGTCTCGATCTCTTCCGGCGAGATTTCTCGATCTCTTCCGGCGAGAATTCTCGATCTCTTCCCGCGTCATGTCTCGATCTCTTCCGGCGAGATTTCTCGATCTCTTCCGGCGAGAATTCTCGATCTCTTCCCGCGTCATGTCTCGATCTCTTCCGGCGAGATTTCTCGATCTCTTCCGGCGAGAATTCTCGATCTCTTCCCGCGTCATGTCTCGATCTCTTCCGGCGAGATTTCTCGATCTCTTCCGGCGAGAATTCTCGATCTCTTCCCGCGTCATGTCTCGATCTCTTCCGGCGAGATTTCTCGATCTCTTCCGGCGAGAATTCTCGATCTCTTCCCGCGTCATGTCTCGATCTCTTCCGGCGAGATTTCTCGATCTCTTCCGGCGAGAATTCTCGATCTCTTCCCGCGTCATGTCTCGATCTCTTCCGGCGAGATTTCTCGATCTCTTCCGGCGAGAATTCTCGATCTCTTCCCGCGTCATGTCTCGATCTCTTCCGGCGAGATTTCTCGATCTCTTCCGGCGAGAATTCTCGATCTCTTCCCGCGTCATGTCTCGATCTCTTCCGGCGAGATTTCTCGATCTCTTCCGGCGAGAATTCTCGATCTCTTCCCGCGTCATGTCTCGATCTCTTCCGGCGAGATTTCTCGATCTCTTCCGGCGAGAATTCTCGATCTCTTCCCGCGTCATGTCTCGATCTCTTCCGGCGAGATTTCTCGATCTCTTCCGGCGAGAATTCTCGATCTCTTCCCGCGTCATGTCTCGATCTCTTCCGGCGAGATTTCTCGATCTCTTCCGGCGAGAATTCTCGATCTCTTCCCGCGTCATGTCTCGATCTCTTCCGGCGAGATTTCTCGATCTCTTCCGGCGAGAATTCTCGATCTCTTCCCGCGTCATGTCTCGATCTCTTCCGGCGAGATTTCTCGATCTCTTCCGGCGAGAATTCTCGATCTCTTCCCGCGTCATGTCTCGATCTCTTCCGGCGAGATTTCTCGATCTCTTCCGGCGAGAATTCTCGATCTCTTCCCGCGTCATGTCTCGATCTCTTCCGGCGAGATTTCTCGATCTCTTCCGGCGAGAATTCTCGATCTCTTCCCGCGTCATGTCTCGATCTCTTCCGGCGAGATTTCTCGATCTCTTCCGGCGAGAATTCTCGATCTCTTCCCGCGTCATGTCTCGATCTCTTCCGGCGAGATTTCTCGATCTCTTCCGGCGAGAATTCTCGATCTCTTCCCGCGTCATGTCTCGATCTCTTCCGGCGAGATTTCTCGATCTCTTCCGGCGAGAATTCTCGATCTCTTCCCGCGTCATGTCTCGATCTCTTCCGGCGAGATTTCTCGATCTCTTCCGGCGAGAATTCTCGATCTCTTCCCGCGTCATGTCTCGATCTCTTCCGGCGAGATTTCTCGATCTCTTCCGGCGAGAATTCTCGATCTCTTCCCGCGTCATGTCTCGATCTCTTCCGGCGAGATTTCTCGATCTCTTCCGGCGAGAATTCTCGATCTCTTCCCGCGTCATGTCTCGATCTCTTCCGGCGAGATTTCTCGATCTCTTCCGGCGAGAATTCTCGATCTCTTCCCGCGTCATGTCTCGATCTCTTCCGGCGAGATTTCTCGATCTCTTCCGGCGAGAATTCTCGATCTCTTCCCGCGTCATGTCTCGATCTCTTCCGGCGAGATTTCTCGATCTCTTCCGGCGAGAATTCTCGATCTCTTCCCGCGTCATGTCTCGATCTCTTCCGGCGAGATTTCTCGATCTCTTCCGGCGAGAATTCTCGATCTCCTCCGGCGACCTTGCTCCACCTCTTTCGGCGAGAACTCTCGATCTCTTCCCTCGTCGTGTCTCGATCTCTTCCGGCGAGATTTCTCGATCTCTTCCGGCGAGATTGCTGGATCTCTTCCGGCGAGATTTCTCACTCGATCACTCGATCGCTTCCGGCGAGAGTTCTCGAGCTCTTCGCGCGTCGTGTCTCGATCTCTTCCGGCGAGGTTTCTCGATCTCTTTCGGCGAGATTTCTCCAACTCTTCCGGGGAGGATTCTCGATCTCTTCCCGCGGCATGTCCCCAGCGCCCCCAAACCAGGGCAGCGGCCTCCCTTTAATACGCTTCCCCACCCTTACTTTGCCGGCCTGCTTGTTTGCGGCGGGGCGAAGGGGGTACGAAGGTGAAAAGCCAACGCGCCCCAGCCAGAGCAGCGGCCCGGAGTAGGCTTCTCCAACCTTTGCCGGCCTGTTTGTTTGCGGCGAGGCGAAGGGAATGCGGACAACCAGCGCCCCCAAAGCAGGTCGACGGCCCTGCGTAGGCTTTCCCATTCCTTTCTGGCTTGTTTATTTGCGTCGGGGCGGAGGAAATGCAGCAGCCTTGGGTAGGCTATCCCAGCCTTTGCTGGCTTGTTTGTTTGCGGCGTGGCGAAGGCCATTCATATGTTGCGCAGCGTGACTAACTATTATCTTCATGCAACATGGATAAAGATAAACAGCCTTGATCTTACTTCCCCCAGCCTCCTGACATATTTACAACTCGTAAGACGACTATGAGAACCAAGCCCCTCTTGTGCTGTGGAAAAACGCCCTGACAGCTACTTCATATAGGGAACTCTGCGATCATCATCATACTCACCAGAGACGAGTGCCCACGTATAACAAAGTTGGATCCTCAGCCTAGTCACGCTTACTAATTCCGCTGGCCGCATCACTAAGCTATTGCACTGCACTGATTGCACTTCGAGAGCGAGAAACTTTACTGGCACAGCAGCACGTCATAGGGCCGTAAAATTTCCCATGGCGTGGATAAGCAAATTTTTGTGCGTGGACGATTTTGCACAGCATACCTGCCCGTGAACGTGATATCGTCTTCAAACATGGCGAGCCCGGTGGCCTTGTTGCTCATCCGGTTCCACTCCGATTTGTAATTCTGCATCAGAGATCTGGTCTGCGATGCGCCCTGCGCATAAGACGTATTCGCCTGATGTAATTTCTTGTTGTACACAAACTCGTCCCCCAACGCATTAGCCGCAACCACTGCAGCTTCCGTGAATTTCGCAACCGTGTATGCGTTGCAAATATGTCTGCGTCCTCTGGAAAATTGCAACTTGTGATGCGAAATCTCCATCACAAAAAAATCTGCGTTGCATGAGCACCAAAAGCTGCCAACTGCTTGTTAGACGAACGAGGGGGATTTCTCTCTGTGCGCATTTTTCCAGACGATGTGTGTGGTTCGCGAAATTCATATACAAATCTCGCAATGAATCTTCCAGAGGGCCCTGGCATATTTGCGATTGATACCGTGTGAAGGAAATCAATATCGGACTGGAAGTTGCTAGTTCCCGAGCTGTCTCCACGCGTGGCCGCCGTGACCTTTCGCAGATACTGCTCTTGGTAGAAAGCTTCCCAGCTGATCGTCGCGTGAACGACGTTAGTTTGCCAGTAGTCCGACTCTGGTCCGAACATGGGCACCGGCGTGTTCGAAAAAAGTTCGAAAACCGTTTTCCGGATTGACACTTCTGGTCGCTCCATTCGCGGCGTAGATTCCTTGGACTCTGGCGCGCTGAGTGCCTTCGAAGCAGCAGACTCCGCTTTCATCAGCTTGTGGCCGCGGTTAGGTTGCATACGTGACACATCATCATCATCTTCTGCGACGAACACGGTATTTGCATCGCGACCTCGTTCTCCCGCTGTACTAATAATCTGCTTCCTCAGCAGCTCCGTCTGCTTCTCGCTCGGCAGTATGACGCAGCGCTGGGCCTGCGTGGCAGGCATAACCTGGTCGGCAACGTACTCCCTTGTCCACAGGCTGAGCAAGTCGTCCAGCTGGTCTGCGGTCGTTTCTTCTTCGAGAACTTGCTTGCTCTCGGCGAAACTTATCTTCCCGCCGCCGAAGCTGTGGGCTCTTACCAACTGGAGGAAGTGCGTATCCTGTGCAAAAGTATCGTACTCGTATAAATGCATTACAAATTTCCTCAGCATGAGAAATAAAATTTGTACTGCAGATTTCCCTTGGAAACAAGATTTGTTAAATGCAAGACTTGCATTTGTACGAGTACGATACTTTTGCACAGGATAGTGCGCGAGCACCTGCTGGGGAATGATATCAATTGCAAATATGTCTGGATCTGAAAGAAGGCAACTTGTCATGCTAATTCTGGATAGTGCAAAAATCTGTGTTGCATGATTACCAAAAGCTGTCCACTTTTGACCAAGCTGAGAGGGAATTTCTCATGCAGACGAGGCATGATAGAGGTCGGGAAGAATCTGTCATGCTGGGTCATGTATGACAGACCTCACGCGTGTTGGACAACCTGCATGACAAGTCTTCCAACCTTCCAGACCCAGACATATTTGCATTTGATAAATGAAGAGGGCGAGCAACACCTGTCGCTGCATGGGGTTCTTGACCAACAGTGCAGACTTGTCCAGTGCAAAAGCATCGTAGCAATCGCCATCATGAATGACAAATCTGGTTTCTTGGCTGATTCACCATGATAAATTTCATTTCTCATGCTGAGAAAAATTTGTTATGCATTTACTTCTACTAAACTAGTACAATACTTTTGCAACTCATAAGACTGCCCCGTGCGTGTTTCCTGCATCACGGTAAACTCGGTATCCTCCACCACAGCTTCGAAAGGGAGCGGGGCCGCCGTGTCGGCTTGCCGTTTCTCCCTCGCTGCTTTGTCCAGGTAGTCACAGGAAAAAAGGAAGTATTTCTGACCTTGTTGCAGAGGTCCACCTCCAGCCGCGGAGGAATTCTCCAGGGTGCCGGTAGTGTCCGTCACCGCGAGCAGGCCAATTTGCACGCGGGTTGTCACCCTCCCTTCCACGAGCCGGGCCATGCACGTCGTAAAGATCGGCGCCTGCTTTTTGGCGCGTTTGGGAACATGGGCGGAATTTCCGCCCGAGGAAATTTGGTGTGCGGGGTTGGAGAGTTCTGCATTGCCATTGGCTCGCCGGTTCCCGAGCTTGAGCAGGTGCGTGACGGTTTGCAGCGCTTGCGCCCGGGCAAGTGGGTCTGCCTGCTTGGGTGAGGCGCCGAACAGCACACCGGTCGGTACTGCTGCCACCAATTCTGGGAACGTCAAGTACGACTGCAGTTTTTCCGAGTATATTTTCGCGGTCCCAGGCGATGCCGTTGTCGACCCGAGTAGAAGTGCGGTCATATTTGAAGCGCCGGGAGCAGCTCCACCTCCAGCTGAGAGCCCGAAGCAGGGAAGAAACACGTATCCTGCGCAAAAGTATCGTATTCGTATTCATTGCAGTCATGCATCACAAATCTTTTTCTTAAAGGTAAATCAGCATGACAAATTTGATTTCTCACGCTGAGGAAATTTGTATATGCATTTATACGAGTACGATACTTTTGCAATTCATAACACGTCAAAGAACAGATCGAGAACTGAGTGCAAAAACTCGTAACCGCTAGTCGGATACGGCGAGGCAATCCCGTCTGAAGATCCCACCACGGCGCCGCCGTATCAACTGTAAGAATGTCTGGGTCTCGAGGAATCCAACTTGTCATGCTGATTTTGGATTCGAAAAAAATCTGTGTTGCATGAGCAGCAAAGAGAGTCCGAGTTTTGCTACACGGAAAGAGTATTTGTCATGCGGTATAGGATTCAGGAAGCCCTCACAAAATGTGTGATGCTAGGGCATGCATCACAGACATCAGGAGTCATGCAAAATGTGCATGACAAACCTGGCAATCTTCCAGACCCAGACATTTTTACAGTTGATACGCCGCTCGTTGCGTCAAAGTTCGTGTGTAAGAGTTCCGCGACCACGAGAATCGGGTAACCGTCTCGAATGCAAATATGTCTTGGTCTGGAAGAAGTCGGAGATTTGTCATGCTACTGCTGCTGCATTTCATTTCCCGGAGGTCTCGAATGCACGCAGAGCATTTACAAATTCTTGAGATGCTTTTGCTTACTCATGCCTGGCCCACATGATAAATATCCATTCGAGACAAAAATCGGACATCCTTTGCTCGGCATGCAATACAGATTTTTGCCTGTTCCAGAATCCGCATCACAAGTTTGCAGCCTTTCAGACTCAGACATATTTGATGCAATGCATAACTCGGTCTCTTCCTCGATCACGTTCACATACGTGCCATCGTCATCGTCGCCACTGTATCCTGTGCAAAAGTATCGCACTCGTATTGCAATCATGCATTACAAAGTTTTTTCTCAAGGTAAGTCAGCATTACAAATTTTATCTCTCATGCTGAGGGAATTTGTCATGCATTTGTACGAGTACGATACTTTGGCAGTTGATACACTGGCCTCCTGTCCGCCTGTACCAAAGTCGCCGTCACGTAGGTGCTGCTGGTTCAGCTTCATCAGAACCGGCAGCAAAGACGCCCAGAGTGCCTCCGCCTGCAGCTGCACTAAGGTGGATGTCGCGCCAGCGGCGGAACTACCCGGGTTTGGTGCTCCTCGAGCTGCTGCCCTCCCCGCGCCCATCTGGTAGTTGCCCATCAACGCCGCTAGCATATTCACGAAATCCATCTGCCGCCACATGGAAATTTCCGCTTGCTTTTCGATAACAGTTTGCTTGTCCAAGGGGGTGACGTTGTAGTGCGGGTTATTGTTGTTCCCGTGCTCTGTCTATGCATTGCAAAAGTATCGTACTCGTATAAATGCATTACAAATCCAGCATGAAAATCAAATTTGTAATGCGGATTACCCAAGAGAAAAAAGTTTGTAATGCATGATTGCAATACGAGTACGATAATTTTGGACAGGATACTGTCAAAGCCAGGATGTGCTCCACCGTGTGCTTCGTCTCATCGTCCTCGTCATACGCCTATCAAATCCAAAAATGTCTAGGTCTGGAAGGTTGGAACTTGTGATGCTGTCTCTGGATTCTAAAAAAATTTGTATTGCATGACCAGCAAGAGGCCTCCATTTTGTCCTACGCGGAGAGGGCATTTCTCATGCAGTAGAGGTATCGGAAAGCCCTCTAAAAATCTGTGATGCTACGGCATGCATCACAGACATCATGGCTCATGGAAAATATGCATGACAAATCTCGAAATCTTCCTGACCCAGACATTTTTGCATTTGATAACGCCAGGGCGCCGGTCAACCGCTGCCTTTGTTGAAAGGCGCGTTTCACAAAAAGAAGCGCAGCACAGGTGTCGGCGATAGACCTTGCGGCGATCGTGTTTTCGCGAGCGGATGTATTGCGAGGAAAACTCCCCCGTCCCCATACCAAAAAGGGGCACTACTGAAAATTTGTGATGCTGATTTGTGGCCATAAATCGCCCCCGTATTGCAAGAGGGCAAAGGCAGAGAATCAGCTCTGTTCTGCAGGCACTTTGTAATGCTGTATCGCCCACAGAGGATATGCCTGCCTTGCTGGGGCCCTACAGCAAAACGCCCCTACTCAGGCACTGCATCTGCCTGCAGTCCTCTACTGCTAAACAGATTGGATTTGTGTACACAAATACCGCATCACAGATTTCCGTTCTGATTTGGGGAGGGGGGATTTTTCACTCTGATAGGATGGCGAATCTGTTTTGCCGAACAGCTTCTCCTGCACCGCGGCCGAGAGATGGAATCAAAATGAAAAATCCCCCCTCCCCATATCGAAACGGAATTTCTGATGCTGGACTTGTGTACACGAATCAGCTTCGTATTGCAGAGAGGCATTGCGGCCAGATCCGCAGGCTAGGTAGGGGCGTATGGGTCTAGTTCTTCAGCATGGCTAACGGCCCCCCTTTAGGCCCAACAGCATGACAAATCGCTTCCATAACGGGGCGGAAGCTTCTGCCATTGTCTTCTTGCAAGACAAATGTGATTTGTGACCTCAAATCAGCAACACAAATTTCCGGAAGCATGCCGTTTCGATATGGGGAGGGGGAATTTTTCCTTCTGATAGATGAAAGTTGGTGTTTATCGCCGTTGGGTTCAAATATCCAATGTGAATAAGTAAATTCGCCGAGTCTACTTCAATTTGTCATGCGTGGAATACAAGGTTTACGTTTAGGTTTTGCTACTGCATCCCTCGTAGGACTTCTTGCAAAAATGCAAATTCATTTTTGCGAAGATGATCATGTTGTCTCATGGGATATTGTGAGGCCCATCAGCAAATCGTGGAAGTCAAAAAAGCTGTAGACTTTCGTGTGGGATGAATTCATACGAAATGCAAATATGTCTGGGTCTGGAAGAGTGTAAACTTGTCATGTAAGTTTTTCATGACCCATGAGGTCTGGAATGCGGGACCTAGCATGACGGAGTCTGTGAGGTCTCCCGCATGCCTCTCCTGCACGAGAAACTCCATCCAAACTTGGTCGAAAGTGGACAGCCTTTGGCACTCATGCAACACAGATTTCTGCATGATTCGGATTGAGCATGACAAGTTGCAATGTTCCAGACCCAGACATTTTTGCAATCCATAATTCAGGACCTCCCCCGCCCCCGCCACAGGTCTCGACCCGTCAGAAAGCTTGTCCAGAAACTCAGCAACCTCCGCAGCTGTCAGTGCGTATCCAGCACTTCCTCCCGCTTGGAGGAAGAGGGAGAACAAGATCCGCAGGTAGGGAAAGAAGTTCACCACGGGCTTGCCAGGAATTGGGTTCTGCCCGTTGTACATTGCGCTACGGCCAGCTTGCGTGTGAGCTTGCCGTAAATCCGCTGTGCTGAACTGCAGAAACTCGTGAAAAGATATTTTCACTTTAACGTTGACCCCTTGTTGCTGAATGCTTGGCGCGGCGCGGCGTGTCGTCCCCGGGACCACACTCTCGTGCGCAAACCCCTATGCACTGCAATAATATGATCGCACTCGTACTGATCGCATTTATGCATCATGTAAATTTTTCTGTCAAGTTAAATCCGCATTACAAATTTCATTTTTCATGATGAGGGAATTTGTCTTGCAATGTATAGGTATACTAGTACGATACTTTTGCAGTGCATAACCCCATCCTGGCAGCGATTTCATAGATGTTCTTGACCTCCAAAAACTGCTTCTCCAACGCTTCGGCCTTTGCGTTCTCCGACCCGTCAATCGTGACCAGAAATCGGTAGAGCAGTCGCCAAAAATGCTCTCCGGGTTTCGGGTTGACCGCCAGGGAGACAATGTCGAGAGAGGAGGTTGGATATGAATTGCAAATATGCAAGTCTGGAAACATTGAACTTGTAATGCAAGTCCGACATTCCTGTAATTGTAAAATCTGTATTGCATGACTAACAAAACGAGGCCTCCTACAAAAGCGCAGTTTCTCATGCGCACTGCGCATGAGAAAGTGTTCGGCAAAAGTGTCAGGCTTGGGTGCACTCGGAAGGATTTTAGTCATGCACATTTCAGCATCACAAGTTTCCAGACCCAGACATTATATTTGCAGTTGATATTGGAGCGCCCTTCGGAAAAAGTTTCTTGCACTGCTCCGTCCAGCTGGTGTTATCGGCAAACTGCTCCAATACTGGGTAGTGCTGCGCCAAATTCACGTGCGCTGACTCCGACGTAATTCCGGATTTGGGTTTGTAATGCGCATGCGAGCTCCATCAGGTTTAACAACTTCGCATAATTTTCGCCTTTTCTAGAGTAGGCTAGTAGAAGGCAAAAGTTCCTTGATAGATGATTCGGCACAAACATGCCTTGACGATTCGGCACAAAGCAGAGAAAGCCGATTGTGCGCTCCCTATTTACAGTCAGACAACGAACAAGAGCTGCGCGGCGCAGCCTTTTCGGCCTCACGGTTGCAGCGCTTGTGGCCTAAAAAAGTCCTACTTTCGGGTCAAGAAATAAAAAACGAGCTAAACACGGAGCGCTCTAGCTGCTCATGGGAAAAAATGAACAATGCGCGCTCGTCCACTGTCCGCCCTACACCTACTCGCGGAACAGCGTGCGTGCTGTTTCTTTTGTTGGTGTAATTTTATTCTTTGTTCAAATTTTGGGCACAGAAGCTCTCGCAAGTGCAGGGGATAAATACGGGAATGCTATCAAACCTGATAAATGCCAAAACTCGGCTATCAAGAAGAAAAATCCCCCCTCCCCATATCAAAACGGAAATCTGTGATGCAGATTTGTGGTCACAGATCAGCTTTGTCATGCTAGAACGAAAAAGATGCGGACTGTAGTGCTAGGCTGCGCGGGAAAGCCTGGCATTCTCAGCATGACACGAGGCAGCTGCAAATGGGAAACAGCATGACAAATCGCTTGCAAACGAGGCCACAACTGCGCCCCTTTGTCTTCTAGCAATACAAGTTGATTTGTGTACATGTACTCAAATACAGCACCACAGATTTCGCTTTCGATATGGGGAGGGGCGGTTTTTCCTTTTGATATCGGCCCACTTCATGTTCAGCCCCACCACCGTTCCGACGCCCGGGTTTCGCCCTCTCTTTCCCTGGAAGGGTCGCGGGACTGCGAACGCGCTATTTTCGCCCGCTAGGTGTGGGAGAGACACCCGTATCAAAAGGAAGAATCCCCCCTCCCAATATCAAGACGGAACTTCCTATGCTGGATGTGGATACACAAATCGCGTTTGTCTTGCAGCAGAGGACTGCAGGCATATGCAAAGCCTGAGGCGAGAGGTTTTGACGTAGGTGCCTAGCACGACAAACGTCTGCGCTGTAGGCCCAACAGCATCACAAACCGCCTAAACCGTGCGGCGGACTCTCTAGATTTGCCTTCTTGCAAAACAAACAGGATCATTTGTGGTCACAAATCTGCATCACAAATTTTCAGGCGCGTGCGTGTTCAATATGGGGAGGGGGGATTTTTCCTTACGATAACCCGGTAGAGATTTTTCACCGTGTCCTGCAGCTGTGCGTGCGTTTGCCCGAGGATCGCAGCCTCGATTCTGTCTTTGAAAAGGAGGTAGAGCTTCAGGTAGGACTTCAGGGCGAAGAGTGTCATGTGCCCGTGGTCTTCCTGGTGCTGGAGCGTGAACTGCCCATATGCTATCGTGGCGTAACATCTTCTATCGGGGCCTAAATCGTGTACGTGTAAGTATGTTGCGTTCCTGCATTTTTTGGCGTAGAGGATACAACACAGACAACTCTGCAAAACGACCTGCAAATTTACAGACTCATATTGCGTTTTTTACTTGCTTGCTTGGCAACAAAACGGCATTTAGTACAAATTCCGTAGATTAAAAAACCGATTTGGCCCTAATACGACGGTTTTTTTTAATCTGGTATTCGAGGTTACTGTTCCAGAATGCAACAGGTTGTCCATAATGACCGCGAAGTGTTCTATGGTGACGCAAGGTTCGTCCGCCGTCTCATCGCCCAGTAGATTGAGAAACCCATGTATGCAAGAAAAAAACTGTGTAAGTGTAAGTCTGTGATGCAGGAAATGCTAAAGCTGTTACACTTGTCATGCTAGAGGTGCGTCAGAGGCCACTTTCATACGTGTTTCCACTGATACTAGCTGCCCATGACAGGTTTTGTTCCCTGTAATGCAAAACGAATTTGTAATGCTGATCTTCCTACAAAGAAAGTTCCACTTCTTACAGAGTTTTTTTCCTGGATACCATGCACGTCATCCACAATCTCCTGCACTGCGGTGTGCTTCGTTGCGTGCTTCCCGTCGCCAGCCGTACCACTTTTCTCGGCCTGTTGGTACCTCCCCGCGACGAACAAATTGTTGACAAAGTCGTGAATAGTCAACGTCTGCTCGTGCAGTGTTTCCAGTGCCTTAGCCCCTGCGGCAGCTGTGTTTGCCGACTTCAAGGCGTGGAAGAGCTCAGTGTAGACCGGATCCATTTTTTCGTGCGGGAGAGCAGGAGAATTGGACTGGCGTAATAAATGCAGCGACGACCCCCGCCATGGTGGGGAGCAAGCTCGGCTGAAAAGGCCAATCTGCGGGATTCCCCCTGCAGCTGTGCCAACCGTACCAGCATATGCATTTTCGCAAAAGTATCGCATTATAGCATCCATATCATGATAAATCTCCTTTCCGAAATAAGTTTGATTTTGTCATGCAGGTTCAGATATACAGCTACAGCCATACCTGTTCTCGTAGTTTTTCTTGATGCACACTTACAATATACAATTAGCACAAGCACGATACTTCTTTTGCACACGATACAACAACAGAATTGTAGAGCATCGCATGGTCCCCTCCTGCAGCCGCCGAAAAATCCGTAAAGAGCACTTCCAAAAAATCTTATTCTGTGCAAAAGTATCGTACTCGTATTGCACTCATGCATTACAAATCTTTTTCTTAAGGTAGATCCGCATTACAGATTTTATCTCTCATGCTGTGGAAATTTGTAATGCATTTATACGAGTACGATAGTACTTTTGCAGTTCATAAGTCTGGAAAATTCACAATGTCGTGGTAGCGCGGAATTGATGCGAGCGTGGTGCTCATCGCGGTCTTGCTGGCATTTGGCGTGATGTAGTACTTCCGCCGGTTGGTTCTTGCACGCTGTAGGGCAGAAGAAGATCCACCGCGTGATCCGTCGTCTCCTGTCGTGACCACGCCGTATTTCCGCAACAAATAGACCTCTTTCTCTTTCGAAATCTGGAACAGGTCCAGCAAATCGAACTGTCCCTCGCGCTATCAAATGTAAAACTGTCTGGGTCTGGAAGGTTGGAACTTGTAATGCTAACTTTCCATACCTAGAAAATCTGTATTGCGTGACCAACAAAAGTCGCAGCCTCTTTTGTCATGCAAAAACGCAGCTTCTCATGCGGATTCCCTATGAGAAAGCGTTTTGGGAAACTGTCATGCCGGACTGCATTCGAAAGTGTTTTCATCATGCACATTTTAGCATCACAAGTTTCCAGACCCAGACATTTTTACATCTGATACGCGCTTCGCCTTCTTGTCGTCGCTGGCGGTTTGTTGCCGGATCTTGACGAATTTCCGTTCTCTATCCTGAGTAAAAACCTACCCACACCAGAGTTGTAATGCAGATTTGCAAAGACAGGAAGACTTGTAATGCGCATCCCCATGAGAGCCATTTCCAATCCTGTTTTGGAATTTGTAATGCTGTAAACAGGATGAGCAGATGGATTTCTGATGCGGCTGGCCTTGCGAACCTGGCCTACACTACGGACTGCAACCTGTGATGCGTGACTCCCAAAAGTTCTAGGTTTGTGTTGCAAAATCCCCATCTTCACTCTGGTGTGGGGATGTTTTTACTCAGGATATTCCCAGTCCTGCACATTGTAGATGAAGGCGACGGTGAGGAACAAAAGTTGCTGGCCAACCCGCTCCAGCAGCTCCACCATCGGGTTCTTTCCGACTTTGATGTCATCGTGCTGATCCGCACTACATCGTCGCAGCAGTACCTCGTCCAATCTTGGTATCCTGTCCGCTGGTATCAACTGTAAAAATGTCTGGGTCTGATGGAATCCAACTTGTCATGCTGATTTTGGATTCTAAAAAATCCGTATTGCATGAGCAGCAAAGAGAGTCCAAATTTTGCAGCACGGAAAGGGCATTTGTCATGCGGAATAGGCATCAGAAAGCCCTCGCAAAATCTGTGATGCTAGGGCATGCATCACTGACTTGAGGAGTCATGCAAAATATGCATGACAAGCCCGGCAATCTTCCAGACCCAGACATTTTTACATTTGATAGCTGGGACGGGCGCACAGAGCAGTGCGTAAAAATCCGGAAAGGTATCAAATGCAAAAATGTCTGGGTCTGGAAGATTGCGAGATTTGTCATGCCTGTCTGGCATGACCAAAAAGTTTGTGATGCGTGTCCAAGAAGAGACCCGTTTGCCTGGCATGCAAAAACGCAGTTTGTCATGCGAAAAACGCAACACTAAGAGGCAAAGATATTTCTCATGCTTGGCTGTGCATTACAGAGCATTCGCTAATCCCAACACAGCATTACAAGTTTCTAGACCCAGACATATTTGCATTTGATAAAAGGAGAGGTAGGACAGCGTCGTGGTCGCGGAGTCATCTGCTGCTGCAGCGATCGTTGTATGACCTGAAGAATCGACGACCGCTTTCAGGAGCGTTGGCACGTGTAGGAGATGCAGATACTTGTTCTCGGCGGAGTCCACCTTGGCAGCTTTGGCTCCAGGCTGGCCGTCATCTTCCTGTTCTTCTTCCTCCTCTTCAGAATCGGCATCTACGATGAGGATTTTTCGCTTCGCTTGAAGCACCAGGATGTCCCGTGTAAAACCTATCTGCTCACGATCACGAACTCCTTCAATTTCAATTTGTTATGCGATAATTGCACATGAAGAGGAAGAATTGTATGTGTGTCGGGTATAATGATTTTGCGTTTCATGCATGACAAATTGAAGGTCTGATGCATCTCTATGCATGACAAGTTTTACATCCGATACAACAAGGAACGGTACAGCAGCGCACAGACGATCAAGTCGTCTTTCATCTTCCCGTATGAATTGCAAAAATATCGCACTCGTATTGCAAGTCTTGCATTACAAATCTTTTTGTTAAGTTAAATCCGCATTACAAATTTAATTTCTCATGCTGGGGAAATTTGTCATGCATTTATACGAGTACGATACTTTTGCGAGTTCATATCCCGGGCCAATATGCAGGGAAAAAACCTTCCGTGTTCTTGGAGTGTAAATGTGCTTCTTTTCATGAAGACATATTTGTACTTCTTCTCGTCGCACCAGCCCTCCAAGACAGACGTTTATGCCGCTAATTATGCAAGACAAAAAATTTGTGGTTCTTTTCACTCAACTTCGGAAAGATTCACACTGAGCGAGGCACAGTTTCATTTGCTCCTGGATACAATACCCTCGACGTTATTCCGCTGCTACATGGTCTTCAAAAATCCGGAGCCGCGGAAGGTATGTCCTTCACGGCCCATGAGAGGTTCCTACCGGCCTCTCGGCGGACGCCGCAACAGCGGGAGGAATCGCTTAAGTAAGTACTTCTTTCATCAAATATGCCTTATGAGTGAAGAAGCGATGCTTTGTCCCTGTTCATCAAAAAACAAGAACGACGAAGGTGGGCAATTATCTGCACCCAAACGAAAAACGGGAAGCAGGATCTGTAGTTTCAACAAAGATGAAGGATCATTTTGTCTTTCTCGATTTCAGCATCACTAAAACCAAAACCACATCATCACAGCACAGCAATCTTCCGTTCTTCCTTGCGTTCGCCTGGTTTGGCTATTATATTTCGTGAACACAAGAAGTATGAACAGCTGATCTTTTAGTAGCTTCAACGCAGCACCAGAATCTACACATTCTGAAGCCGCTGCTGCTAACAAGCACAAAGCTATAAATGAGCAGGAGTTGTTTTACTTGTACTTGTATACTGTAGCACTAGCACTAGCTGTAGCTCCATGAGCTCTAAATTTTTACTTCGTCCTGGAAAAGAGCAAACCTTATTGGTTTTTTCGAATTACAACTTCAGCTGGAAAAAATGAATGCATCATATGCAGCGGAGGTCGTGTGCACCATAGCTACATATTTACTACTTCTGCTGCTATTTGTCATGCTATTTGCGATGAGTGAGTTTATATCCTTATCGTTCGCGACTTGGCGCACTGAGCGCATTGTCGACGAGGCTTTGGACCTATGAACTGCAAAAGTATCGTACTCGTATAAATGCATTACAAATTTTCTCAGCATGAGAAATAAAATTTGTAATGCGGATTTACCTATAAACAAAATTTGATTTGTAATGCATGATTGCAATACGAGTACGATACTTTTGCGCAGGATAGGACCCGGTTGGTCAGTGACTGCGCCACAAACAGGTTCTTGCAGATTTTCATCGGATTCATCGGCTGATCTAGCTCGTTATCAAATGTAAAAATGTCTGGGTCTGGAAGGTTGGAACTTGTGATGCTAACTTTGGACTCTAAAAAAATCTGTCTTGCATGACCAGCAATAGGAGCCCAGTTTGTGCTACGCGGGGAGGGCATTTGTCATGCGGGATAGGCGTTACGAAGGCCTCGAAAAATATGTGATGCCAGATCATGCATTACAGACATCCTGAGTCATGTAAAATATGCATGACAAACCTGGTAAACTCCCAGACCCAGACATTTCTACATTTGATACTCGTGCCGGACTGCGAACCCGACAAATTTCACCATGCCATTGCAGTCGCGATTGCTCCAGCCGTCACCACTGACGCCCGATATCGCTTTCCCCACCTTTTGGCTGGCGACTTTCCAGCGACACCAGTTCTTGACCTTCGTTGCCGCAGATTCGCCCGTAGTTGGCGTAGCACCGAAAATTTCCCCAAATATGCATTGCAAAATAAATATCGCACTCGTATTAACATGCATGACCAGTTTGTGCTGTTTGTCCAAAAGGAAACATTATGCAATTTATCAACATGCAGAACAACTGGGTAGAGCAGAAGGAAACCGACTGCGATACTACTTTTGCACAGCATAGCAAACTGCTTGTTGCAAAACTCGTACAGCGGGCTCGAGATCTCCAGGCTATGCATTGCAAATATGTCTGGGTCTGGATTTGTGATGCAGGACTTCAAGGACAACAAGATCTGTAATGCATGGATACCAGTGGCCAGTTTTTTTGTCGTGCTGGGTGGGAGTTTGTAGTGCTAAACACGAATGAATCCGCAAGGAGCCGAGGGAAATTTCTCATGCTGTTATGCCGTACACGCAACAAGTTTGCAATGCAAGTATCAGCAACACAAGTTTCCAGACCCAGACATTTTTGTATTTGATACAGGCCAGCAATATGCAAAGGAAAATGTTTTAGCTTTTTTTACTTGCTCTGTTCGTCATGCGCAGGGGGGCGATTGGTAAGAACGTCACGCAATTTTTATCGAAGGACAGCATGACAAATTGAAGCTCACATAGTAGTTGTAGTGCGGTGCAAAACCCGCATGACAAACAAGCTCTGCATCAAAGAAACTTTTCTTTTTTGTTCCGTATGCCCGGATCAGGTAGGATTTCGGCGGAGACTTGACTGTATCCGCTGCAAACATGTCTGCGTCTGGAAAAGTGCAAAGTTTGTCATGCATATTTCACATTATAGCCCATGACGTCCGTGAACGTGATGCATGCCCTAGCATCACAGATTTTTAAGCAGCGGCCGTCGTCCTTCTCATGGAGAAAAGCCCGCTATGCCCAGTCCGCGCAGCACTATACATGGACTCCTCTTGCTGGTCATGCAAAAATGCAGATCGTTTTGGAATCCAAAGGCGGCATCACAAGTTCTTCTTGCAACCTTCCAGATCCAGAAACGTTTGCAAAGCATAGAGTGCGTCGTAGGTGTCGCACGGCGGCGCGCCCACGTATTGCCCAGGCTTCTGCTGCCACCAGGTCAGTATGCTCTGCAAAAAGTACCGTAGTTTTCATGTAAACTGCAGTCATGCATGCATGACAGATCTGGGTTCTTAGCGAATTCAGCATTACAAATTCTATTTTTACTTCGGGAAAAATTTGTAATGCTATTCCTCCTAGTAGCGCGACGATACTGTTGCAATGCATAGTCAGCCCGATCTGGGATTTGGCACTGGCCTTGGAGGTCGGGACGGCGCTGGCTTGGTTTCCGGACTGCACTATGGAATACAAAAATGTCTGGCTCTGGAAGATGGCAACTTGTCATGCTAAATCTGAATCATGCAAAAAATCTGTGTTGCATGATTACCAACAGCCGTCCTTTTTTACCAAGCTGCCAGAGAATTTCCCATGCAGGATAGGCATGATTGAGATGTCACAGAATTTGTCATGCTGGGTGCCGCATTCCAGACCTCATAGGTCATGCAAAACCTGCATGACAACCTCCTGCATTCGTCCAGACCCAGTCATATTTGCATTTGATATGCGCAGAAGTGGCTGTCGAATCGTCGCTGTTTTTAATTTTGCATGGTGTGTTACTTGATTTTCTTCCGTGCTTTGGAGCTGGGAAAGTGGCTTTTTTTTCGAAGCCCCATCGCCCGATGCTACTACCGTTTCTAGTCCCTCGCCCGATGCTATGCTCGCGCATTTTTGACGGGGTGACCCCCCAAATCCTAGTAGCAACACCTCCAGCAGATTTGGAGATTTTGCACGGGGTGGCGACCCACTTAGCCATTCCTTCCCCCGCCACTATGCTTGCGAATTTTTGACGGGGTGGCCCCTCAAACGCTAGTAGCAATACCGTACCCACCTACATCCCACCTACATCCGTACCTGTATTTCATCTTCTTTCCGATATCCAGCATGGCATTCCCGGCTGATTTCAGGCTCTCCATTGTCATATCAAATGTAAAAATATCTGGGTCTGATTGATTTCTAGATTTGTCATGCATATTTTACATGACCCATGATGTCTGTGATGCATGCCGTAGCACCACAGATTTTTAGAGCGCTTTGTGATGCCTCTACAGCATGAGAAATGACCTCTCCGCGTAGCACAACCTGGAGTCCTCTTGCTGGTCATGCCATACAAATTTTTTCAGAATCCAGAGACAGCATCACAAGTTTAGAATGTTCCAGACCCAGACACTTTTACATTTGATATGTCAGCTGGAGCTTATCCTGTGCCGCCTTCGCTGCTCCCAAAAATCCGCCCAGAGCACTGCAGACGTCCCCGACCGCATATCCTATGCAAAAGTACCGTACTCGTACTAATTGCGTTTACGCATTACAAATTTTTTTATCAAGGCAAATCCGCATTACAAATTCAATTTGTAATGCTAAGCGAAGTTGTAATGCAATTCATACTAGTACGATGCCTTTGCAATGCATACCGCAGACGCTTTTGCGACGTTGGAAAGCGCCATGGTCATCACATCTGCATATTCGCCATTCTTCGTCTTTGCATCGTCGGTGAAGGCCACTGCGCAGGCACCAGCCTCGTCTGCAGTAACCCGCGCCGTGCACCACTTGTTGAAGTTCGCAAGCGCTTGCCGCAAGCGGACCGTTTTGGAGTGCGGGTTATGAACTGCAAAAGTATCGCAATCGTATATGCAATCCTGCATTACAAATCTTTTTCTTGAGGTAAATCAGCATTGATTACATAGTTTATTTCTCACGCTGAGGAAATTTGTAATGCATTATATACGAGTGCGATACTTTTCATACGGGTCGACCTCGAATCCGCCGGCGATGACATCGGTCAGCTCCACACAGTTTTCGTTGAAGGTTGCGGCGCTGGCCGCAACCGGAAAACCCATTCCGCCGAGGCAGCCCAGCCCGGTGCAGAACTCGCGCTTGTCCGGAGCGTCAAAGGCCGGTGGAATTGCGACGGTGGGTGGTTCGTCTGGTTTCGGCTTGGGCTTTGGTGTATGAACTGCAAAAATGTCTGGGTCTGGAAGATTGCTAGGTTTGTCATGGAGGTTTTCCATGACCCACGCGGTCTGGGATGCACAGCCTAGCATGACAGGTTCTGTGAGATCTCTATCATGCCTTTCCTGCTTGAGAAACTGCCTCTAAACTTGTTCGAAACTGGACCTCTTTTGGTAATCATGCAACACAAATTTTTCCACGATCTAGATGTAGCATGACAAGTTACACTCTTCCAGACCCAAACATTTTTGCATTTGATATGGCGGCGGTGGGGTTCGGTACTGGCATATAAGAGTGGACAACCCCCCCTGCTCCCCCTCGTTTGTCAAGCGAAGTAACAAATCCACCCTTTGATGCCTCTTGGCACTTTTTGCATGCCAGGTTTTTGTAATATTTCTGGCAGCTCCTCAAACAGCATGACAATGATCCTGAGTGAATTTGTCATGCAAAACCTGCACTTTTGCCGACGGCTGTATTGCCTGCCGTTCATTCCATACAAATTGGGGGGACGAGGGGGGGTGGTGCACGCTCATACGGCAAGCACCGCCGCGACAGTACTGTCCGTCATACGGGGCGGGATTGTCGGCTTCGGTGGACTTATGCATTGCAAAGGTATCGCACTAGTGCTAGAAGTCAAAATGGCATTACAAATTTTTTGTAGCACAAAGACAAAGGTGCAAGAATGTGTAATGGAGATTTACGTCAAAAAGCTAATCTGTCATGCACGACTGTAATTTGCAGTTGCACTGGCAGATGTAGTACTGATGCGATACTGTTACACAGGATAGGAGCTTGCCCCACCGTATGCACTGCAAAAGCATCGCACTCGTATAAATGCATCACAAATTTCCTCAGCATGAGAAATAAAATTTGTAATGTGGATTTACCTCAAGAAAAAGATTTGTAATGCATGATTGCAATACGAGTGCGATACTTTTGCACAGGATACACCGCTCAGAGACCGCTCTTTCGGGTATGACACGTCCTCCGAGTACACGACCGCGGGTTCTATCAAATGCAAATATCGATCTGGGTCTGGAAGGATCGAACTTGTGATGCGTCCGGTGGATCACACAAAAATCTGTCTTGCGCGATCGCCAAAAGTCGCCCTTTTCTGAACACCATGAGAGTTAGTTTCTCATGCAGGACAGGCATGGTAGAGACCTCGCAGAATCTGTCAACATCCTAGGTCCTGCATTCCAGACCTCATGGGGCGGCATGGAAATTCTGCATGACAAGTTTACACTCTTCCAGACCCAGACATATTTGCACTTGATAGGTTCTTCGTTGTTGCCATCGGAGCGCCCGGCTCGGATCGTCAAAGCCGACGAGGGAAGCAAAAACTTGTCATGCAGGAACAACGAAAGGGAACAACAGACAGTGAAGACACGAGACGCCTTCGAGTTTTGCCATTTTTCGAAGATCCTGTGGGCAAGCTTTGGCTTGCGCATGACCTCGTCTCCGACGGGTTAGTGAGGACAGGTTGCTTTCTTCGGCCCTAGTATCAAGGCGATAATTTCTGGCTTTGCCGTCGTCGTCAAAACACAAAATCATGATCAAACGAAAAGTACACGAGATGAGACAAAGATCTTTGGAACCGACTTGTTTTTGGCACCGATTTACGTCCTCTCGACATTTGTGCAGGAGGCACCTCTCTCTGCTGATTTTCTTGCAATAGTTAAACGGAATTTTGATTTTCGGACCTGCTTTCTATTAAATAAGCGCAGCGCATCGTGGTGCACTTTTTGACCCGCGGTTGTCCTACTCGTCTCTCAGGACCGACCGCGAGAAGTCTATTCCTCTTGAAGCAGGTGAAAATCATAGACTTGTAGTTGTACCTCCAAGGTATACAAATTATTCTTTGTTGATATTCTCTAGACTTTTTCATCAGCTGTAGAAACTACAAAATCAAACTTTGAAGAAGAAATCGTTTTAAGCCCTGTATTAACATTTTTTAAACGCATATCGCGCCAGCTCTATGCACCCTCATCAGAGATTTACTTCAAGAGGGCGCAGGAGCTTGGCACGACTTCGCATTAAAGGATAGTAGTACACGGTGAAGATAGTTCTATGATACAGTTTCAGAATATTAGGGCAAAGCAACGAATAAAAGTGTACGTATTCTTTTGTACAGCCATTTCGAGGGAGCGCGAATGCAGCTTGCGATTCCTATTGTGTTTTCTTGGTGTCTTCTATTTCAGCCACTACAGTAACCGAGACCTCGCAATACGAAACAAGAGCTTTATCGCTCTTTAGATTTTTCCAGCTTTTGACCATTGACGTTTCCGAAAATCATTCTGTAGCTTTCTAGCGAGAGCAAGAGCAAAATATTTTTAGATATCGTGTGTAGAAGAAGAAACTATTTCCATAGCGATCTGTAACAAAACCAAAAGTCGTGCAGCTCTCAACAGTCTTTATTATTTTACATACACGTAGTTCCGTGATCCAGGGTTTCTCCACTACACTGCTTGCATCTACAGCATTTTCAAGTGTGTTTACTTCATCGTCGTATTTGAACAGAGGGGAAAACCCGTCGCTACTTTAATAAAAAGACCAGCTTGAAGTTGACAGAGCCACTTCGTACTCGTTCATGAGAAAAGCAGAACTGGTAGTGCAAAAACGTCTTGCTGTAAAGAGCCTATATTCGAAAGGAACGCTTAATGATAATAAGTCTTAACTTGTGAGAGAAGGTGGAATTGTACTACTTTTTCGTCTTTTGTTGCTATATGCTAATTTACCTTTAAGAAGAAGATTGGTAATGCATAACTGCAATTACTACGAGTACGATACTTTTGCAGTTCATATTTAGCGTTTTCGGAGGGTCAGCGTGATGTCTTCGACGACCCACTCATCTTATCGCAAGGAAAAATCCCCCCTCCACATAACAAAACGGAATTTCTCATGCTGGATTTGTCTACACAAATCAGCTTTGTATTGCAGAGAGGCACTGCGACCAGATCCCCAGGGTCTAGTTGTTCAGCATGGGAAACGGCTCCCCTTTAGGCCCAACAGCATGACAAATCGCTTCCATAATGGGACGGAAGCCTCTGCCCTTGTCTTCTTGCAAGACAAATGTGATTTGTGACCTCAAATTAGCAACACAAATTTTCAGAAACATACCTGTTCAATATGGGGAGGGGGTATTTTTCCTTGCAATACATCTTGATGAAACCCCAGGACTTGCTGTACCTGGCCAACGCACCGAAGAAGGTCTGGGTTTTTTGTGGGATATGCATTCGTAGAAGTATCTGACGCATCATTGACATGGAGATTGCAATTTTATGCATTACAAATTTATTTTCTATTTTTCTACAATAGAAGAAAGGAAATTTGAATTTGTAATGCCAAAGTGCAGTACTGAGCCAGATCTGCCATGTCGAACTCCACTTTATTAGCTGGGGTTTACATGTACAAATGCGATACTGTTGTAGAGGATATGGAGATGGCGGTGCTCACAGAGTTGTGCTTCTCGAGGGGGGTGTATCCTGAGCAAAGACATCCCCACTCCGCAGTCAAGCTGGGGGTTTTGCAACGCAAACCTGGAAGGTTTGAGAGTCAGCCGCATGACAAGTTGCAATCCATAGTGTAGTACTAGTGGGGGTTAGCAAGGACAGTTGCAGTGCAAATCCATCTCCTCATGCTATTATACAGAATTACGAATTTTTTCAAAACACGATCGAAAATGGCTCTCATGGGGATGCGCATGATAAATGTTTTCCTGCAATTGCAAATCTGCATGACAACTTCGACTATCGAATCGGGTGCTGGGGACGTTTTTACGCAGGATACGGTGTTCGCGAGAATGTCCTTGGCCACATAACTGCGCAACCTGTGTATTGTCGAGTTTGATGGCATTACAAATTTCATTTCATGCAGCGGTCTGTTCTCCAGGTAAGGATTGGTAGCTCAAGCTGTGATTGATAACCCCCCACCACGCTTGAAAATAATAAAGCGCGGCGGTAGTTCTAGTTGTACTGTACACTAAAAAAAATCATACAAACTGCTGCCATCTCGCATCATTACAACTCACCAACATGAAGTAAGTACGCGTCCTCGCGGAGCTTCGGAATTCCCGGCGGGGGCCCCCGATACAGCGGATTATGCTCTAGCGGACTATGCGGTGCGAAATTGACATCATTGTTTTAATATTGTTTTGGGATTTCTCATGGATGGAAAAGGAAATGCAAAACTCATGCTCAAATTGTTATCTTTTGCGCAAAAAAGACGTCAATGTCTACCTGCATACATGCACGACAAAGTGAAAGAGCGTTGTTTTTCGTGATGGCAATTTTACATCAGGTAAAGAAAGTCGACTTGTTTCTCCAGCAGGACAGCGTTATTCATTGTGGTGTCAGCCGGCAGGGTAGTAACAACCTGTTTATTTCATTTTTGTTTGGTTTTATTTGTTCCATGATTCAATTCATTTCAAATTTGCACAACAATATCAAACACAAACTCCTTTTCTTGTACTTGGATGCACTTTGCTCATGCAAAATCACAAAAAGATGCTAAAGCACTCCTTGTTCCGTAAGAAATAGTTGAACTAAACGTTTTTCTACGTTCACCCGCACTTCTTTCGACGACGACGCTACGTCAGTCCCACTTTGCTCCCGTCCTCCTTCTTGCATCTTAGTACTTCTATCAGCGACTTTACCTTTAATCGTCGCACTGCTTGGTCGTGTGGCTGTGCTTTCCATCTTCGCGACGACGGTTTTGCACTCGTTCTCCTTGCCCTGTTGAGCTACACTTTTTTCCACAACAAGAACTTCCGCACCGCCTTTACCCGCGCCGGCCTTCTCGAAGGAGGAGTTCATCTGAGAGGCCTTGTTCTCTACCACGGGGTTGTTCTTGTCGCCCGCGCGGCCCCTCTTGCCGTTGAAAACATCGGTCCCGGCGACCTTGAGGGTGGTGGTGGTGGCGATCGTCGTCCTCAAATCGTTCTGAACCTCCAAAGACCTCCCCTCTGCGTTTTTCCCTTGCCCGCTGCTCCCGGGTCGTGGGCCAGACCTCCACGAAGATGTTTTCTGCGGAACTCCGACGTGGTTTGCCTCCTGCTGATCATCCGGTTGTAGGTTCCGGTTCGCGCTTTCCTTTACAGTAGCGGCTTTGTTTCCCTTTGATATTCCTTTTGCCACTCTAGCGGTAGAACGTGGACTTTTCGTGGAATCTTTCGTTCCTTCCCCTCCAGGTCCAGACTCGTCCGCACACGACGAGGAAGTTGTTGTCCGAGGTTTTTTCAACAGTTTGCGATCACGATCTGGGGCAGCTTCGTCGTACCGGTCTCGTTTCATCGATTGTAGTCCCGAAGAAGTAGCCATGGTTTGATGTTGCAAGAAACTGGTCGTTTGTCGTTTTTGTTCCGGGGAAGAAGACGAAGAAGTACTTGATGCTCCACTATTCTTAGTCCTCTCCACCACTGGCACAAGCTGTTCCTTGTGGTCGCTCGGCGGCACCGCTTTCGTGGTGCGTCCAGCGACAGGAGCGCGTTCTCGAAGTTCATTCATCTGCGCAGCACCTCCTTTCGCAGCCTGCTTAATATTCTTCACCTCGGCAGCAGCAGCTGTAGTTGTCCCAGGAGCCCTGGACGGCTGCAAAATAAAACCCGCCTTTCTCATGCGCTGCGTCATCCGCTGTATCGACACGGGAATAGTTTTCAGATCATGTCGCTTTATTTCGTCGTGCTTGCCAACAACTGGAACTCCTGAACTACGCTGCTTTTCGTCGTGCTTGCACACAGCCGGGAGGTTGCTGTTCTTCGCAGCGGATGAGCAGGGAAGACTCGAACCACTAGCTTTGTGCAGACCTCCAGAGGAAGACGAAGAGGTCGTCGAAGCAGACTCGTTCAGGCAATAAGTCGAACAGGTCGTCGATGAGGTTGTTTTACCAGAATTCGTTTCGACAACCGGATGAACATTTGTAGCGACGGTGCTGGCCGATTTTTGCGAGGTGAAGGATCTTCCCGTGGAGGTTGTCTTTGCATCAGCCACGTTCATCTTGTACAACTGCCCTTCATGACCCTCGTCTTCTTCGAGATCAAGCGCACCAACCAACTCCGCGTCTCCAAGCAGTGATCTTGTGTCGTCCGATAGAAGTAGGGAAGGAGAATTATAATTCAATGCCGAAGATTTACTAGTTTTTTCTTCTTGTTTCGCTACTGGGGTGGCGTGAGAAGCTTCGGCTTCCTCGTCCTCCATTCGCTGTTCTTCGATTTCGCAGGCCGCCGAAGCGAATCGATGTTCTTCCTTTATTTCGCTTCCTTCCAGAAGTTCAAGTTCTTCCTCGTCTTGTTCACCTGAAGAATTACTTCTAGCGGTCGAAGAAGATAATTCGGAAGAAGAAGACTGCTGTGCGTAGTTGTAGTAGTATTTGACGGGAGTTGTACTACTACTCTCATCACCACCTGCTTCGTCGTCTGTACTGCCTGGTCGTGGAAAACCAGCATCAAAAGAAAAGCTCGGTGGTGGTGTAACGTATCAAAAGGAAAAATCCGCCCTCCCCATACTGCAAAGGTACACTTTTGGAAATTTGTGATGCTGATTTGTGGTCACCAATCGTGTCTGTCTTGCAAGAAGGCAACTCCGCAAGCTCCGCCGCATCATGCAGGCGGTTTGTCATGCTGTTGGGACTACAGCGCGGACATTTTATATGCAAAGCGCCTAGTAAAACCTCTCTACTCACATTTCGTATCAGCCTGCAGCAGTTTCCAGCAAGACAGCTCGGATTTGTGTACACAAATTGAGCACCAGAAGTTTGCTTTTGAGATGGCTGGGGAGGGGGGATCTATTTTCTATTCGATATAACCGCGTACTTGTTCATGCATTGAGGGCGGTGAAGCTGAGGGTAATCGCTGCATCGTCTGACTGGCGGGCGCCAATGATATCCTGTGCAAAAGTATCGTATTCGTATAAATGCAAGTCCTGCATTACAAATTTTTTTCTCAAGGGAAATCCGCATTATAAATTTTAGTTCTTATGCTGGGGGAATTTGTCATGCATTTATACGAGTACGATATTCTTGCAGTTCATAAATGATATCCTTCACCGATTAGTTTCTGTCGTTCAACTGGTTTGCCGTTGGAGTCGACGCGCCACCAATATGCTGAGGAAAATAAATCCCCCCTCCCATATTGAAAAGGAAACTTGTGATGCTGATTTATTGTGGCCACAGTGCAGCTTCTTCTTGCGTACAAGGCAAAGGGCACCATTGACATTGTGGCGCATTGAGCAGCGAGTCTGTCATGCATTTCCATCGCTTATGTTAGACTTGTTTCTCATGCTCAGCTACTCGCCGAATGCGGACTACCCAAACGGGCTTCGCATGTGCCGGCAAGAAGCAATTGCTGCAATACAAAGTTCTTCATTTGTGATGTACACAAATCCAGCAACACAAATTGTCTCTCGAATATGGGATCGTCGGGATTTTTTTCACTTTGATAATCGAGGACTCAAATAAATCAGGTTCTTTGCGGGATTGACGGCGATGTTGCGAATTTTCTATTACAGTGAAAAATGCCCTCACCCCAGAGTTGTCATGCAGATTTGCAATGATAAGATTATTTCTGACCACGCGCAGCCCTAACCCTAAGACAGGAACTGTCAATCGTGTTCTTAAATTTGCATATGTTGTACAGGGGATAAGTAGCTGGATTTGTAATGGAGCTGTCCTGTGGTCTGACCTGCACTCTACACTACGGACTACAACTTGTCATGCGTGACTTCCTGAGCTTCTAGATTTGTGTTGCAAAGTCCTCATCTTGACCCTTGTGTGGGGACGAATTATTTGCTCCGGATATTATCCTGCAGTTCGTCTGCGAATTCAGACCCACTCCAGAGGATGCGCCAACCGTCGAACTTGTTGGAGGATCACTGGGTGGCTCGAAGGACGGAGGATTCTTGTCTTTCTGCGTCGTCGAGATCTCATTGTCCGATGAAACAAGATCGCCGGCGTGGTCTTTGTTTCCTGCCGGATGCAAACCGTGCTTTTGCCTGCCGGAGGAGGTAGGGAAGAATAAAGCGGAAGATGAAGAAGCCCCGCCTGCTTGACCGGTACTAGAAGAAGAAAAAGTGGTCTCACTACTTCTACTTTCAGCTGCTGCATCTACAATAATTTCCGTTTTCTGCTGCACAACGTTTTGCTGCACACTCCTCTCTGCAGAAGTTTTACCGCCAGGCAGTTTCTGGATCACTTGTGGGTTTTTTTTCTGGGAGGTAGTTGAAGAAGGTTTCTTTTCGTTCGCTTTTGAAGTCATATTTTTCAGCGTCCCCGGCGACGGTTTGGATGTCGTTGGGGCTAGAGTGGGTTCTTTATTACACTTGTTTTTACTACCCTTCGGCCGCCCTCGGCCTCGCTTGGCAGGCTTTGCGCTTGTTGGCGACGCCTCTTTTGGTGAGGTAGTCGCTGGGGGTTCCTGTGACGCATTCTCTCCGCTGGAAGCTGCAGACGTTTTGTTTTTTCGTCCCAGCATCGTTGTTTGGGTTTTAGGTAGATTTCTGTTCATCAAAGATAACTTCGAGTCGTTGCCTAATGTTTGTTTGTATATAGTACTAAGAGCTCAAGTATGTCGTGTATGTGTGTCATCAGGTAGAAAAAAAACTCCTAAACCTGTCGTTTTGGATTGAAACAAAAAATCTTGCTCGGAGGTCGTCAAGCTTCCTTTGCGCCGTACTGTCGGCGCCGAACTCATGATAGCATTGCTGCAGTCGCAACACTTTTCTTGGTCCTGCATCAACATCGGGATGAAGCACGCGCCTCGGACATCACTGCTTGCGCGAGAATATCAATGTGGTGAAGCTTTTTTCTATCTCAACAAAGAGATCAAGACCCGCTGCTGGAAAGGAAAAAAACCCGCGTGTGTCGATCACAACAAGTGGGAAATGATCGTAGCGGCCCGGCGCTTGCAAAAAAAGAACAAAAATTAAACGCCTGCAGCTAAAGAGAATGAGTGATCATATAGCAGAACAAGTCTAGGTTACCGTTATACCTTAGCTTTAATACCCGCTGTTTAGCGAGAATTCAGCGGGAAAATAAATAATTCCCGTGAGGAGGATGAACACAGAAGATTCGAGTATCAATAGTGCGACTGTTTGGAAATCAGGCTACACGTCGACTTCTAGTGGCCAACGTTGATCGAGGCTAGAAAACCCATTTTCTGGTGCCCCTGGCGCCCCTTCCCTTTCCGTCTTAAGCCTTGGAAGAGGCACAGAACGAATTCTATGCCTGGCATAGCCACAACAAGACTGTCCAACGGTCGTAAAGTCTGCAGTTGTTAATATTGGTGCACGTGCAGTTGCAGAATATAAACATACATACATTTTTGTTCAACCACTCCAGCAACTACATGTAAGGTTTTTCATCTACGAATTTCGTAGTTTGTGGGTAGACCACACTCATTTCTCCCGGGTCGACGTGGGTTGTGCTAATGAGTTGCTGCTTTGTTCAAAGAAAGACGTTTTGCGTCTTCTCAACATCTCCGGATTCGTAAGTATTGTAATGCGAAGAATCATACACTTTATTGCTATTCGATCAGGCTGCAGCTATAATGTAGTTTCATGAACTATAACAGGAGCAGCTATTAAATCGAAAACTATTTTCAAAAATCTGTTTTATTGTAAAACTATTATGATTATCTAGCTATTTTATGATTAACTATCTAGGTTTTCTTATAGCTAATGTGGTTAGTTGTCTTGCGGCTGTGTCTGGGAACGGTTTGGCCGCCGAGGCTATGCTGCATGGTCCCTTCGCGAAGATGCTGGTGTGGAGAAGAGGTTTTTGAGGCTGTGTTGTGATCTGCGTTGCGATGTGAAACAGAGATGAGAAGAATGAGCTGCTTTGTAGAAAATTGAATTCAATGCTTGACAATCAATACCGCGAAGCAATCCCGACTGTCTGTGCTAGAGTTGAGAACATATTTGCGAACACAAACCAACTAAACGATTTTACCTGTCTGTTCCTCACACAATTCCACAATCCCCAAGCTCACCGCGTGTTGTCTTTCAGCAGAGTTGAGTGTGAAGTTGAAACCCAATTCCAACTGTTTGAAAAAATGATTCCGGATCTTTCACCTGAAGACTTGTTGTTAATCTTGGGCGTCGTTGCTGATCTTCCACCATTGGACATTGTTGACCGAACCCGTAGCCGTTTTTTTACGAAGTGAAGACTTCACTCTGCCTTACTGCAAACTTGTGCAAGTACTCTTGCATCACACCAAAAATGTCGTTGTCGAAGATGCCAAAGACTGTCTCTGCATTCTTGAATGCACAAGTGAACAGCTTCAACCAGAGTGATGTCAACGCCATGCGTGACGCCCTTTCCGAGTACGAGACCGTTCTCCGCGCGAAGCAGATCGGCTTTCTGTTGATCTTGTCCTATTCGAAGGCGGCGCTGGCCGGAAACATCGACCGTATAGAGTTTTTCTGTAGTATGTTGCTTTCGTTACTGAGTTTGTAGTTCATGATCTTCAGCAAATGAGTATATCACTGTGACCATTGTTTCTACACCTGCATGACATGAAAACCATACATGAAACACAACTATACGATCATGAATATGAACTCTCTTCATCATCACAGGCTGGTACCTCTTCGGCCACGACATCTCGACCGACTTCTTTGCCACCCTGTCCGAGAGTTGCCCCATGAAGGTGAAGCAGTGCATCTACGACGCCATCCAGGTCAATGAGGTGTACGTCCGGATGGGTGTCAACCCCCACATGGTAGCACTTTTCGTTTTGTTCTTATCCGAGAGAAGTGTGAACATATCGGCACATCGGTACGTGCGTCATGAGTCCAGTTTCCAATGTCAACGTAAAACTCATCAGTTAATCCCCCGTGATCCGGACCGCAAGTACCGCACCTTGCAGCATTCCGTCGAGTACTTGTCCAAGGCCGGCACCAATATGCACGTCATCCTTCAGCGAAGTCACAGTAGGTCCGTATTTTGCATGCAGAGTTCACGCCTTGAGCCCTTGATAATATGCATTCCAGTGTCATGCTCTGTAGTGCTCGTTTCTGCATGACAAGCATGACTTCGCTGAAGATTTTGTTTGCATACTCAAGGACATGTGGTTTGAGGCCGTGTTCGAGTGCCCGAAGCCGCACCTTTGCGGGTTGTCCCGCCCGACCCACTTCGGTAACGGCGGTGCGGGTGGTGCGGGTGGCCCCGCGCCGACGTCTGTCATGCCGACTCCGATGTAGTATCCAATGCAACCTCGGCATTTGTGCATGTTCGTTTTTACAACGCAATAATCGCGCTCAGTAACGACCTCATCCAGATCGAATATATGCATGTCTTGCATGACAAACTACAAAGCAGAGGCTTGTATTGGATATCGTCCAGCAGATGGTCCCCGGAACCGGCTTGCCCAACCCCATGACCGGCTTGCCCAACCCCATGCAGTCCCCCGCGTACTACCTGGCGATGCAGAACATGCAGGTACAGTTTAGCGCCACCTATACGATGTTTCAGGAATTGATTCTAATGCTGTCTGAAGATGTGACTGGTTTTATGTGAAACACCTGATGTAAGTGTAGCTGCAGCATGATCGTCGGTCCATCTAGTACCTCACGTTCGAACTTCACAATGCTTTAATATCAGGGAATGCCGGGCTCGTCCACCGGCTTGCCGGGCTCCTCCACGGGCATGCCCCCGTCCAACTTTCCGTCCATGCAGTCCATCCCCGAGCGGCACGCCATCGTGAGCGCCACTGCGGTCAAGCCCGCCAAGCTGTCCTTGGGCGAGAAGTCGATTGCCCCGCAGACCCTGGGGTTCACCCCTCTGAGCAAGCCCATCTCCCCCTTGAGCTTCGGCAACGACATCACCGGCCTGACCCCGGCTCCTGCGAAGTCCCCGTTCGCCGCCGCGTTGCTGTTGTCCCTGAGCAAGAAGAAGGATAAGTTGATCGTGGACATCGAGGAATCCAACAAGGAGTTCAAGAAGCAGCAGACCAAGGAGAACAACAAGGTGGCCAAGGCGGAGGCGAAGCGCCTGAAGGACGAGGAGAAGGTCAAGGCCTTGTTGGAGAAGCAGGCCGAGAAGGACGCTAAGAAGGCGGAGGCCGCGGCCAAGAAAGCGGCCGCTAAGAAGCCGGCCGCGGCCGCGAAGAAGGCTGCTAAGACCCCGGCCATGAAAGTGATGAAAAAGAAGTAATTCTTCGGTTAGCTTCTAGAACGTGAATCTTCGCGTCGCCCAATGTAGGGCGTCGTACTTCGTAAAAAATTCTCTGTCGGTCCTTGTCCACGTGAGCGTGATATCGAAGCGAAAATAGCGCACATCGCAGTACCCGTTTGTATGTTGAGAACAGACGCCTTTGCCCCTGTTCGTATTGGCATGATCAGCACTTGAGCGAGGCCCTTTTGGCAGCAATGGATCAAGTGCGATGCGCGCTTTTTTCATTTGATATCGCAACTCGGACCTTCTATGTTTCAGCAGTTGTGAATAGGGTTAGTTTCGTACTTGCTATGAAGCGTTTTCTATTCTACTGCTTTATGTTGATAAAACAATTATCAGTTTTAAGCTGGGGAGGTTGTTGTATTTCTCCAGCAATTTGCACAGAGGCTACCCCAGTTTTGAATATAAAAATATATATTTGTTTCTATATACACAAAATGAAGTTCTCATCATTGATATTGTAGCAAATCACCAATACTACCTGCTTCTCCACCCATCGAATAGTGTCGATCTGTAGGCCGCGCAGATCGTTCGCTTTACTAACACTAGGCGGTCAACAATGATTTTCTCCTTGAAGTGGTGGAGCTTCGTAAACATGACGGAAAAGAGCTGCACTTTCCACACCGTGACGAAGATGCTCTTAATCATTTGGTATTGAAAAATCAGAAGAAGAACAGCTGAAGTTGCTCCTGTGAAGGCTCGTGTCTGAAGTGGTTGTTCTGCAACGCAAATCGGTCACGTAGGTCAGAAACTCGGTCTGTGGATGTTCGTACTCGCCAGTAGCAGACGTGGTATGTGCAATACCAGCACGAAGATGTCGGTTTGTGAGCGGTTTGCGTCTGTAGATGGGGTCGCTTGATGGCATCAGTAGAGCGAAGTGGAGTAAACCTTTGTCGTATCATCGCTCGCAGCCTCCCTACGCTGAGTTCGAAGTTTGTTTTGTGAATCACCCGTAGAAACTGACCGACTTGTGAGTGAACATGACCTCGTGATGCCGAGTGGTTACGAGGACAATCATACGCCGTACAGAGCGCCCAAGATGGAGGAATCTCCGTCTCTTCTCGCTTCTTCTCCCGCGAAGAAGAAGTCGGAACTCCCTTCGCCGATTGGACAGAAGAAGAAGGATGCTGCGTGGTTCGCATTTGACACTGATACCGACGATGACGGTAGCGACCCAGACGAGGACTACGTCAGACCGGGACACAAAAGCAAGACCACCTTCTGGGACAAGCCGGTGAGGTGTCCTTTCACCGGAGGCCATACGATGCGAAAAATGAGTTTAGGGTTAAGGTTTTGTCCCAAACTGATTTCAGAATTTGAATTCTGACAAGTCATTTATTTCTCCGAGGCATCCAGAAATCAGTTTGGAGCAAAACCTTAACCCTAAAACTATTTTTTCTTCCGTGCATACACTCCAAGTACTGTTTGAAGTCGATGGCGCCGTCTCCCGGTAGTTACAAATACTGGGCTGAAGAGCAAGTTCCACGGGATCTACTGTTCAAGATCCAGGTGAGGATCAAGCCGATCCTCGTCGACAACGTGGATTCCGAGGATGTGGTACAGGTTTGATTCTTTATGCATGACACACTGCATATCATGCGTTTTCTGCATCAGAAAATAATGAATTTTCGAATGAGCGAGATACACGCGAATACGCAGGTAAACTGTTATTTGTGGTGGCGGATGGAGAAAGACCCTATTCAAGTACATGCGAAATTCGGAACGAGCGACTTCAATCAGACCCTGATGGGCGTCAACATCAACAATCTGCAGTTCACATACGATGCTCTGAAGGACGCCGCCTGCAAGAAGCTGGGTCGGATGGGCGCAGACGACTGCAATTACCGCGCCAAGGTATTCCACATACTGGCTGTTTTCCCTTCGGATAGCTACAATTTGACCGCAGTGATAGCATCGGGTATAATGTTATCCTGCATGGCATTGAGAGCGAATATGTAATGCAAAAGCATACCATGCAGAATAACATTATACACGATGCTAACAGTGCGCCGGCGCGCGCAGATACCTGTATCCATACTGAAATCAAGTACACAGCGTCGTGCTTCTAGTTGATAGCAGACAGATTTGTAATGCTGACGATAATACAAAATCCAACAAGAAACTGATGCTGGGTACTGGCTTTCATTGCATAAACTGGAGTACGGAGTCCTGGGCCGTTTGTGGGCACAGAATAAGCACAACAAGAAGTCCGAATTGCTTTCCAAGTTCTTCAACGACCACGAAATCGGAGCAAAGCCGCCGCACGTTTGCTTCAACTTTGACGGAGCCGTACAGCGGAAGCAAGCCGGGCAGGGAGGACTGGTACTACATGACTTAGGATTTCAGTGTGAAAAGTCGCTTTCTTTGCATGTGCAGCACCATCGTGAATAAGATTATCCACCACGGGACTCTGCAGGACAAATCAAAACTACTATGAGCCCATCGTGCATAGCATTCTTCTGCAGCGGAACCTCCACCAAAAATACACAGTTCTCGTACCGTGCAAGACAGTCTCCGGGACCAAAGGACTACAAAAATGGAGACCGCGAGCCGTGGACCGATTTGGTTATCGAACCCGCTCCGATCCAGGCCGGAAACTCGTCGCTGTTGTCATCCGATGTCGAACAGACGAAGAGCCAGTTTCTCACCGCGTACATGATGTCCCAGCTGATCGTCAAGTTCGGTGTAGATGCCGTCAAAGCCGCAATCCAGGATAAAGACGTTCCGTGGCGGGATGTGGACGTGTCCAGCATCATGTGCCCGGAGCAACGGGAGTATGTCATGATCGTGCATCAACTCCTCGATCAAGGCAGTCCCGAAACCCGCCATGTGCAGTCCACCACGCGCATGATCGAGGGAACCTGGGCGATGCCAATCCTCCATCGGCTCCACCGAAACACGCTGAACTGCGTCCCACTGGTCGAGAGCTTCGGCGTGATGGTATCGGACTGGGCGACGGGACCGGCGGGTCGCGGGCAAAATGCAGCTGATTTTTTCGAGATCGACAAGCAGCTCCAGCGGGAAGCTAAGAAGGAACCGGAAAAGTGCGCAAAACGCGAGTTTGCGAAGGAAGTGAAAGCGGAAGCTGACAAACCCACCCTGGTGTTGGCGCTGGAGAGCCGTATTGTTGTTTGGTTTTGTAATCTCTTTGTTTAATTTTGTCAAGAAAAACTACTCTCTGAAGACGATCGCTGAGGACGAATGCTCTTTGGTCCTTCTGGGAGGTCCTCTAGGGAGGTCTCCAAATCGCATCATACCATGCAGATTCAATTTTTTTTTGCATGACAAAGCTGCACAATTTAGGAGGTCCTCTAGGGACCTCCTCAAACGACCTCCTTTTCAGCTATAAAATCATTGCTAATCCGCATGCTACATAACATTCCAGGACCCAACATTTTCCACTGCACGCAGTCCCGGTTCCAGGGAGCGGACCTCGTCCGCCGCACTTTTCAGAAGTGGAAGTGGCGTTTTGCGTTCAGTTTGAACGACTGCGCCCTCCGCGAGGCCGAGCGCAAAAAAAAACAAGCCGCCGGTGAATTCGTCATAAAAAAATCCGAGGAAGAAATCGAGAAGTTCTTGCTGAAAAACGGGGTGAAATTCATCGAGAAGCCGGACCCGCTGGTGCAGTTGGAGGATTTGAAGAAAACGAAGGGGTGGCTGGGTTATCATCCGGAGATGTTGCGGGAGCTGTTGTCGATATATGAGTTTGAAAATAATGTCCCTGCTATTGATAGGCACGTAATCTGTCATGCATTTTTTGTAGAGTGTGCTGCATCTACATAGTATTTCTCAGCACAGGACGACACTGAGTTTCACTGCGATGAGCTACGTTTTATGCTTCAACAGAGGCATTGTTTTCTATTGCATATTTCGGAGGATAAGATGATGAAAGTCCACGGCCAGGTCGTCGCGTCCACCGTCCGCCTCAACGAGCTGTTCTTCCACCTCGAGCATACGGGCCGTCACGATGTGTCGCTGATTGGTGGCGACTATCTGTGCACGTACAAGCGGTTTATCGACCCCTGCACTTCCAACGCCACCTCACTGGGAACTGCTGCTATCCATTGAAAGACTTCTTCTCGCCGATGGGATTGCAAACAAGCAGCTGGAATACATCGAGTTTGTCATGCAAAAACATGGAAACCTGCGTTGCTGTTCCAGCAACGCAAGCTTGCGCGCACCAATGGGCTTTGCAGAAAGTATTTCAATTGCATAGAAAAGATCCAAGACAACATGTCCAAGAACCGGCAGCGGTTGTGGAGGTGCCTGTGCGGCGACGCCTGCGCTGTGTACCATTATGGCGAGGAGTACGAGATTCCGGCCATCAAAGTCCTCAGGAACACGCTGAACTGTTTCTGGTTCGAAGTTGGGGACCCGCAATATGGCCTCTGGGAGGATTATCAGAACCACAACATCCTCCTCAACAAGAACACGTGCAAGCTGCTGGGGGATTTGTGCCCGTTTCCGCTGAGCATCACCGCGAAACAAATGTGCAAGATCTTCAACCTCGGCGTGGACACGCTCAAGTACCTGCAGCCGTACTGCACGAACCGGTGCCGCACAATTACCGTCACCGAGGTCTGGCAGGAGAAGCAGCACAGGGAGCAAAATCCGGCGCAGAACAAAAAGCCGCGTGCGGACCAGACCCTCATCTCCCGCCAGGTGGATCGCCAGCGCCACATGGAGCAGGGTGCGCGCTACTACCCGGCTCCGCATGTCCGCGATGTGACGAAGCTGCCGCTGCTGTCGCCGAGGGAAATAGACTCTGTCCTGAGTATCACCACTGCTACACACGAAAATCCGACGAAGGATGATTTCCACACACTACTGCTGGATCAGGACGAGGAGCGTCGTGTCGGGGGCGGAAGAGGGACAAAACTCAACCAGCTGTACAAACAGATGAAGGGGGTCGCTACCAACATGTGGCAAAACCAAACCCAAAACGACAAGAAAATCCAGTCCGTCATCGACTGCACCGGTGATCCCGAGTTCGTCTCGATGTCCGGGCATGACTCTGGCTTTCGTGCCGTGGACGCGAAGAGGGTCATGCTATCTTGCAAAAAACAGTCGTGCAGATAATTCGCATGAAGAGGATTCTTTTATCACAGCTTCGACTGCATATAGACACACTACACATACATCGCGACGCATGACAAACGTAGTCCTATTGCTGTCAGGGAGTATGTCTGCACTACTGCTTTTAGCATGATAGACTCGAGGAGATATTTTTTCCATAGATCACTACAACGCTTTGGCGTACGTCGGGCAGATGGCCTTCAACGAGCGTGAGCTGGAAAAATTTCTCGAGGAGAACCCGAACTACTGGGTCATCGGATACCACAAGAAAACACCCGATGAATGTACACCCACCATGGAGCGCGTCATCGCGGTGAAGATGGGGCGGTACCAGGGTCTCGAGCTGAATCGGTACGACGTGAACGTGTTCTCCATGCCGATTTCGGAGGGGGATTTCAAAAAAACTGGCGGATTGTTGAACGACCTGAATCTGTACGACGGTAGGATTCTGCGCAGGCAGTCCATGGACATCTGTAAACGGACGGAAATCGTTCTCCTCGACGATTTGTGGATCCGTGCTGATACGACTCTGGTGGACTGCTTTTCGTCCCTTTCGCTGGAAAAGCAGATGGCGTTGTTTACGCCGCTCACGCGCGTGTACAAGGTCTTGCTGAAGGCCATTCCGGAGCTGTCCAAGGAGAACCGTCACATCCTCTTCCACCACATGGTCTACGGGACTGCTACCGCCGATAAGTGCCGGGAGGCGTACCGCATCGCGATGCAGGAGGAGGAGCGGATCGTGCAGGGCAGCGCAGCTCTCGCTAACACTAAGATGGACAGAACCAAGAAGCGCAAGCTTACGCCGCAACCCAACCTGGGTCGGCCGCCGGGTATTCACACCACGATGCAGGAAAACCTGGAGCGCCACCCAGCCATCTTCGTCTACACAGTGTCGAAAACCAACCCGGTGGCGGAAGTGGCGCAGTTTCGTTCGCACCGTAATCAGGCTGGTCAAAAGCTGCCGACCATGAGACTGGTACTGTTTGTTCTAGTGAATGTCTAGCTCGTGTAAACTTCCACCGCATCATGCCGTGACGCGTAAATTTGTATTGCATAATCCACCTCGTTCTCCCTCGTCACATTTTCCAAATAAAAACCTACAGTTCTGGTCCAATGGGTATGCGCCGGTGAAAGTGAAGCTCGCGCCGGAGTGTGGAACGTCGGGGAATCTGGAAAACAGGATCATGCTGGAATTACTCCCCTTCGTGATTGCGGAGTTCGACTTGCAGGCGCAGTCAATGCAGATTTGCCGCTCCGATCCGAACGCGGGCACAGAAGCGAACGTCAGTTTACCGATTCCCGCCAAGGCCTTCGAAAATGCCCTGCTTCCCGAACTCAAAAAGGGAACGCGGCGGGGGAAGGACTGGTTCGACAAGGTGGGAACTGAGGGTGATGATAAGGTACAGCGATATTGTGCTTTCTTACAGTTTGCATTTTGTTTCTTTACAGAGATTGTCATGCGTATGTCATGCGGTTATGCGTTGCAGCTTCCACATCATACAGATTGTCATGCAAAAATCTAATTCCAACCTCACCTTCACTTCCAACTAGGAGGAGGACGACGAAAAGGTCGAGCCGGACGAAGAGCCGAAAGACAATGCTGGGGATATGGGATATAACCACCCGATGTGGTTTGAAGGGGTCTACTACGAACACGGACTGCCGCCCCACATGCAGCAGAAGGCGGGTGGTGCTTCCAGTTCTAGCGGTGCAAATGGAAAGTAGAATGAGACACACTCTGGTTATGAAATCAACGCTACAGACACAAACTTGCGTCTCCAGAGTTATCAGCTCTTTGCCCACTACATGAGAATAAAGCTAGGGAAACTTGAGACCATCGGCACGTTTAGTTTCATCAATTTTGAATGTTCTTGTTAGAAAAAACTCGAAAGAGCACTTTTACAGCACTTCTCCAAGCATCCCAACGTGGAATGATGCAAAATTAGATTATGAAAAAATGAAAAGTAGTACGCTTCTTCTTTATGAAGGTTTAATACACCTGCACAGAAACCCAGTCTGCAGCTGTGGAAGCTGCTTAACGTCAACACTATGCAAAAGAGAATTTTATTTATGTTTGAAAGACAAACCATGGATTTATCATGCTCTTTTATGATATAAGAAATCACATAATATAGAACCTCCACGACGAATTTGCTTTACTAGAAAGCTCCCATCTGGCGCCCTTCCGTAGAGGAGAAATTTAAACTTGGATGCATTATGATGCGTTTCTCTGCTTGTACGAACCAGTTCTTTTATCTATGCAAATTGAATCAAAAACGTATGTCGTTGTCAGTGTCTGCGCCTTTTTGTGTTCTCCGGGTTGTAGTATTCGTTCGTCCTCGTAATTTTGTGCGATCAGTTAGTCCGCGAGCTACAGGACGAAGTGGATCACATGTCTTCATCGATGTGCTTCTTCAAAATGTTCAGCAGGTGTTGCGTGTAAGCTTCGCGATCGTCACACTTACAATACGACTTCTCAAGCGCACCGTCGCGACGGGGGTGCCCGACTCCGGGTGCGTCTGGATAGAAGTTGATCGTCTTCTTCCCCGGTTGTCCGCTGTTGAGGTTCCGTTTGTGATTCGTTTCTTGGTTTCTAGAATAAAAACGATTAGTACTATGTTGCCTATATTCTCACTCGCACCTACCGGCTAAAACAGCAAATTCGCTAATCAAAAACCATGAAGCTCTTATGTACGTCGTCTCGTCGGCGGTGTAGCCGTGTTCCTGCAGTGTGGAAAACGGGATCAGGGCGGATCCATGCAGGCCCAGAAACTGCCCCGAAGTTTCTCCCGAGCGAGCGTGGAGAAGCAGGAAATCGGCGTCGGTGGTGTGGTACGGTCCTTTGGAGTTGCGGTGGAAGTTGCAGCGCAGTCCGATAGCGAGCCCGCGCTCCTTACGAAGGCAAAGGACCTTCTCCTGCACCCGATACTTCTTGAGCGGATCCTGCTTGCACCAAATGTGCCCGTCAATTTTGTCAAACTCCCGCTCCGCGGGGGCATACACGAAATCACTTCCAGCAACCAAATCCAGGAACATACGGCGGGCAGTTTTCTCCGTTAAGGTCGCCTGCGAGTAGGAGGACAACAGCGCCATCGTATCCGTATGGCGGGTACACACCGGGTTCTGCCAAAGATCCGTCAGCCGCTTGATGACTGTGTTGCGATTGTACAGACCGTCGCAGATGTCGAACTTGGTGTAGTTCGTCACACGATGCACCGGCTGCACGAAGACGTCCATACAATCGTTGGCCCAGCCAAGCAGAACGGTTCCGTGGTACAAGTTCTTGTAATGATTCAGAACATACCGCAGTTTGCGCTGCCAGGCGGCGGACATCGTGCGGGTGCTCTTCAGCTGGATGCCGAGATACCATTTCTGAGTGATGCCCAGCTCCGCCCTGATATGCGGAAGCGGCGCTATGAAAAAATCGCATCCGGTCTCGAAAATCATAACAATCTCGAAAGAATCTTCCAACAGCCTTTTGATTTCTTGTACAGATGCGCGCTCGATAGCTTTCGGATCAAACTCCATCCTGAGAGAGGAGAAGTCGGAAGATGTTCGTGCAAATGTGAGGAGAAGACGTTCTAAGACACTGACTCGACAACCAAAAACTCGCACGCTACTAGAAGGGATCCGGGGTCCGGTTCTAGAAACGTATATGCCCTGCAAAGTTGTGCCAGAATCTCAATCAAAACAGGTCCCATAAGAGCTTCACATGACCAGAAGTAGCCTACATTTGTTCCGAATTTCGTACCGCTCTGCCATACCGAAAATCAATTCACAAATGTACCACTCTAGGCACCGAAGGGTTTAGGATTTAGCTGTTGTCAGATTTCTTTGAGGATTGTTGTCAGTAGAATCAGCAAAATGGCCGCCGGAACTACTTCATCAACGACTCCGCGCGGCGTTCCGAGACACAGCCGCAAGACAACTAGCTACTTTACCTTAACTATCAGCTAGCTAATTAACCATAAACTAAGTGGTTTTGACATGCATATTTATAATAGAACAAATTTTTGAAAATTTCAATCGATTTAATAGCTGCTCCTGTTATATGAACATCTTTCCGTATAGTCCTAGTCGTTCCTGCCGTTTTTCATCGTGTTCCACAGCATAAATGGAATTTTTTGCGTCAAAATAAAGATTTTTGTGAAGAGCAAACTCCTCCCCCCTTCCTCGCGCATAGCCCCCCAGCTCGCCTTCGCATACTGTTAGGGGCCGATGAAAGCGATTTCTGCGCAACAAAATTAGCATTTGTGTTTGAAAGGTAAGTTCATCCGTGGAGGTAAGGATGCCGGATCGTTTACAACTTTATCGCATCCGCCGCAAGCTGGATATAAGTAAAATAAATCCATTTTCACGAATATGAGTGCCATAGTTATTCCTGCTTTGAAAGAAAGATGTTGCATCAAAACCTCATCTCCAAATAGAGTAAAGAATCATACACTTACGAAAACGCTGCTCATCTTGTTTTATCGTATAATTTTCGTTTTACTTCTAGTCGTCGCGGCAGCTGCTCATGTTCATCCGCAGGGCGAATTTTCGAATCAAAATCTAGATTTTTTTATATCCGATATAAAAAACCCCTAACCCCTACCCCGCTCGCGCAACGACTCCACCGATGCAGCCCATGTATTGAGAGGAAAAATCCCCCCTCCCCATATCGAAACGGTATGTTTCCGGAAATTTGTGTTGCTGATTTGAGACCTCAAATCACGTCTGTCTTGCAAGAAGGCAACTCCACAAGCTCCGCAGCATTGTGCAGGCGGTTTGTGATGCTGATGGGCCTACAGCGCGGACGTTTCTCATGCTAGACGCCTAGGCCAGACCCAGAACCTCTCTACTTAGGCTTAGTATGGGGCTGCATTCCTCTCCAGCAAGACAAATCTTATTTGTACAAGAAGACGGGTCGCCCTGAAGGGCGACCCTTTCTTGAGCTTGATTTTTTCGCATTCAATAAAATGATCATTAGGAGTGTTGGGCTGGGCTTTCTGGGAAGGGGGACGGGTGGGGCAGGGGTAGCAAGCGTTAGGGAAGAGTAGCGCGCCAGAAGATCAGCGCAAAGCTCTAAGAAAAGTGGTAGGGGCAGCAGCTGTAGACAGAAAGCAAGGCGCCGCGGATACAGACAGGGCAGCTGCCTGCCAGCTCTGAAGAAGCCAAAAGGCCTCCGGACACCTGCACAGCGGAGGGAAGCGCAGCAGAAATGTGGCAGCCCGAAGGCTCAAGCAAGGCGCGGCGCCGTTTCCGGTGCCGGGTAAACTAACAAAACAGCACTGCGAAGCGGCTCCGCTGATCATGGGCACCTGCACGCCGGAAAAATACGCGGACGAAACAAACAGGGCCCCCCGATGGGGCAAGTGCGAGAATGCTGCGGCGCAGAACTTCGCCGGGGTTTTGTGTTCGCACTGCGGCGGGCTGGCCTTATTTCGACACCCAACACACCCCCGGGGCGTGGGGGCTGCAGTTGTTGACGCGCCCGACGCTGGTCGGGTCCACGACTGGACTGGCCGGGGCCCGACTGGAAGCAGGAGAGCCCCCCCAGGTTGGTTGTTCGACCTCGTCGGCTCCCTTTCGTTCCTTGCCCCTTTCGGGGCTCATTCCAGCGACCAGGCAGCCTCCCTGAGAAAAGGCCCCGGCTAGGTTTTTGAATGCTTGCGGGCGGGCTGCGCCTCGGCTGTGACGGAGGGGGGAATTGAAGAGGAATATTGGTTGTCCGGGTTCTTGGCCCGGCCGGCGGGCCCTCCTGCGGCTTCTTCCAGGGGGGGGGCCGTACCGGGGGGCCTCAGGCTCGCTCGGGAATTTGCCGGCGCAAGGGCTTGGCCCTCAAGAAAAGCTTCAGGGCAGAAGGCCCGTGGGAGCAAGGGCCATGCCGGGTTGGCCAAAGGGGGAGTGAAGGGGGGGCCTGAGGCGGGGCCGCCGGGGGGGGCCCATTGGGGGCCTTCGGGGGATCCCAAGGGGGGGGGCCTCTGAGGGGCCTCTTGGGCGGGTCTTTAGGGCGGGCGTTCCTAGAGGGGGGCCGCCTGGGGTTTTCCGGATGGGCCCGGCGTGCCAATATTCTAAAAATGCCAAATCATCAAGCAGGACCCTTCGGGCGCCCGCGACTGGGCGCTGTCCAGTAGGGCTGCGGGGCATGCCATAAAGGGCGGGCCCTAAAGGAGGGGGGCCTTACGGGGTCCCTCAATCAGGCTCAGGCATTTGCCGGCGCAAGGGCAGGCTTGGCCCTCAGGCAAAGCTTCAGGGCAGAAGGCCCGAGGGAGCGAGGGCCACGCCGGGTTTGCCACAGAGGGGGCCTTAGGAGGGGCCCCGGGGGGGGCCTCCAGGGCGGGTCTTTAGGGTGTGCCTCGAGGGGGGCCGCCTGGGGTTTTCCGGATGGGCCCGGCTTGCCAATATTATGAAAATGCGCGCCAGCAAAGCACTCGCCCCGAAGAACCTCTCCGGCGCCCGCGACTGGGCACTATCCAATAGGGCCGCAGGGCATGCCATACAGGGTGGGCCCGAAAGGAGTGGGGCTCTGCGGGGGCCCAAAGGCTCAGGCATTTCTTTGCCGGCGCAAGGGCTTGGCCCTCAAGCAAAGACAGTAAGCTTCAGGGCAGAAGGCCCGAGGGAGCGAGGGCCACGCCGGGTGTGCCAAAGGGGGCGGGGGCATCGGGGGGGCCTCAGGAAGGGCTTTAGGGGGGCCTTAGGGGGGGCCCTAGGGGGGGCCGCAGGGGGGGGCCTCTGGGGCGGGTCTTTAGGGTGTTCCTCGAGGGGGGCCGCCTGGGGTTTTCCGGATGGGCCCGGCTTGCCAATATTCTAAAAATGCCAAAGCATTCAGCAGAACCTCCCCGGCGCCCGCGACTTGGCCCTGTCCAGTAGGGCTGCAGGGCATGCCATACAGGGTGGGCCCGAAAGGAGGGGGGCACTATGGGGGCCCTCAGGCTCAGGCGCATGCCGGCGCAAGGGCTTGGCCCTCAAGCAAAGCTTCAGGGCAGCAGGCCCGAGGGAGCGAGGGCCACGCCGGGGTGGCCAAAGGAGGGGCATCAGGGGGGCCGCGGGGGGGGCCTCCGTCCGGGGGGGCCTCTGCGGGGCCTCTTGGACGGGTCTTTAGGGTGTTCCTAGAGGGGGGCCGACTGGGGCTTTCCGGATGGGCCCGGCTTGCTAATATTCTAAAAATGCCAAAGCATTCCGCGGAACCTCTCCGGCGCCCGCGACTGGGCACTGTCCAGTAGGGCCGCAGGGCATGCCATACTTACAGGGCGGGCCCGAAAGGAGGGGGGCCGTACGGGGGTCCTCGGGCGCAGGCGTTTGCCGGCGCAAGGGCTTGGCCCTCAAGTAGACTAAAGCCTCAGGGCAGAAGGTCAGGGAGCGAGGGCCACGCCGGGTTCGGTTGGCCAAAGGGGGGGCGGGCCTCAGGGGCGGCCCAAGGGAAGGTCTCAGGGGGGGCCTCAGGGGGGGGCCTCAGGGGGGGCCTCAGGGGGGGCCTTAGGGGGGGCCTTAGGGGGGGCCTCAGGGGGGGCCTCAGGGGGGGCCTCCCGGGGGCCTCTTGGGCGGGTCTTTGGGGTGTTCCTAGAGGGGGGCCGCCTGGGGTTTTCCGGATGGGCCCGGCTTGCCAATATTCTAAAAATGCCAAAGCATTCAGCAGAGACTCTCAGGCGCCCGCGATTGGGCACTGTCCGGGAGGGCTGCAGGGCATGCCACACAGGGTGGGCCCGAAAGGAGGGGGGCTTTACGGGGGCCCTCCGGCGCAGGCGTTTGCCGGCGCAGGGGCTTGGCCCTCAAGCAAAGCTTCAGGGCAGAAGGCCCGAGGGAGCGAGGGCCACGCCGGGCTGCCCAAAGGCGGGGCATCAGGGGGGCCGGGTTGGCCAAAGGGGGGGCCTTAGGGAGGGCCTCCGGGGGGCCTCTTGGGCGGGTCTTTAGGGTGTTCCTAGAGGGGGGCCGACTGGGGTTTTCCGGATGGGCCCGGCGTGCCAATATTCTAAAAGTGCCAAAGCATTCAGCAGAACCCTTCCGGCGCCCGCGACTGGGCACTGTCCAGCAGGGCCGCTGGGCATGCCATAAAGGGCGGGCCCGAAAGGAGGGGGGCCTTACGGGGGCCCTGAGGCAGGCTCAGGCGTTTGCCGGCGCAAAGGCTTGGCGGGCCCTCAAATAGAATAAAGGAAGCAAGCTTCAGGGCAGAAGGTCAGGGAGCGAGGGCCACGTCGGGTTGGCCAAAGGGGGGGCCACAGGGGCGGCCCAAGGGAAGGCCTCCGGGGGGGGCCTCAGGGGGGGGCCGCAGGGGGGGCCTCGGGGGGGGGCCTCTCGGGGGGCCTCTCGGGGGCCTCTTGGGCGGGTCCTCTTTATGTTCCTAGAGGGGGGCCGCCTGGGGCTTTTCGTATGGGCCCGGCTTGCCAATATTATAAAAATGCCAAAGCATTCAGCAGAGCCCTTCCGGCGCCCGCGATTGGGCACTGTCCAGCAGGGCTGCAGGGCATGCCATACAGGGTGGGCCCGCAAGGAGGGGGGCCTTACGGGGGCCCTTGGGCGCAGGCGTTTGGGGCTCCTTACAACGACGGACCAGATAGGAAGCCGGAAGAAAGACCCTGGCTGCCTAGGTTTTCAAGGGCGGCCTGCGCCTTGGCTGCGGCGGGGGGGGAACATGGTCCGGGTTGCTTGGCCCAGTGGGCCCGTTGCCTTTTGGGGCTTCTGTTCGGATTGATTTGCCGCGGGCAATCGAAATCGGGTAAAGCCGAAGGGCAAAAGGCGAAGGGGCGAATGCCGGGACCCGCACCGGCCGGCGTGGCTTTCACTTCTGAAAGGCAGGCCTTGCCGGCGCATGAGAAGGGTTGGGCGCGCACGCAGCCTTAACACTGCAGGGCAGGCCCCAGGCGGCGGCGGCCATAAGGGGTTGGCCCCAGGGGGGACCTCTGCCGGGGGGGGGCCTTCAGAGGGGCTTCCGAAGGGGCTCCCGGCCGGGGAAGCAACGACGGCAGGGCTCAAAAAAAAGCCGGGCGCCATCCTTCACTTTTCTGGAACTTTTCCTAGTGAGAATTATAGACGCGCCCTCGACCTCAAGCCGGGGCGCGGGTTTCCGGTTTCTGGCTCTTCCTTTGCAAGTTCCTAAAGGCACGACATCTGGCTCTCAGATCTTTACTTCAAAGAAAAGAACTCGCGTGGGGGAAGCCTCAGGGGGGCGCGCCCTCGACCTCAAGCCGGGGCGCGGGTTTCCGGTTTCTGGCTCTTCCTTTGCAAGTTCCTAAAGGCAAGACATCTGGCTCTCAGATCTTTACTTCAAAGAAAAGAACTCGCCTGGGGGAGGCCTCAGGGGGGGCCTTAGGGGGGGCCTCAGGGGGGGCCTTAGGGGGGGCCTTAGGGGTCGAGGGGGGGCCTGAGGGGGGGCCTAAGGGGGGGCCTGAGGCCCAGAATAGCGCTAATGATCATTATTAGTCTTGTAATACGCAAATCCTGCATCAGAAACTTCGTTTTGATATGGGGAGGGAGGATTTTTCCTTTTGATACCATGCTCGCGTTCTTCACAAGCTGTCAGGAGCCGTTTTGATGAAAGAAAGCGCGTTCATCTGCACACAGGGATTTTTTACCATACATTTGTTGGTTGAAAGGTAAGTTTATCAGGGACCACTATAAAGAAAATATCCTCGCCGATTCGCTCCTCATCACCAAAATTATGTTGGTGTTGATAAATACTATATAGTGAACTCCGATTTTATATCAGAAGAATCTGAAAAGTTGTCCATTTGGTGTCGGATAATAAGTATCTCCGATCTTTGAGAAAGTGACCATAAATCTTTATCTTGGTCTTGGATCGGACCCCCGATATGACCTTCGCGAAAACAAAGTTAAGGCTGCTCAGGAACTGCTGCACAGAGAAATGGGAAAACATCAAAATCGATTTGGAAAGAGCCGTGTTATCAAATGCAAATATGTCTGGGTCTGGAAATTTGTGATGCTGGGCGGCGTATCATGAGAAGGCCACAAGTGCTGGCCCGGCATGACAAGTTTTTGAGCTTCTAGGTGTTGCCTACTCTGCATGACAAACTGCGTTTCTGCATGCCAGAAAAAGGGGGCTCGTGGGTAACGTGCATGACAGATGTAAGAGTCACACCCGAGAAGCATGACAAATATGCATTCTTCCAGACCCAGACATTTTTGCATTTGATACGTGTTGCGGCTGCGCCAGCGGATCGGGTGAAGATGTGACGTCTTTTTTTATGCTAAACCTGTATTTGATTTCTCGGACAGGTTCCCCTTCGCCGCGTTCCCCGTCGGCCACGTAGATCAACTCCATTTCCACTACACCCCCAGTGCGGAGCGTCTCGCGTGCGTCGTCCGGAAGGAATGGCACTGAAGTGGCGTCGCTTAGGTCTATCAGAATACCACGAGCGAGCAGAGTGACAGAGGGCCCCATCCGTGCGGAAAGTCGCCCTGTCCACCAATGCCAAAATAAGACGCTGGCGTTGGGTATGCCGTATTTGAGAAAGGTATTGTACTCTTGTTGAATTCTTCTCGGCGTTTGATGCCGGGCCAAGGCGAAAGCCTTTTCCACCTCTGTCAGCAGCCAGCGGGACATGTCAGGGGTAGCTAGTTGCACCCAAGGTGACTCAACAACCGCTCCGTCGGCGTCATGGTTAAGACAGCGTAACCTGTGCGTGAAGTGCTCCAAAAGCAGTGGATAATCGCCTTCCAAAGAAGTACCTTCTGGCTGTGGTCCCCTTAAAAATGCGCGCTCTGATGACGCAAGTGCGTGCGTAAAGGCCAGCACGTCGTGCTCTAGTTTCCCGGGCACGAACCCTTCGTCCGAGGCAATAGTTTTTCGCAGGTGCTGGAAAAGTTTTTCCATTTCGCTTTGCGCCAAGGACGGTAGGTGGACAATATTCGCGGACTTGCGCTCCTCCAGGTAGGGGCCACCGTATATCTTCGGTCGAAGGATTATGGCGTTCTCAAATGTTACATTCTCAACTGTTACATGAATTTGTAATGCAAGAACGGCGAAAGTGAAAGGGGGAAGATTGCGCCTTTTGCATTACAAATTTGGCACGGAGTTAGATGCTGTTTAGCCCTTCGGATATTTGTCATGCGAAGCAGCTAAATCGTGGCGATCTTGGTGGCAAATTTGCATGACAAATCATGTAACAGCTGAGAATGTAACAGTTGAGAACGCCATAAGGACGTTCAGAAGCGAGGCAAAGGGCATCTTTCGCCCGCCCGCGACAAAGACGAGGTCGATGGTGGTCCTTGCTCGGGGCGGAAGTGTCGTCGTGTCAGCAGACGAAGAAGCGCTTTGCTGATGATATTGCACCAGCTGCTGCAGCTCTTTCTCAAGTAACGTTGCCAACTTTTCGTCGCGATTTGCAGCAGTACCGATACGCACGACCGGAGTAGGACCATGAGCTGTAAAAAGCTGCGGGCCGGTCCCAGGGCTGGCGAGCATATCATGTGGCGCTGGATACGAGTCCGCACCGGAGAGCCTGTCGAGCACGTGGCGAGCTTTGGTATTTTTCCATTCGTAATACGGGATTCTTGTGATAACGTTGCCGCCCACGGTAACGATCTTCAGAGCGGGACCTTCTGCTGTCCTAGCTGGGAAAAGCGAAAGAATTTGCGGTGGTGCAGCTCCTCCTCTAAAAGCAGGGACTAGTTGTACTTGGGGAGCACGTGGAGGCCTGTTTGTTCCGCGATCATCTTCCCTCGACGTTCCGCCGAAAGCTGAAGCGGCGTGGCCCTCGGTGGCGTCTTCTAATTGTGGGCGACGAGCAGTGGCTTGAAATTTTTTCAACCAATAGCAATACTGGTTAAAGAAACGCATGTTGTCGAGAAAAGGAATCGGGCGTCGATCCGGGGGCTCTACTACCGATAATTCTGCTGCCTGCAGCCGCATCAAGGGAAAACCAATGCAGGAAGTGCGGAACGGCCCCGAGGCTACCAGCGGAAGTTGTTGTGCCATGAACATGAGGCCACTCGACGTCCCAGCGGGAGTCATGCCAGGATCGTCGTTATTTCTTAGCTTTTATCCTGTGGAAGAATGATGTCCCCACGACCGCAGTGTTAGTACTTACAAGGGTTCTGCATGCTAAGGACGATGTTGTTTCTCATGCGGATATTCTCCATGAGGGGCGCTTATTTTTCATGAGTTTTGGGAATCTGTCATGCGCTAATTAGCATGAACAGATTGGATCTGTAATTATAATGCGTCTGGACAACTACTAGCTGGGCACGGCTACACTACGTACAGAGCCAAACCTATCATCCGTGACTCACAAAATTTCAGGAACTGTCTATGCAAAATTCCCATCTTGAGACACTGGGGTCGTGTGGGCCTCGTTTTTCCTCAGGATAGTGCAAGCTCTTCCGCTCCATCGTGCTCCTCGTCGTGTGCTGGCGTCCCAGAAAAGTTACTGGAAGATGAAGGATGACCGGCGGGGGGCGCTTGGTGTCGTACTTCTGCTGCTGCGCCTTCTAGGTCACGACCGATGGCTTGGAGTTTTTCAAAGCCCCCATATTTCTTAATCCATTCCATGTTTTGAAGAAAGCTGGTTTTTTTCGGAGGCTCTTCTACGACGCGGACGCTCTGCCACCGAGGGGCCAAAAATCCCGTGAGTATCAACTGCAAAAATGTCTGGGTCTGGAAGATTCCGAGCTTTGTCATGCTAGTCTGGCATGACTCCGAACTCTGTATTGCGCGGCCGCGAAGAGCTGCTCTTGCCTGTCATGCAAAAACCCTGTTTCTCATGCGAAACGCAACTCAGAACCACGGCAAAACTTGTCATGCTGGGCAGCGCATTACAGTGTTATCACTATTCCCTTCCTTGCATCACAAGTTTCCAGACCCAGACACTTTTGCATTTGATAGCGTGTGAACGTGTACGAAAGCCGGCCGTGTAGTCCGGCGCCGGGGAAGGAGCCACCAGGGTACTACTAAATTCGTCCGTTGATCCTCTTGCATCACGCGCAGTTTCGGTTGCCACGACGACGGATGAAGAAATAACTTCTGGATCTTCAACATTTTCATGGGTCTTCGTCGACGGGGCTGCTTCGCTAGTACGCATCTCTACTCCACGAACTCCGTTGTTCTCAACATGATCCGTTTCAGTTTCAATTTCTGACAGTGCTTGGTTCAGTGTAGCGGTGGAAAATCTACCGCCCGCAGGAGATGGTGGAGCGGGAGGTGGAGCGGCAGCATCACCTGTGCTATGCATTGCAAACATTTTTGGGTCTGGCAGGTTGCAAGTTGTGATGCTGTCATTGGATTCCAAAATTCCAAAAACACCTGTATTGCGCGACCAGCAACAGCAGTCCAGTTTGTGTAGTTAGGCGGAGAGGCAATTTCTCATGCGGAATAGGCATTCGGAAGCCTTCTAAAAATCTGTGTTGCTAGATCATGCATTACAGGCATCATCCATCATACAAAATATGCATGACAAACATGCCAATCTTCCAGAGGACCCAGACATATTTGCATTTGATATGTAGCTGTGCTCCCGGCGGACGAGGAGGAACTACTGCTTGCGGTGTTACTTCCCCCACCACTGGCCGCGCGGGCCAGTATATCAAATGTAAAAATGTCTGGGTCTGGAAGATTCTGACACTTGTCATGCACGTTTGGCATGAGCCATGATGTCTGTGATGCATACACTAGCAATACAGATTTTTTGAGGGCTTCTTGATGCCTATTCCGCATGACAAATGCCTTCTCAGCGTAGCAAAAATTGCATTCTGTTTGCTACTCATGCAATACAGATTTTTTTGGAATCCAAATACAGCATCACAAGTTGCATTCTTCCAGACCCAGACATTTTTACATTTGATACAGTACCGGCCATAGTAACTGCATTGTGACCACGCACAAGGAGCTGAAGAAGAGCAGCCCGTTTGTTCTACTGCGAAGAAGCTTCGCGGCAGCTCCTGTCGAAGAATTTTTATGTTGTACTGCCATTATGGTAGATTGTGTCGCCGTGGTTCTAGTATCAGACAGAAGTGCTCGTTGGGAAATGTAATAGGATGCTGTATTGTTCAACAGCGGTCGCCGAAACAAGTACAACCACAACTACGTGGTATTGCAATGCTACCGCCAGTCGCAGTGAACAAAACCTAGAGAAAAAAGATTGGTGTAGATCAGTACACCGCGCCGGTGGATAACAAATTGAAAATCTACGACAGTGGGTAGAAAAAAAAAAATTGTGTCAAGTGTGATGCTGCTGCTTGTACATAAAATCGAAATGGACGGGAAAATTAGTTGGCGAAACAAGCGGAGCGTGACCACCCTGCAACCTGAAACAGTGCATCAACATACACAATAGATAAATTCAGGTCCGCGAGGATGTGCTTCATACGGTAATGTTTATCCGTCTTCTTGTTGCTGTGAGCTCTACGAAGTTATCTGCTCTGGTAAAAAATTCGCAGACGATCTTCTGGATCCCATACTCAGTCTCGGATCGTGGGTACATTCATCTTTTGATGAAGTGAAAGTAAGCGCAGATCCACTTGTACTTCGCTTGGATTCCGAAGGAAGATCGCCGGCCGTTTTTTTGGGCTTCGCTTGCACAGATGGGGCTTCGCTTGCACAGACGTTTCATAGTTTTTTTCGTGCGTATACAGCACGATTTCGATTTATTCTTGAAGTAGATTTTCTTTTCATCTGGTGCTTTGACCGCGTAAAGAAACCTAGTCGTAATGAGTAGGAGAAAAAAACAGCGAGACCGACGAGACCAACGTGGCGGCAGAAGTAGGGATGGGGTAGTACTAGTACATCGCGGTATGAACTATGATATTAGACACGACAAAACAATCGCCTTACTGGACCGAGCGCAACATGTGCCAGGCATCACAGCTTTTCGATGAGGATGACAACAGCGGCGATAGAAGTCGTGTACGCCGCGTGTATCAAGCTCAGAAGTTCCGCCAGTGGTCTTGTTCCTTGGCACTAAAAATGCCACGGGCGAAAAGTATTGTTCCTGGGACTCAATATTTTACATTCTCTTCAACCTGCAGAAATCCCGCCGCGCTTCGGCGGAACCTGAGTCAAAGTCTTTTCCAAAAAAAATAAGGCTGCTATCGGATAGAACCAGCGAGCAAAATTGATGAAAATACTATCAGTACAAAAGCTAAGCTAAGCAGATGACCTCAGCGTTGCACATGAAGCTGAGGTTCTGAATGACGTGTAGTTCGATGCATTTTTTGTAGTTCGTGCAAGCAGTATAAAAAATAGAGCCGTTTAAAGTGATGCAATCATTATATAGTTCTTGGACTTGCTTCTACATCACGGCTTATTTTTCCCCCGACCTCGGTGGGTTTTTATTTTTTGCTCCTGCCTCCGCGGCTCAGAAGGTGCTTGAGAACAAAACTCGACAGCTTAACGCTGAGAAAGATGGACAGCCAGCTTCACGATGAGAAGTTCCAAGATGTTTAGTCTTCGTTGCTTATGGTGCATGCAGGATGGATATGGCAACTCCCCCAAGCTCTCATTCATATGGAGGCATGAACAGCATTACAACCACCAGTATGACACGTGGAGCCTGTGCATGACAACTTCCTTCTGTGCCTGGTGTAGTATTCTTTGGGCAGCTTCCAGAATCTGTCATGCAAACTGTGGTGCCACAAGGCTGCACTTGGATTTGGGATTTTGCACGGCAAATTTGATGATGGGGGAGGTGCACTCTCATAATGGAAGTTGTCGATGCGCCAGATCATCATCATGGTTCAGTGCTGGGGACGGGAAAATTGCTGATGTGCTGACAATATGCATTGCAAAAGCATCGTAGCAGTCAAGATACAAGCGTACAAATTAGCTCAACATGAAAAATGGATTTCACGCCATGCAGTTCTGCATCCATAAGTAGCACTTTCAGGAGTACGAGTGCGATACTTTTGCACCGGATAGACAAATCTGCAGCTTGCATTCCCAATTTTGTGTCGGCCTGCACCGGATGCGCGTCATTATTGTCGGGGATTCTAGAATAACAAAGTTCACGACATTATCCTGAGCAAAAACCTCCCCACGACTCCAGGGTAGTTGTGATGCAGATTTGCAATCACAGGACAAGGACAACTTGTAATGCACATCTTCCCCATGAGAGGCATTTTCACACACCAATGCTGTAAAGATGGTGAAAAGTAGAGGGGTTTATGATGCGGCTGGCCTTGCTAAAATGCACACTACACGACAGAGAGGACCTTGTCCTGCGTGACAACTCCCAAAACTTCTGGATTTGTGTTGCTAAGTTGCCAAGCTGAAGACTCTAGACTCGGGAGATTTTTGCTCAGAATACACATCAGCGGTCGTGTTTAGAACCCGCGTGGCATCGAAGCCCGTAGCCTATCCACAGCAAATTTATTTCCGTAAACGTACAAATGCGGTGAATGGGGTTTCTGCATGATAAAACTAGCCTTCAATCGTATTCAGCATGACAAGTGGCACTACATAATTCTACGTACTATGTTGGCGAAATATGTCATGCATTTTGTACGTGGACGGAAACGAAAACGAATTTGTATTGCATATGGAGTATTGATATCAAATGTAAAAATGTCTGGGTCTGGAACGATGCAACTTGTCATGCTAAGACTGAAGCATGCAAAAATCTGTGTTGCATGATTACCAAATGTCGTCTAGTTTTGAACAAGTCGGGAGGGAGTTTCTCATGCGGGGTAGGCATGACAGAGATCGCACAGTGTCTGTCATGCTAGGTCCTGCATTCCAGACCTCATGGGTCATGGAAAAGCTGCATGACAAATCGCGCATTTTTCCAGACCCAAACACTTTTGCATTTGATAATTGAACCGAAAGGCTGTTGTACTTGCTGGTCGTGTAATGTCCTCGAAGCTGTCCACTATCCCACGAAAAAACTGTTTCACTGTGAACTTGTGATACATGGAATGGAACACACAGCTATGTGTCTTGCTACACATGCAATACATTGGATTTTTACTGGTGTTTTCCCTTGGGAAGTACGCATGGCAAATTTTCTGTGCCATGTGTAACAAACTTGTGTTGCAGATCTTGCAAAATCATCACAGTGAAACAGTCTTTTCCTGCGATATCCACGAAACGTTCTCCAATGCCGTAAGGCCATGTAGTCCAGTCCATGGTACCGCGCTGCGCCGTCGGGCTGAGAAACAAAAAGCCGGGGATAGTACGCGCTTGGATTGTCATTTCGCACGACTCATCAAATGCAAAAGTGTCTGGCGATCTGGAAAATTTTAGCGCGGTTTGTCATGCATATTTTGCATGGAGGCTCATGATGCCTGTAGTGCATGACTTAGCACAACAGATTTTTGGAAGGCTTCCTGATGCCTATTCCGCATGACAAATGCCCTTTCCGCGTAGCACAATCTGGCCTCCTCTTGCTGGTCATGCAATACAAATCTTTTTGGAATCCAAACACAGCATGACAAGTTTGGATCCTTCCAGACCCAGACATACTTGCATTTCATACGACTTGCTCGAGAAACTGGTCACGGGATTCTCTGCTCATGTCGTCCCCCGCTTGCAGCCCTGCCCAGGCAGTGTGCACAGAAATAAACGAGTCGGCTTGCACACTCAGACGGCCGCCGTATCCTGAGTAAAAACGGGGCCCACACACCAGAGTCAAGGTGGGAAGTCTGCTAGACAAATCCACCAGGCTTGGCTGTTGCGCATGAGAAGTTTGGCGTCGTAGTGTAATCCTGTTGAGCTAGTTCACCAGCATCACAACTCCAGCATATCATGTTGATTGGAGCATGACAAATTCCGAAACGCAGCTAGAAAATGCTTCTCATGGGGCTCCGCATGAGAAACATCTTCAGCATGCAGAATTGCATTACAACTATGGGGTGGGGACGTTTTTACAAATGATACGCCGTTTCGAGGATTCACTCCAGCATTGCTTGACGGACCGGCGGTCGAAGGTCCATCTACTTCGCGATCAGGACGACCGTCGCTTGCGGTGCTTTCCTGATGTTGAGCAGGACGACCAGTTTCTTGGTTACCATGTGCTCGCGCTCCCTGGATTAGTGGGCGGAGTTTTTCGCGCAAAATCTTGGCGGAGAGCTATTCTGATGAAAAGCGCCGCCACCCCATAGTCGAGCTAGGAAATGATCTGCTAGACAAATCCACAAGTTTCGGCGCTTGCGCATTACATCTTTGGCGACGTAGCATAGCCCTGCCTACTAGGTAGACCGGACGCATCACAAATCCACTTTCTCATCGTGATTCGCGCATTACAGAGTACCAAACTTCTACACGATTAGAAATAAATGCCCGTCATGCGGACCGGCATGACAGATGCTCTGAGCATGCAGATTAGCACGACAAGTCTGGGATGAGGGCGTCATGACCACGCATAAAAGCCAGCCCGGCATGACGTCGCCATGGATCAGTGCGGTCATGATCTTATGCATTGCAAATATGTCTGCGTCTGGGTCTGGACGGTTGCAAGTTGTCATGCTAATTCTGAATCATGCAAAAAAACTGTGTTGCATCATTACCAACAGCCGTCCTTTTTTACCAAGTTGAGAGGAAATTTCTCATGCAGGATAGGCATGCTAGTAGAGATCTCAGCACATCAGAGTTTGTCATGCTAGGTGCTGCATTCCAGACCTTACGGGTCATGGAAAACCTGCATGACAAATCTTGCATCCTTCCAGACCCAGACATATTTGCACTCGATAGATCTCGTCCTCCGGAGCCTCTATCCTGAGTAAAAACGTACCCACACCAGAGTTGTAATGCAGATTTGCAAAGACAGGAAGACTTGTAATGCGCATCCCCATGAGAGCCATTTCCAATCCTGTTTTGGAATTTGTGATGCTGTGAACAGGACGAGCAGATGAATCTGTGATGCGGCTGCACTTGCTGACCTGCACTACACTGCATAGTGCAACTTGTCATGCGTGACTCACAAAACTCCTAGGTTTGTGTTGCAAAATCCCCATCCTGACTCTGGTGTGGGTACGTTTTTACTCAGGATAGCCTCGGCGAGCAGGTCGTAAAAGTCTTCCACCGTGCAAGAAAACAGTCCCTTTGCGACGAAAGGATAATGACCGGGGGCTCTATCGGTGCCTGCAGTCGCGTTCTTGTACCAGTTTTGCAAATAATTCTTCTTCTTGTTTTCCACAAACGTCTGACTCGCCTTGCTTGCGGCAGCAAGGCTTGCGGTCGCGGCAGTCTGCTCTGGGCCCAGCCGGTGTTTCCGCTTCAGAATTTTCTGCAGCATGGTGTCTCTCGTCGCGGTGCCAAGATGAGCATCGGTAAGCACAGCTTGGCTTCCTCGTGCACCACTATCGCCACGGTGGCCAGCAGCGCGCACGATTTCCGCAGCTTGGAGCCACTTCTGAGAAACCGCCGGACGGATTGTTCCCGGGTCGGCCGCCACCACAGCCGCCTGCTTGGTCTTTGCGTGGTGGCTTTCGAGGTTTTCCACAGTTGCTTTGCGGTCGGCTTTATGGAATGCAAAAATGTCTGGGTCTGGAAGAGTGCATGTTTGTCATGCTTGGCTGGCATGACTCTTAAATCTGTCATGTACTTTACCCAAGAGCCCCATTTTTCTGTCATGCAGAAACGCAGTTTGTCATGCAGAAGAGGCAACACCTAGAAGCAAGCTCAAAAACTTGTCATGCTGAGCCAGGACTTGCGGCCTCCTCATGATACGCCACCCAGCATCACAAGTTTCCAGACCCAGACATATTTGCAATGCATAGGCTTTTTGATCGAAGGAGCCCGACGCGACCCCATTGCCGGCCAAGAACGAATAAACCCGGTCCCAGGCGTATCAAATGTGAAAATGTCTGGGTCTGGAAGAATTCATGTTTGTCATGCTTGTCTGGCATGACTCTTAAATCTGTCATGCACGTTACCCAAGAGCTCCGCTTCTCTGTGATGCAGAAGCGCAGTTTGTCATGCAGAATAGGCAACACCTAGGAGCTCTGAAACTTGTCATGCTGAGCCAGCATTTGTAGCCTCATCATGAGACGCTACCCAGCATCACAAGTTCCCAGACCCAGACATTTTTACTTTTGATAAGGCGTAGTCTGGCAGGGGACCTTCCGCGCCGCTCGTGCTGGGTGTCAAAGAAGTACTGCTGTCGTGTTCGAGGACCACATCGTCGGTAGCTTTGGGAGGTGCGCCTGCACCAGCTCCCGCAAGAGACTCCTGCGCCGTTTGAAGGTTGTTCACCTGCTGCTGCCCGTCAGTGCTTCTGGTGTGCGACGAGTCGCTGGAGGCCGATGCGGCGACCAGGACAGATTTGGTGCTCCATAGAAGCAGGAGCGCCCGAGATGCCAGTGCGTGCTTCATTATTTTTGAATCTGCAAGAGACACAGGCTTCAGGCGTGTGTATGTTGCAGTCGAATCAATGATGAAAATGAAATTGTACGCAGCAAACTACTGGGACTAGTAGATAAAAGGAAAAACAAAATTTTTCAGCAAGGCCGACAAGTTAAAGTTTTCTAAATCAAGTACATTGAATCTTGATATCGTGTGCGGAAATGTCGAAAATATTGTATCAACTAAGAAGTAGAAATTGCATTGTTTGTAGAGTTTGAAATAAAATATCGTATAAAAAAAACATGGAAGATGAGGTTGAAAAGCTTCGATGCAGCTAATCTTCGCCTGTTGAAAAAAATATTGCATTTTGACGTTCCAGCACTGGAAACATAAGCAAAAAATCCCGCTACAACTTCTACATGCTGACCAGCCCATGCTGGCGCTTGTTCCATCTTGCATTTTTCTAGATCCACATCCATATTTCGACGGCCACAAGCTTCAAGATTCTGCAGTCTTTCACGAAGGTGGCTACAATTCCATTTTTATCCCGATGAAATTATTAACCGACGCTTGTTCATCATGTTGTAGTAGGAATAGCTTCTTCATGATCTTCCCATTACTTGGAGGAGTTTCAACCGCATCTAGCGTTTTTACACCGTGCTAGTACAACAACCTCTTAGTTTTGGTTTTTGATCCAGCTTTCGTTATAGGAAAAGAAACTATGTGGTACTTCTTTCAGTCGCCGTCACAAAACACAGCGAACTCGTCGCAACGAGGTGGCTACAAGCGTGCTGCAGTGGCGGTCCCTCCAAATGGTATTAAAAGGGGGCTGTGATGAGAGCTGGCAGCTGTATTCCTGCTTTGCTTTTCATTGTCCGAAACAGAAACGGTTCTCCTTGATACCAGAATGACGCAAGGGTCCTTTGCCGTACGCAGCACGACCAGCTGCAGTAGCAATTGTTAATAGACTCTCACATCTACTTCTCAAGGGCAGGATAACATCTCAGCAACTTGCTAATGTCATCCGAAACACAATTACATATAAAATTATTGTCGGTGCAGCATACTAAATAGCTCAGTACGACCTCGTACAAGGGCATATTTTCATCTTGAAGTTCAGGTCAGTAAAGACTTCATCCACCACCACCACTTTGCTGCACCCGGTTCATGTGCTGATTTTCTATCTGCGCTACCATTTTATTTCCCAGCTTTTCCTCTTCTGGGTTTTTCTCTTCCTCGCGCGACGGCCCGTGTGCACCGTAACCCGTTTGATCATGTTTCGGAGAAAAATTGCAGCGAGATTCACCGTCGCTGCTGTGCGACCGGTTTTGGCCCAGAGAGCACGAAACCAGTGCTATGCCTGGGCTTTTTGTACAGAAGCATGCATACAGTCTTTCCCTCCGCGTTTCGTTCTTTCAGGTATCCGCTCAAAGTATGCACTGCGCATTTGTCTGGGTCTGGAAATAAACGAAAAACGGCGCTAACTTGTGATGCATCCTGTGCATGACACCCAAGATTTGCCCTATTAATTTTGCTCAAGGTTAGAAGGAGTTTGTCATGCAGAACAGGCATGACAAAGAGAAAGACCGCACAGAATCTGTCATGCTACGCCCCGCATTTTTCCAGACCTCACTGGGCATGGAAAACTTGAATAGTGCAAGCATTGCAATCTTCTTCGACACCCAAACAAATACTGGCACTTGATACAAAGAGCCAGTAGTGGTCGGGATGACTATCACACGCCCGTCGTCGAAATGTCGCCACTGCGGAGATTGCTGCGTACCGATGTTCGCAACCGCCGTGTAGTGGCCGGTATTGGCCCTTGGACCGTGGTGCAAAATCACCGCATGCAGTTCGTTATGCATTGCAAAAGTGTCGTACTAGTATTAATTGCAATACAGATTTCCTTAGCTGCATGAGAAATGGAATGTGTCATGCGGATTTGCCTTAATAAAAAGATTTGTAATGCGAGATTTGCATTTATACGAAAACGATACTTTTGCAGAGGATATTCGTACGCCTGCGACACAGCGTCCATGCCCCGTTCCTGCACTTGCCTTTCCCACTCTCTTATCAAACGCAAAAATGTCTGGGTCTGGAAGATTCTAAACTTGTAATGCTGTCTCTGGATTCTAGAAGAATTTGTATTGCATGACCAGCAAAAGGACTCCAGTTTGTGCTACGTGGAGAGGGCATTTCTCATGCGGTGGAGGCATCGCAAAGTCCTCTAAAAATCTGTGATGCTAGGGCATGCATCGCAGACATCCTGGGTCATTCAAAATATGCATGACAAACCTGGCAATTTTCCAGACGACCCAGACATTTTTGCATTTGATATCTCTGTAGTCGCGTGCGTCCTCAGGGGACTCGGGATTTCGCACTCGCGCACGTTCTATCAAGTGCAAAAGTGTCTGGGTCTGGAAGATTGCAACTTGTGATGCTGCATTTGGATTCCAGAAAAATCTGTATTGCATGAGTACCAAAAGGAACGTAATTTTTGCTACGCGGAGAGGGCATTTGTCATGCGGAATAGGCAACAGGAAGCTCTCAAAAAATCTGTGATGCTAGGGCATGTATCACAGACATCAGGGCTCACGCAAACCGTGCATGACAAGTGTCAGAATCTTCCAGACCCAGACATTTTTACAGTTGATACGTTCAAACTCCGTGTTGATGCCGCTTGGACCATTTCTTCGCGCCTGGGCGTCGATGTAGAATAGAAAGGGAATGTCCAGATATTTCATTTTTTTCCTGGTGTTGCTTGTTCCGTCAGTCTGGTATGTGAAGCTGTTCACGTGGAGCGGCAAAATTTCTGGCAGTTTGCGGAGGTGAACTTTGCGGTGCAGGCCGTACTCGGTGTAGCGAATAGTCCGAGGTTGTCCTGTGCTATCTCGGATTGTCCGCTGCGCATGCATATGAACTGCAAAAGTATCGTACTCGTATAAATGCATTACAAATTTTCTCAGCATGAGAACTAAAATTTGTAATGCGGATTTCCCTATAACGAAAAGATTTGTAATGCATGATTGCAATAAGAGTGCGATACTTTTGCACAGCATAATGCACCTGCCTGGTCCGCGTCTCCACACCGTCCAACCAGGTCGGCCGAGGGTCGTCATCGTCCACTGCAGAATCGTGGGAAAATTGGGAGGAGTCAAGCAGCTGCAACTACATTCAAGATTCTATCTCAGCGCCTCCTGTTGCGCAGGAGCCTAAGCCTATTATACTTACTTATTACGGAGCAGTTTATGAGCACCCGCTGCAGAAGTTGAGTTTGAGAGCTCCTCTTTTACATGAACTATCGATGAGCTCTGGATATCAAAAACTTTGTGTCCTGGTTGACTTAAATTTTTTTCCATGTTCATACACGAGGGAGTCGACGTTTGGATCTAGTACACCGTGATCTGGCTCGAAGCCTGCGTTCCGCAGTGCTTGTAGAATGTCAGTGTTATGGGGTTCTCAAACGTGACATTCTCAACTGTTACATGGTTTGTCATGCAAAATGACCATGACCCGCCAGACGATCAAGCTGCTTCGCATTACAAATTCTCGGAAGGCTAAATAGCACGGTAATCCGGATCAAACGTGTAATGCAAGACGCGCAAGGTTCTCCCTCTCACCTGTGCTAGTCTTGCATTACAAATTCATGTAACAGTTGAGAATGTAACATTTGAGAACGCCATAAGTGTGCCTGTCCTCGTCGAAGTCTAGCATGAATTGCGATGCGGGGTACCACGCATTCCCGGTGTGGTCGCTCTTTACCCAACCGCCCTCGTGCACGTTGATCGGATTCCCTTGGGTATCAATCGCAAAGAATTCCTCCTTGATCTCGAAAGTGAAGAGATTTTGTAACTCCCGGACCAGCACATTTTCGATAAGTCTGCTCATGCCCTCCGATGCGTCCTGCTGTAGCCACTGAGTCCCGTAACTTCTGAGGCCCGGCCAATTCCCCTTCTGCACGACAAAATGCAGAAGTGCTTCTACCCCTTGCAACCGGTTCCAGGCGAATCTATCGGTGTACGCAACAATGTTATTCTGTTGACCAGTGATGGCACGGAAGAAGGCGCACCAGTGCGTGAGTTTCTCGTTATCTTCCGGGCTGCGTTGCTGCGAATCTTCACTGCTCGTCCTGGAAGACCTCGCACCTAGCAATCGCTGCTCCTCATCTCTTCGCGCGCACACCGCCGCGGCTTCCTCGTGCAGGGACGGAATGTAGACCAAACTCTGCGACAAGCTGATCATCCAGCACAGGTTGTTGGGATTCACAATTCCGATCTCTGGCTGCGTCGTCGAAGACTATCATACAGAAAAGTACGGCCATCGCCATGGCAGCAAAAAACATAAATCTCTGTTGTGTGATTTGTGTTGCTCAACCAAAATTCGCGCCGCTAAAAACTCTGCCATGCAGAGACAACTATTTTGCCGATACATTTTCGCCATGCACAACGGAATTTGGATTTGTCATGCAAAACGATAAGAACCGAAAAAGCTTGCCATGTTGAACAGACAACAGGAATTTTTTTGTGATGCTGAAAATTGCATGCCAAACACAATAAAATGATTTTCCAGTCGTGTTGAAGAGGTAAACATAAGTCCGTACTTTTCTGTCGCATAAAAAGCTGGACCCGCTACTAGCATGCTGATCAGGAACAGTCCGGCGCAGAAATCTCGTTGGGCGACCACCATCTTCGCCAGCGGCCGGCGCCGGCCTCCTGCGCCCAACAACCTCAAGCGCGCCTCTATCTTCGATGCCGGTTACTGCAAAAAAAAAATGACCTCCTCCAGAAGGTGCTGCTCCTGGCACGGCAGCCAGCGCGACGCGAGGGGCTCCTACGCTGAATAAGATGCATGGGCCCAACATTGACCCGAGCATCTTTTTCTTCAAAAAGGCGAACATAATTCTATCCGTATATTACAGCTAGAGATGTTGAAGTTGCGGCAAGTAGAGCGCGGCGCGTACTGATGACAGAACAAACCTTGTTCTGCGCTTAGTGAAATCGCACGAGAAAAATATGGACAAAATATTTAAGGAAAGAAGCCGGTGCTGGCACTTATGTGAGGTAAGAAATAAGAAATGAACTAAGTAGTAGACGACCGCGATATTTGCCTCAAAAAGGTGCATAAAACTAAAAGGCTGGCATTTCTGGGGTGTTAAATTATATATTTGCAAAAGAAATGTCTCATCACACAAAAGCAATTCGTTGAAACAGTGATCTTCACTGCAGGTCCACCCTTGACTGACATCTCGCGAAAACTTATCGCAAAACGACAATGACAGATCTGCGTATTTGTCCTACAGTTCGGTGATGGCGATATCAATCGAAGAAATGATCTCATCGAGCTTTCGCTCGGGGTTGCTTTGTCCCCCGAAGGAATACCAGGACTTGTACTACTTGACGCGAACAGGCTCGAGGTCGATCAAGCACCGCGCCACCTGCGGGAGCTGTAGATCCAGCACAACATGGCATAGTCGTCGGCCCAGTGCGTATCAAACCGTGGCTAGCGGCAGTGGTCAAAATACATAGCGCATAAGTTCTAGCGAGAAGTAGAACCTCGGCGGTGCTATTTTTTGGCTAAAAGTTACCAGTAGTAGCCTACTGATGTGCTGTCTAAGGTTGTTGTAGAATGGACTGCACAAAAATGAAATCAAGCTGCGCGCTGCGCTTGCGCGCACAACCCTGAATTATCGAAATTTTTTGCAATATTGCTTTCAAAATTAGCAAAGTGATGATAGAGTTAAATTTTTTCTATAAGAAGGTGCGGTTGTACATGCTGTTGCAAGGTGCGTTTATGTACATGCTGCTACTCGGGTTTCCAAAAATCGGACCTACAACGTTGTATCGAAGTATAGTATATGCACAACAGCTACTGCTGCGTCAGCGCCGAACAGCAGCTACTATACTTCGATTAGTTGTTCAAAGCTGTGATAGGTTTTTTGTCGAAACAACCTTTCCTATGTGCCCCGGCCTTGATGATAGAAGCACGTGCTGGCTTTCCTGCGGTTTAAAGAAATGCACATAGAAACGATCGCGTTCGCGCCACAATCGAGGAATAAGGCATTCTGCAATAAAAAAATCGTATACGTCGAAAGCTGGCGTGTATGCGTAATCTAATATCCTAGCTGGGATCATATTCTTTTCCGGAAAGATAAGGCCGCTAGCTGAAGGATATTGGCAGCAGCAGACATCACAAGTGCTATTATCAGGGTCCCGCAGGACCTGCAGCTCCATTTAGTCTGACCACGCTGAGCTGCACAGCAAATGTTATGCTGTCGAAGTCCAAAATGTAGTCGGTGCACCATCGAAAAAAGGGTCAATTCCTGCCTTGACCCTGCGAAAAAGGGTCGTTGCTGCTGTGCTGACAAATCTGCAGCTTGCATTCCCAATTTTTTCTCGGCTTGCAGCGAATATGCGTCATAACCGTCGGCGACTCT